CTGTTTCAAAATTTTTATTTTTGTTGGGCTTTTTTGTTAAAAACCCCAAATTATGCTAAATCTTAATGGCCTTAAAACACGTGGGCTTGTTTGTTATTTTTTTTTTTTTTTTTTTTTTTTTTTTTTTTTTTTAAACTTAGTTGGATTGGATACCGAGATCACTGAGAAAAGGTTGAACATACTTATGTACAGCACGGGCTTACCTAAGTTAGTGTATAAATACGATATATAATGCCTTTTGATCAAATGGGACCTTTTCTTGGTGCTGACCACAATATACGGGTATTACGTTAGATATTATTCGGGGGCGTCAGTCGGTATCTACTCGGTCTCGACGATCCCGTTGCTGGATGTTCAGATGTTAAGCATGGGCCATCGTCTTTGGAAATGAGCAAAAACAGACTGTCGGGTCGATTTCACGTCTCCGCCTTAAGCGAGAGAAAGTACATCATATCGCACGGAGCTGGGGGGTGCGAGATATTAAACGTCACACAGACTCTCTCGCCTACGGCTACGATGCATCAAGCACACGGGCCCGTGAGCTCGCCATGGCTCTGAACACAACCGAAAGGCTTTGCTTGTTTGCGCCTACCTCACCCTTGGAAGTTTAGTGTCCAGATTCTTGAAGAGGGTCTTACCTAGGTAAACTGGATGTGCTTCTCTGTACTGACATGGAAAGACCTTCATGAAGCAGGAAAAGATAAGGATAGAAGGGAATTGGAATAAGCTAATTACAAAGGCCTTTTTCACGTGCTTGGCTCAGTAGCGATGATAATTAGCTAGCAAAAGAAGAGTGTGTAGGTAATGTGTAAGCTCAGGGTATCGAGGTACTCCGCAGGATTGAGAACGTACTTATGATACCACGTACATTACACTACCTACACTACCTACCTACTATGTACATGGTCAGCGTACTGTAGGTTTCGGTTAAGGCTCAAGTCTTAATCTGTATGGTCACAAGTGAAGTGGATAGCGGGAAAGGCATCTGCGGACAGATCCTCGTCCTCCACAGGTGTCTAGTCCTCGGCTCGCAGGTAGCAATGGCCTGTCCCATGGCCGACGGCACATTACACTATATAGGTAGGTAAGTCATAAGGGATCACTCCCTCTTCCACTTACAGCAGAGTACAACGTAGCATGCAAGCTGGGTACTTGCATAGTGGTTTGAAGGATCTAGATTAGGCGAGTCGGCCGGCTTTTCGAGCACGATTCACATGGCTGTTAGATACGGAGGATTGTGGAGTGGCCACCCTCTCATGAGGGAAAGGGTCAAAAGAAACTGTTCTTCATCCTCGGTACCTACGAAGTAGGGAGCACTTTGTATTAGGTGGTCCAAGCTACCTGACTACTACTCTCCTACCCCCCTGTTAGCTGACCTACGACAGGTATTTCCGCTAGGCGTAGCGTTGAAAACCCCCCGTGCAGGGGGTTTTTCCGTACAAGCGCGATACACAATCGCGGACGAGATACCTTTCGTATGGGGCGCACTAAGGCTAGCTCGAAAAGAATACCTGACATAGGTCGATTTTACTGGCCCTGGACCATAGTACTGGGGACTGATTGCGTAAGGTATCAGGTACTTTGAGTAAGGCACACTATCTAAGAGAGCCAGTTTTTGCGGGTGAACGGCACAGCCATTCTAACACGTGGTAGTGCTAGCTTAATAGCGGCATTATCGAGGTACAGACAGAGAGGACTACTCTAAATACTACTTAGTATGGAAGTAAGAAAAGAGGATAGACTAAGCACACCAAGTAAGCACTTACCTAGCTCGCACGGTACAGTACTTAGCAGTGTGGGTAGGTAGCAGAAAAAGTAAATGAGAGAAGGGAGGAAAAATGAAGATACATAGTATCTGTAAGAAGAAGAGAGAGGCGCGCGCTATTCGTTGCGTGCATCGACCTACTATCACTGGTACGGATTACAAGTCGCTCGAGTGGCAGCCCTCCTCGTGTCAGCCCGTGCGTTTATGCACCTCATATACAGCAGGATATGCACGCCACATGGTGAGGTGTGAGAGACGTCTCGGCGTTGCATTGGGGATGGCATCATTGCAACAGCGACACAACTGCAACTTATACCACGGCCTATAATGCTGCACACTAGTCTACCTAGCAGTGTAATATCAAGGAGAGGGGTGTATAAGTATACTACCCAGGTATGTAAGCAACCTGTATAAGTAAGTAAGTAGGTATATATCAATGCGGTATACCGCAGTCAAACCCATTCCCCGCCACTACCTACTATGAGGCAAGAATGTTATGGAGTTGAGTACCGTAGGTAGGACATGGCTGACTGCCGGAGAGTGTGCGCTAAAAAACCAAAAAGGAGAGCATGGCTGAGAAAACGTTGAGCGGATGGATGAGCATTTCACCGATCACATCAGCATGTGATGTGTAGTTATATATGGGTGTATCTCTCTCTTTGGGATTCTCAGTCACCACGAGTGTCAGCTCAACCACACCCGACGAACTCCCTGCTTAGAATTTCCTTCTTTCCTCACCTGAGTAGTAGTAACCTACCTAGTGCAGTGCAGTGCAGCCGTTAGAATACGTCTTTCTACAATCTACTGCAACGCCATCTTTTTCATGATGTTTCTGTCTTACTTCACAATCTCTTCGGGGTCAAGGCACTGTTACTCAGTAGCCGTTTGCATAGCACGAGTCGTCGCTAACCTCGCCTGATGCTGTCTGTCATTTGGCTGTGAGAATGTTCACTTTCGCTTCGGCTACCCGAGTTTGCTGGTTGTGCGTTTCGAGAGAGATTCCTAGCACATCCGCATCACGGCTCTTTACGAGTGTAGCAGCCGTTTGTGCGTCTGGCACACTTCGGTTTGGCCGTGTTGCTGTTGGTAGATAGGGAGGATTCTCAAACCTCGCCTGTACCTGATCCTTTGGATGGGATTGATATCAAATTTACCGATATGGTTGACTTGGCCGATCGGTCTTCCCGACCACGGCGTCAGAAGAGAAAAAAGAAGGTTGAACCCGCTCGGTCCATGGCCGATTGCTGTGGCTATGCCGGCGTCCTTTCCCCCTCGCGCTCGTCCTCGTCCTCGTCCTCCTCTTCCCGTGTATTCTAAGTAAGTAATGCACAAAGTAACGCATACCGCACTGCGAGTTGTCACGACAATGGTCTGACTGATTGAACTACACCACATTGCATACTTACACATGTACATAACAAGCTTTTCCCTACCACACCTGCACTGCTCTCTGATCTAGCGCCAGGTACCTTTTCCCCCCAAGGCATGATCAGCCAGACGAGGTACCGGTACTCGGCCATGCCCAGAGGCCCGCTCTTCTTTGCAGGGGCAAGGATGGCGCTATAAAACCATGTGCTCCAGGTCTCGCTCCGGAGGTACCTTGCCACGAGCAGCGAACAACAAGCGCCGCCGCCAACGCGGCCGTTTCGCTGTGGGCTCGTCGCAAGCGTGGGCTGGGCTGGGCTAGTCCAGAGCTAGGTTAGGCTAGTAGCAAGGTCGACGACGTGCCGCGAGGGAGCGAGGGACTGGAGGGTCCACACAGCGTCTCTCCTGCGACGATCGGTGGGTAAAAGCCCGACACACTAGTAGGTAGGCATCTGGAGAGGCATCCTTACCATCGTACCGCATACATGTGGCTGTCTGTCCCCTGTTCTGCACTCCAACAAGTCACTCTACTTACTTACATTGGCGTCCTTTCTTCAATTACCTACATACAAGTACTTAGGTAGTACATCAGCAGAGAGGTCTTACTTACACCTCCCTCCATACTTACTTATACATAGAGTCCACGCACACAATACTGTACATCCATTGTATGATAGGTGTGTTGGGTGAACCGGGCGTATCCTGGTCAGTTGTCTCGATTTCATCTGCTTCTATGTACACTACTACATGTACGCTTCGTGCTTGCTCTGACGCTAGCGTATCTAATCCAGACCTACCGTATCCTGCTGAGCCTTTCGTGTCCCTCTCGGCCCTCCTTTTTTTTTTTTTTTTTGCTGTTGTTTTCTTTCCTGTCTTGAACTCCGCGAGATCTGAGAACTCTGGCCCGTTCTTTTCAAGGTAGGTACACTACATACCTAGGTAGATACCTCGATACAGACATAAGTACAGTACAGCACTCTCTTAAGTATCCATACCTGTATGAACTTACATGTGCACACTTATATGTTGAACCAGGCGGATTAGGTAGCGCCTACCTAATATCAGTTAGTACTACGCGTAGGTAGGAATGGCTACTCGGTACATTAGGTATCTACTATGTAGATATCTATACCTACACTCAGATAGGTAGGTACACTCACCAAGGTACGTAAGTAGGTACATATGTAGGTACCTAGCAGACTACCTACATAACACAGTGATGGTTAGTGCTAACTAGTGCTGTGCAAAGGGCTGTACTAAGTAGTAGTGTCCTTCTGTATATCTACTTAGGTAGTTATATATGTGGGTAGGAGGTAGGTACTTTATAGCAGGTAATACAGACCAGACAGTGTGCAAGGCCGGTGGTCATAGTCTTGCATACTGTATCTCGGGTACCTGTACTAAGCCATCTGGGTAGGTATCCGTTCCAGGTTGCGACTCTGCTGGCCCGTACCCACTTCCTCCTGCCTGCTCCACCAGGTATACGCATACATACTTACAGCGTACATATGTACCTGCCTACCTACTTAAGTACTTAGCATGCCGTACTGTACGCCACGGCGGGCAGCCAGTGCAGTACTTACCTTAACGCCTGTCTTGCCCTGTCGAGCCTGTCAAGCTCCTCGGGTTATCCTGGTTCACGCTTCTCTGCACTAATTCTCCTTTTCTGACACCACCCTCTTTGTGACAACGACTACCTAGCCAGCGTATATTCCCCTCCAAGTCACCATCCAAGCCCTCCAGCTTTTCTCAGCCATGTCTGTTTGAGTGGTGCTGGCGACAACGACCGCCATAATTCTCTCTTTTATCGCTACCGTCCTCGTCTTCGACGTCCAGCCACATTTCGCTGTATAGCTGCCTCCCGAGCTTATGCCCTTTGATCCAGTTGCGCCTCGCTGCAATTGGATCTCGACTCTGATGCTTTGCTTCGACCCACTGCTTCCCATTCTTTCCTGGTCCTTGATCGAGAAGCACCCAATCCACCCAGAACTTACCGCGCGAGTCTTGCGCTGCAATCCGCCCTCGAAGACTCGATGGTCTTGACCGTGTTAGATCCTAGAGAGCAGTGTTCTTATCTCACACATCATATACACCGTTCGCCATTGAAGGCTAGTCCTCGTCTACGATAGCCGCAAAGGATCAATATACGCACGTCTGTCCATACACCGTGCTCATCATGACGGTTGATCAACGATCAGCTACCCAGAAGCTCCCGGCCGGACTGGCTACTGTGCTAAATGCTCCTGAGGAACATCGCGACTCGGCATACTATTCAAGCACAGATGCCTCTAGCAAGCGTGAGTTGCCGCCTCACATATCTTCACTTCCATGCTGAAGAGCTTTTGTACTGATTTGCTACCTGTCAGACAACTCAGCTGCGTCGGGGATTGGTATCAATATTTACCATGCCGTACAGGACAAGACGCCATCTCCGACGACGACGACAACGACTATCCCACAGCCACTCATATCTCCATCAAGCAATATGAGTGTCGCTTCCATGGTTTCGCCAACATCACCAGGGAGTATGCGCTTTGACCGGCCCTTGTCTCTAGAGTCGGGGGGTGTGTTGAGCGGAGCGCCGAGCTTAGGACCAGACTCGCGGAGAGAGAGCGTAGATAGCAGGATTAACCAGGGCTTTGGGGACTTGAGACTGGGTGGATCGCCCTACGCCAGCGCAAACCAATCCACAACGTCGATTCACGCGAGTCTAGCGCAGCAACGGAACCCTCGCGCTGGACTGGATCACTTGTCGGTGCATCGAATATCCAATGGCTACCAACCGAGTGTAGAACGAACGCCGGATGGCCACCCCAAAGCGCGAACCGCCCCAGCTATCACTGGTCCTGCTACCAGCAGTATTGCCAGAGCCGCCGAACCTACGAAAGGAGAGGCCTGGGCTTTTCCAGAGGATGAAGTTCAGCGGGTGCCTCCCGGCATTGCGAGCGGTACTTTTCTCGACTCCAGGCGGAGCAGTGTTGCCGAATCTATTGCAAGTAGTCAGTTTACAGCTGACTCGCGATTACCACCTGGCCAACGGCGATTAGAAGATGGGGTAGGACCCGAGTTTCAACGTCTATCTAATAACTCTACCGACTTCCAAACAGTTCACCATCACTCTCTTCAACATAAACAATTATCCGACCTTCAAAGCGAGGAATCTAGTCCTCACAACGGCTCGCAACCGTACAGCAGGACACCTGAGCTCCGAGTGAGCCATAAACTTGCCGAGCGAAAGAGACGTACAGAGATGAAAGAGCTTTTTGAGCAACTCCGCGACCTGATGCCGCAAGAGCGTGGCTCAAAGGCTTCCAAGTGGGAGATCCTATCAAAAGGTATGTGTGTATTAGCGTAGGTAATTCAGAAGATCATACTAATATTTGGTCTAGCCATCACTGAACATCAACGACAAGCCGACCATATCAAACAATTGTCTACTCACTATCAAAATACTATAGCTGAGGCGGATATGTTGCGCCGCGAAATGGAAAGACTGCGTATGGAGAACTCTCAACTACGCAACAGCGCGACCACAGGCCCGGGACCTGGAAATCAGCCCACGCCCGCTCCACAACCTCCTTCGGAATCTTACGCTCAAGACCCCTATGGAAGGGGTCCCCGGCCGGAGTTGCCGCCATTGCGAGCTCTGAACAATAATATGCCGAACGGCCCAGAATCTATGACTGGCGTACAATACGAGGGCCAACGACCGCCCAGTTTTCGACAAGACCGATTCTAAGTAATCTATTATGAGCACTCTACTAGAGGCAACGCTCTCTTTCATCATTAATTTCATTTGTTGTGAGGCTTGGTAGTCGAGGTACACATTAGAAGCCACGCAATGTATAGGCGATACCCGTTACGAATGAAAGGCGTGGACCCTGAATACCTAGCAAGCTGCCTTGTGCCTGGAGCAACCGGCTTTTTTAGGTATGGCAGTTGGACATGACATGAGTGTTGGCGTGGGGCTCGCCGAGTGCTCCTCGGCGTTTAATAAGGGGTTCTTTGATTTGCCAGGCTCCCTATTGGCCGACTATTCCCTGGGTTGCTGGCGGTAGTCTAGGGACACTTCATTTTAGGGCAGACTAAAAAGCGTATACAGGATGGGTCTGGGCGGTAGGTGGGCTTCGGGGGCGCGGGCGCGGGCGCGGGCGTGATGGCTTCCTTGACGGGATCTTCTTATGTTCGGCCAGGACGGGACATGTGTCCTGGTTGTTCGAATCTCTTTCGATTCTTTTCTGTCACTGCATTTCAGGAGTGTGCATATACCCTACCAGGCGGTTGATCTTTTGACAACCCGGTCTCTGATAAGCACCAAAATCTTGTTGATTATGAAGATACGTTTCAGCTGCGTCTATGAGGAAGAGGTGACATAGGAGCTAGCAAAGATTCAAGACACCGGGGCAAAATGGCGAAGGTCCTATCTGACCTATTTCCTGGGGTCTTTCGGATGGACCAAGAGACTTTCGGAAGCCATATCTGTATTACATACTAGCTACATCACAAGCTGCATTCTTGGGGTACCTATTATATACTCATATACGTACCTATCTACAACCTACCTAGTCTGAGGGATAATCGCATGCTACGGGCACTCGGGAAAGGTGATAGTTTTTTCCTTCTCTCTTCTCTCTTCTCCCTTTCACACGAGTTTTAAAGGGATAAACCCAACTTAGAGACCCAACTAAGATGCTAGGTATTTTGTTTCCGAGTCAGCATCGGTTGGTTAGTTCCGTCCACATTGGTTCAAATTTTGTACATCGGTAGGGCACATGAAGTCATTCAAGCCAGCTGTACAGACAATGCTCAAATCTACCTACATCACGATACATCTAAGTAAGTAATATGTTTAGATGCGTACCTAGGTACTGATAGGAATATTCGTGAGTTTGTTGGCAACTATAAACCTCGTATTGCGCTATTATCATGGGCTATTGAAGTGTAAATTATGCTTAGTTAGGTATACTTAGGTATAGGTACCTAGATAAATAGCCGAGCATTCTTGAGTTGCTACCTATGGCCTATTCATGTAGCCTGCAATGTTTCTACCTACGAAGTACATGTAGCTATCTAGGTATTCAATGTTGGTAGTACTCAATGAGATACCGGGCGAGCGTTACTGCACGTGGCATTCGACCTGATAGATGTACCTACCTAGGTAGATATGGTCTTTTACTACATAAGGCATGTACTAAAGAGCGAGGAAATAGAATTGGGTTATTGAATAACTCGCTCTAGCGAGGTAAAAAGCTCCATTGGCCAATGATCTACCGAATATCTTTACCCACTATTCTTGTATCCGTTCGCACCTGTAATAGATACCTATTATCTACATATGTAGGTTCTAAGCTCAGATAGGGATAGGTAATCGATGGAAATTCAGCACCGAAATTTTCTCAGCCTCTCTTACCACCTCCATCATCGGCCTCCGTTCACAATACCTTTAGGTATCATCTTCTAACATTCACACAGCCATTACCCCTCCCTTTCCATCATACGCATCAAAATGTAAGATCATCTTCACCTACCAATGAATACTTGGCCTTGAGTTCGGCCGCTGACTGCAAGAAATCAGGCATTGTGTTCGCCGAGCAGCACTCCGCGCGGCATGCTCCTCTTCGAGATTCGCCGCTGCGCCGCGACAGCAGATTGTCGCGATTGTAATGCCCGCAGGGAAGACAAACGTGCAGCCCGCCAACGTGCTTTCTCTACCCCGTTATTTCTCTCAGACCCGCGCCGTTGCAAATGAAGAAAACTCTGCCGTCGAGAATGCCATCCGAGAGGCTGAAGACAGCGGTTCAACAGGTGAACCAAACTCAACCCTGCAGTCCAGCCTCACGGAGAATCAGAGAATTACCCAAGAGGGATATACTATCTTCATCAGCAACGTAACTTTTGATGCGACCGAGGCGCATCTGCAGGAGGCGTTTGGCAAATACGGTGACATCTTGCGATCCAATATTGGACGCGATGGACGAGGTCTAAGCAGAGGGTACGTGGTTTGGATTATGATACTTTCATCGCCGTATATAAAACAGGTTTGCTAACCCCGCACTAACAGTTTCGGGTTCGTTACATTTACCACCAAGGTGGCCGCGGATCGTGCTGTCGCTGAAGCCAACAACTCATTCTGGCATGGACGCCGCATCGTTGTAGACCACCGTAAACAGGGTCTTACATCTAATAACCGGACAGGTCGGGACAGGACTGAGCCCTCAAAGTCACTCTACATCGGCAACATCCCATACGAGGCATCTGATGCGGATCTGAACCAGTTGTTCCGCAGCCTTGACAACGTCAGCGATGTTCGCGTGGCGATCGACCGTAACACCGGCTGGCCTCGGGGCTTCGCCCATGCTGATTTCCATGACGTCGACAGCGCCATCAAGGCTCATGACTTCCTTCTAACCCAAACGCTTGGTGGCCGAGCTCTACGCGTCGATTACGCGGAGACTCGCAACACCACGTCCACAGATGCGAAGGGCTCATTGGATTCTGATTAGAACACCTTGTGTCGTCAAACGTACTATGCATGATATTTGCTGTGTCTAAAGATTGCAGCGCTATAGGTTGCGTGCTCTAAGCTTGTGGCTGCATCTATGTTACAAAAGCGCTGCTGGAAGCGCGTATCAGGTTGTAGGAGGCTATGGGCAAATGGCGAGAAGAAGCAATGGATGGACGGGTTTGTGTTGAGCATCAGATAGAGATTGCCTCAACCTATATGTATATCTAATGCATGTACAACAATCACCTTTAACCTCACGATACAATGTATTATACGCATATAATGACGCCACCCCCCTTCAAGTTAAAAGTTAGGACTGTATTGATACTGGTGACTTGTCTTTAGATGAGGATGTTTGCGTGAGCTTTCTGGCTTTCAGGCTTCCAAGGTTCCAAGGTTCCAAGGTTCCAAGGTTCCAAGGTTCCAAGGTTCCGTCCGCTTGATCACAAGCTTGTATACTGTGTTTGGAAGTGTCTGCACGTTCCTCGGCTTCGGCCCCACTTGCGACCGCATTTCCATTTGTAAGGTGCATCGTTGGATTCAATGAAAGACAAGCAAGCAAGCATCCAACTTTCTCCAATACACATGCGCATTCGTGGCGCCTTTGATGTGACGTATTCCAGACATACAAACTTATTGTGCCTGTGGTATGTGCGTCTAACATCTAACCCAGACGCCTGAAGGTGATCGAGCAACGCACACACCAACCGCAAGCCTAACCCGCATTATCCGCAACTAGCGCCAACCATCATTGTTACTCCGACCATCGCTTGCCTCGAGTTCGTTATTGTGTGGCTTCACCGCGGCTCGTCGCGGCTTGATGTTCAACTCATAAGAAGCCCCTCTAAGCCTGATTATCTGGCCTAGGCCCTTGCCGGCGCGACTGCAGCTACGTCGTATTAGCATCTACGTATTCAATACCTTTGCCACCCACGAATCAACGCCATGTCTTTCCTTGGAGGCGGTCCGGAATGCTCTACGGCTGGCAATCCACTGAGCCAGTTCGCCAAGCATACTCAAGAAGATAACAGTCTACAACGCGATCGGCTTCGCAATGGAGTTCCTCAGGGAGGGGTGGGTGGGTTCCGCAGTGCTGCTCAACACGGCGCTCAAGGCGAGGTGAGTGACGTCCTTCTTGTGACCCTGTTTGTTGTAATGCCAACTGCGAAACTAATGAACACGTCTATAGCAAATGATGAATGGCTTCTTACAGCAAACCGGACGGTTACCCGACATGCCTCTCGAAGGCATGGGCCAGATTCGCATGGACCCTCCATCTCACGGTGTCCACCTTCGTGCCAACTCGACATCCCCCTCTTGGGCCAATGAATTCCAGCATACACCTCCGCCTGCTATGGAGGCGGCTTTCAATATACCACAGGGAGCTCAGTTCAGTCCCGAAGAGTTCGCCAAGTTTCAACAGATGAGCAATTCAGCTAGTGCCTCACGGTCAAGCCCTATGCCTTCTAGCATGGCTTTTCAGCGTCCTATGATGGGGGCAGGGATGATGAGTACTATGGGCATGAACTATGGCATGATGTACAATCGCCCCAGCGGCTTCTCGGCGGAGTCTATGGCTGAAAGCAAAGGGAAGGGCAAGCTTGTGGAGCTCGACGATCAGCAGTGGGAGGAGCAGTTCAAGCAGCTTGAGCTTCAAGCCAAGGAGGCGCAAGAACAAGATGAGGCTGCCGCATTAGAGCCGGAGTTGAATAAGTTGGACGAGCAAATTTTGCAGTCAGAAACAAACTTTGGTGATTTTGAGTCAATATGGAAAGGCATCCAAGCCGAACGAGCTTCTGCCAAGGAGGCCGTTGATGAAGAGGAATGGGTTGATCAACTAGGTAATCCTGAGTGGAATGATCGGTTCGGAGACTGGGATGGTCTCGCTGCCAACAGTAGGCTTCTGGGCGATCCCCAGGTGGAGGATTACCTCTTCGAAGACGACAACCTCTTCAAAGACACAGGGAACCCGTTCGAAGAGGGTATGCGCATTCTAGACGAGGGTGGTAATCTTTCATTAGCTGCTCTAGCTTTCGAGGCAGCTATTCAGAAAGACCCTACCCATGTGGAAGCATGGGTGCAGCTTGGCATCGCTCAGGCACAGAATGAGAAAGAAACGGCAGCCATTCGAGCACTAGAGCAGGCTAAAAAAATAGATCCGAACAATACTACAGCACTCATGACGCTGGCCGTTTCCTATACCAACGAAGGGTATGATAGCACGGCTTATCGGACATTGGAGCGCTGGCTGTCAGTTCGGTACCCCTCCATTATTGGTCCAGCCGAGTTATCTCCAGCAACAGAGCTTGGCTTTACCGACCGCCAGCAGCTGCATGAAAAAGTCACAGACTTGTTTATCCAGGCCGCACGGCTCAGTCCAGATGGCGAGCACATGGACCCAGATGTTCAAGTCGGCCTCGGGGTTTTATTTTACGGCGCCGAAGAATATGAGAAGGCTGTCGATTGCTTCTCTTCTGCTTTAGCATCCTCGGAGTTGGGTTCGTCCAACAAACAAAACCAAGTCCACCTCCTTTGGAATAGGCTCGGTGCTACTCTCGCCAATAGTGGTAAGAGCGAGGATGCCATAGCCGCTTATGAAAAGGCACTCACGTTGCGGTCCAACTTTGTTCGAGCCCGGTACAACTTAGGAGTCAGTTGTATCAACATGGGATGCCACAGCGAAGCCGCAGGGCATCTCTTGTCAGCGCTTAACATGCATAAGACAGTCGAGAGAGAGGGTCGAGAAAAGGCAAGAGAGCTTTTGGGTGGCAATGTCAGCGATGCGCAGATTGACGCTATGACGACGCAGAACCGTAGCACGAATCTATACGATACACTACGCCGCGTCTTCACACAAATGGGACGGCGCGATCTCGCCGAGAAGGTGGTTAATGGAGTTGATCCAGAGATATTCAGGGGCGACATTGACTTTTAGGAGAGTGCCAGGAGGAACCTTTCCAGCCACCGTTGGATCGTGGGCCGCATTTACCAGGCTGACGTAACAAGGTCTAATGGCCACTTTTACGGTAATGGGGAACTTTTTCTCGAAAGAAGCGGGTAGGAAAAGCTTTTTCGGCGACATCTGTATCTATCGGGTTTAATGGACAAGCTCACGCACTCGAATGCAATAACGAGGAAAAAGTGTAAAAAGCCATGACGAGTTTAGTCTGACTAGGTAGGTAGAAGAAGTATAACACCGGCGCTCTAGGCAGTGATCATGTTATATATATTTTTTCTTGTCTATAGCTAGAAAATTCAAGGGTCACCCTTCGCAGATATCGAACCATCATGAATAGGACATCCTGTCTGTTCGCCTACATTACGTTATAGTATACAATATAATTTGTCTTCTTTCGAACAATTCTTATGGTCCGGGTTCTATTTTAGCCCACATATTCGTTCATTTGTTCTCTCGGTTCCTGGTGTCTCAGGGGCTGCATGATTATCTCCTCATCTTCTGTTGTAGATCACGCAGTGCCTTATGTGGTAGATCATGGGAATTGCCATGGAATTGTCCTTCGCTTTCGTTTGACCCAGGTTATTGTGCACAGTCTTGCTTGGGGGCCGCTCGGAAAGATAGGCAGGTAGATAAGTAGATAGGTAGGTAATGTCCCAGGTAGGTGCCCTCGGAATCGATGCTCATCCTGCTTCATAGCGCCTGCGCTATGGCTAGAGATACCATCACAGCATGGTGATGCGATGAATAATAAGTCGAGAAGTTACGGGTCTGACGACGAGGGCTGCGCTGTGAATATCCGGCCGCTACAGGCTGGGAGGGGCGCGTGTATCATGGCACTGCTCCCTTTTGTTCTTCTGTCTTGTCGACGGCTTGCGTCTGGATGGGAGCTGGAGCTGGGACTGCAGCCGAACATGTTCCCCGAGGAGCTTGTAAAGGGGTGTGTTGTAAGGTTTGATGACTCTGTTAGAGGGTCACTGGGAAAGAGGGAAGTGGGAGACATTGGTTCTTGGTCGACTGTGGGATATAGAGGGATGACTACCCAGAAGATAATTTCGATGTCAAGGTAAAGGTTTGAATTATTGACGCCTTGAAACAAAATGATATGTGTACTGAAGAGGGAGCGAGACGAGTGTAAGTGTGCTGCAAGATTCGCCCTTACTTGCTCACCTCGGGATGCCATCGAGGTTTATATATAAAAAGGGACCGAGGCCGCCCTGTGCTTACTCACACCTATCTACTACCAGGCAACTTACCTTCTGTATCAATATGAGTATTCCATTTGGGGGAGTCCCCTCTCTAGCCTGGCCATGTGGCGAAAGCTCATACCGTAAATACCTCTCGAATGGTAAGTTTCCATTACATGTCCCCTGACCTTGATCGTATGGGCATGGGATCCAACTAGCCAACCAACTGGCCCGCATAAAGATTCACCTCCGAAAAGGAGAGGCTCATAGCGTATGACGGGCGAATGAAAGCGGGTGAAGCCGCTCTCGATTTAGTTTCCTCCTTAGCCCTTTTCCCGCGCTGCCGTGTAAATTAGACGCAGTTGGTGTTGCTCAGTCGGCGGTTTGCATGGGTTGTTGCAACTGTTGGCTTTCATGTTGCATTTCAGCCCGGGCTATGGCTGCGCCTAACTCGCCTTACCGTTAGGTCCCGCGCAGCTGCTAGCGCGTCTAACAGCCTACGGCCCCCAACAACGCCTCTTTCCGGCAACCTTATTCTCACGTTTTACTAGGCATCTATTTGACTTGGTCAGTGGGATGTGTAAGTAGGTATGGATGAGCGGATGGACGGGTGCAGATAGGCAGGCGAGTGCCTAGGTAGTTCTGTCTGTTGCCTACAGGTTTCTATACATCTGTGTAGGCCATGAGTCATGCCTGGCAAGTTTCAAACTTGGTATAGTCGCCCTGTTGTGAAAACAACGTAATATCACTTTGGGAAATCGAAAAACACTGGTGGCGGAGATCGGGTTGGCAGTTTACCGGCTCACGCACAGTCCAAGCAACACGTACGTCCCTACTGCTGCTCCGTCGGGACTCCAGGAATGGAATTCCTACAGCTCAGAAAAAGAACGAAAGTCGGGACGAAGCAAGGTCTAGATCACTCAAATATGATCGGACAATTGACTTTCAGAAAATTCTGAAACGTTTGCTCGGATCATTCGTACCACACTTTTATGCCTCTTGTCACAGGCTCCCCTGGAGTCAATAGGTCGGTAGGTATATGAAATAGCGATTGGGGTCCGTCACTAACTTTTCCTGCACCTTTCATATAAAAAATATCGCTGTTGGTAGTATTATAAGAAACTCGCGGCGATAAGAAAGAGAGATCATAAAAGCAGTAAATAAGCGACACAACCAACAGAGGCGTCTGGGATGTGATGAAGGAATATGGGGGCGAGATAGGACTCTTCCTTTTGTGCTCTTTACGTCATCATCTGGTGGATCAACCCTCTGTTAGCAGGATACAAATTCCACGAAAGTGACTTTTTCGTTACAGAATCATGTTTTGAGCATTGGGGGCCGGTGTGCCCCAAGATTACTTGTACTAAATCTACCTATTTTGCTATATGTGAGATGTCAAAGCTTGGGGAAAGAGTCTTTGCTCGTAGCAATGGGGGTGGGTCAAACCAGCAAAGAACCAACACTAATCCATCATAGCGAGGAAGATGTTGTTGGTGAAGGATGGCGCTGTTACCGCTTGTATTTTATCTCACATCGTGTCTCTATAATGAAATGACTATGAACTGGTCGAAATCACACAAAGTTGGGTATCTCGGATTCTTCCAATATCACTCCACTCGCAAAACTTGCGGTTTATGTATTCTCCTACCAATTCTCCCAAAAGGAACCAAAATACCACCATGCGTCAAAATCGTCAAGAACAAGTCGTGATGCTCTAAAAACTTTTGTGTAAACCCCCTTTATTCATACAATGGTAGGCGAGTCATGGGGAAAATAAATCTCAAGCTGTGCAATGTAGGCACACTATTTGACTCCGATGAAGCCAATGCCATTTCGCGCGATACCGACGGCCTTCTTTAGTGCCTGCTCTTCGACGTCCGTCCATTTGACAGTCAACTCATCCCAATCGATGCCAGGATTATACTGTTTCTTGAACTGGGATTGCATCGTTTGCAGGCGACTCATCTCCCTTGGGTCACCGGAACCACTAAACACCACGAAGCCAGTGCATTTCGGTAAGGCGTCGTGTATCCGCTTGATCCTCTGCGTGAGGTTTGAAACGCAGGTCTCGAGGGACATACTAGACAGATCCGGTATTTGCAGGCTGTCGCTAGTCCTAGTCTGATTCCACCAACCCTGGAACGCTTCGAGCTCTCGAAACCGTGCAAAAACAAAATCTACGCCGCCAGCGGGTATTTGTTCCGCAGTTGGATCACCTTGGATTGCACGTAAAGTCTGCTCGAGCACTTCTTCGTCTGAATTACAGCCTATTGGGAAAGTGGAAGCTGCACCGGCGCCCTTCATTGGGTCGCCCCAGTCTATCATGGCACTTGTCTTGCCCATGCGAACACCACCTGTGGCTTCAACACCACCGTTGGCACGATAGGACGTGCCTGCACGATTTAGACGTCGAAATAAATTTTCGCCCTGTGACTCGTGCTGTCCCCATGCCTTGCCTTTCTCGCATTTTTGTCTGACAAGATCCAGACATGCCTTCGCATCCTCAATCGAATCATGTCCACCAGCACGATTCTGGATCTCACGTTTGAGAAATCGCTGGGTCAGAAATTTCAGACTGTTCTTCAACGGCGGGCCCCGAACATGTGGGAAGATAAGTGAGGTATCCACAATGAAGGGATGAGTGAGTCGCAATGCCTTCAGGTCTGACTCTAATGAGTGACCGATTAGGATGGAGCGAGGGGTTAGAATAGTCAATAACTTTGTTTGGATATCGCTTAATGTCGTAGTGACGGGGGCAAGCATCTGCTCCGTAATACCAGAAAAGCGTGTTACATAGTCAACGATGGGCTTGTCGGGTTTGACTAGCTCATCTAATATAATAGTTCCGTCCCAGCCAACAAGACTGATTCTTGTTAAAGAGTATTCGTCTGGGCCAGTCATACACATCTCACAATCGAGGGCATAAACGTCACGGCCAGCCGTGACACTTCCTTGTTGAATCTCCTCTTCTGGGACATCACCATCCTCAAAATTCTCGACGCATGTATGTATCCAACCTTCAGGGTGTTCGTAATTTTTGCGTCGCTCAGCTGGTATACAAGCGGGATGTAGCATGTAGCCATTGGGCTGGAAATCTTCAGGCATCGCAAGGAACTCGGTGATTCTTGTACGCTCATCCTTCCACCCTTTTGGTTCCTTCGCCGGCTGCACGCCTTTTGCGGTCTTCTCTTCCTTGATCTTCTCAGTGGGTGCGGTCAGCATGGTACCCAGAGGCGATCGCATAAAACCGTATTTCTCATTCCCTGGTGTCTTGACAGGCCAAAGGTGGGGAAACATGTCGGCGAAATCTTTCAGAATCTCCGGCAGCTCATCACGCTTCAGTAGCCGGGGGTAATAATCATCGGGAGAAGTCAAAACGCGTGACTTCTGGTCCAGGTCAAAGCATTGCTCGTTGTATGTGGAGAAGTTAACGTCTTGCTTGAACATGGCTTCCTCTAATCCAGGTACCATGACCGCGACAATCTTTCTGAATTGAGGCCTGTTGGCAATCGCAACCCACTGAGGAGACACCCCTTCGGCGAAGACATACAGAACAAGGTTCCGCAGCTGATCCAATGAGATCTTGGATTGGAGTTTGGCATTGTAGTTAAAGCTTATGGAAGGGTAATTGGATGATGCAGGTTGAGGAATCTTCTTCAGCTTCTTTGCCTTCTTAGATTGGCGGTCGACCAGCTCCCAACCCTCGTTATCCTCGTCATCATGGGGTTTCGGACGCTTCAAGCTACTAGAGTCACTGACAGTGGTATCGCTTGAGGTTGTATCCTGGGGTAACTCGAGCGGGAGCTGGGGGTCTCCAACGTCGGCCAAGATGGGCGCATCGCCGTCCAGAACGGACATGGGCCCATTGGTGATGAGAAAGTCGTCGGGATTGAAGACATCGTGCTCGTGCGACGTCGAATTGAGGTCGTCCATGGTCGCACGCACGGCTGTGTATTGGATGCGCACGTGAAAGGGGGATTCGGCGGCGACGTCGACGTGTACGAGGCGCAAGGCTGGAAGATGAGTGGTCGAGCGCTTGCCGTGGCCGAGATGGAAATAATTGTCTCGGATACAGAGCGTGTCTTGCAGCCCCACCTCGACGCGGATAAGCATTCTGATGTGGGGTGGCGGGGGGAGAAGAGTTACTTAGTAGGTACTTACAACTCCTCCTTGTTCATAAATCTTGGCCTACATAGTAGTAGTTCTTCCCATTTTCTACCAATCCATGTTGTATGCTGATGAAAGTATGATTATTGCTTATTATTGCCTGGTTATTCTGTAGCCATCACACTGAGAGTATAACACCAAATCTTGCCTGGTTTCTGCATTCCAAATTGATAATGAACCCAGACATAGGTGTAGGCCCATGTAAATCAGCTATCCGGGGCTTACAGTAGACAGCAAATAGTAGCGCCATCGTCACCTAGGTAGTGGATTTGAATCACGATATAAAAACACCATAGGCTGTCTCAGCTGTCACTTATAGAAGGTACCTGCCTAAGTACATAAGGTACGGCTTTACCTAGATCTAGGGTAGGTACCTGTAGGTACCTGCACCAGGCGTTAAACAGGGCGGGCAGGACTCCAAGGCTGAGCTCCTCTTGCCATCCCAACTTGCCTATGTCAACAACTCACGAGATAAGATCATTTACATCAGCTACACTATGCCCTGTTTAATGCCACCTTGCCCTTGTCCGGTTCACACTGACGATCTGATTGATCTCACCTAGGCCCCTCGACATATATGGCCTACAGCTTAAAGTTCAATGGCGACATAGCAAAAGAGGGACGTATCATTGACATCACGACTGCCAGTTAACAGCTCGCGACCATGGACCTCGCGTTAATCCGCTGCAACAAGTGCCATCTCCATATGGGTGTGCTCACGAATCTATGGTTTCAGATTGGCAAGAATTATATTAGCCCTGTTGTCTACGTTGATGGTGCCTTGGATGTAGCACCAGATGGCGCAATACGACATGGAGAGAAGGGAACAATAATGGGTAACTGGTAGGATCGCCACTATCACTGTCTACTGTTGGTCTGTTAACGGGAGCCCATAGTCGTGTTCAAGGGGTGATTTGTGTCCAATGTCGTTCTATGCTGGGGTCTAAGTGTTTACGCTCTACCATCAATCACGTTCTTCAAGAGTGAGTCCTCCATATGGCTCTCGTATGACAGGACTGATGGGTTTAGGGGCTCACTCGTACTGCGTATGCCGTCTATTCAGATTATGAATCCGAATAGCCACGATACAATCGAACCGATCATTCAAAGGGTGCTGAGCCTAAAGAATCCTCTTGGTCATGATGACTCTCACGACGATAATGAAAGTTCCTCATTCGATGAAGATCATGATCACGAACAAACCATGACTGAAGATTCTGACCTCAATCACCTACTAGATAAGATCGACGCACAGGGAGAACGGATTGAGCTACTTGATACAGCTGGTATTCAAGTTGTAGCTTCTCTCGATCGGTCTATGCGGCAAATAGACGAGGCTATCAGAAACTTGAAGAGTGAGATAGCCCATACAAAAAAGGAGCTATCAAATAGCAGTGACAGCACTAGGAAGTTGACCAGCGATGTCTGGTCTACTAAATCACAGATCGAGGAGGTCAAAAGAACATTAGAGCCACTAACTACCCAATGTCACATTCAAGAAGAGCGGTTTTCTATCGAAAATGCGATCACCGAAGCTAAAGTATCCCTGCAAGTGGAAATAGGTGCCATGTCAGAAATCTCCATGCAGAAGGTCAAATTGCTTGGGTCGCAACTTGAAAACATGCAACGAGACTTGAAAGAGTTCCGAAACGCAGCGCAAGCAGCGTTACTGGCATCTGACGCCAATAATGGAGAGATTGCTACTCTGAAATCCGAAATAGAACGTCTAAGGCAGGAGGTAGCGCTGGAGCGATCTTCTAGGCCCTCTCCTACCAGCTCGGTCTTTGCCTCGCGCGACGTAGATATCCTCACCAGCAACATAACCAAGATTGGGAACAAAGCGAGCCAAGTTGAACCCCTGCAGATGGAGCTCGAGCTACTAAAGAGTCGTGTACAGAGAATGGAGGCACAAACCTCCGAATGGCAGAAGGAGCCTGCTCCCTCATTTCAACACAAAGACACCCAGCACCCTCTTTCGGTAAGCCCAACGCGCAAATATATTACTAGTTGTACTATGGAGGATGGTCTAGATTCCAACACCTCGACATCTACAATCCCAATCCTACAAGACAATGGCATTGGTCGGTCGTCCCTCAGAACGACTAGAAAAGAACCCAAAACTGGTCCCCCGAGGATTACAAAGTCTGGAGCTATAGATAAACGGTCCTTGAGAAATCGCTCGAAGTTAGCAACAACTTCTTGCACAGCTAGTAAAGGATAACCATTTGGAGAGGCTAGGTTGAGATTCTTGTGCTTGTCTACATACCGCGTTTTGAACAGGTTGATATCCAACCCAGTTATAGTAAGGGGCACTAGTAACACCGCTCTATGTTTCTGTCATATTTGATAGGTATTCGGGGTTTGAATTCGCTTTGATGGGGCGTGTATGGAGCGGCCTATAAATCAGTAAGATTGGAGGGGGCACATTATCAAAACGTACCTTCAAGCTCGCCTCAAGCCCTTGCCAAGCGACTGTTGTTCTAGAGACGATAACTGAAACATCCGACAGCTCTACCAGGTATTGCAGTCCACATGAGGGCCATGACACATGAACAGGCACGTTATCCTCCTGAACTTGACAGAGGTGAGCTTGCTTGTATCTAGCAAATTAGTATGCAAGTGACATATATCTATTCCTCTTGATGCTAGCTTTGTCTGTAGATATGAATTCATGATGATTTGTAGAAACTCGGAAAAAGATATCGCGAGTTCCGTAGAGGACCTTCTCGTCTCTCGTGGCTTTAGGAGGTCATATTCTGTAGTGACGAATATGACGTAGGTTCCAATTGCTAGGAACCAAATTCGCTATCCACTATATCAAAACAAAATGCAGATAACTCTTGAAGCGGGTGAAGCACAGCTTGGTTGAAAAACCGTCTCTCGTCGACCCCGTTCGGATTCCGCATGAATGCTTTGACGAGCGCGTCCTCCATCTCTCGCCCCTGCAGCACCTCGATATCACCCAGCAAATCCTTCGCCTCGTGGAATACGGCCCATTCCTTCGAATGCGCCGCAGGGGCGTAGTACACGACCATCTCGAGGAGGACCTGACACATCGTTGCTTGGTCTATCTTCCCTAACGCCGTGGAGATTCTTCCCAAGAGACTCTTGCTTGAAACCAATGAATCTTTTTTAGCACCAGGGCTCAGGTCTGCCGGCGCGGTGTTCGCGAGCAGTTTTGCGACCATGAAGACCCCTTTTACTCGCTGCGGCGCAAACGGCGCGGCCTCTTTGTAGGGCTCTGTTTGCGATGCGAGGAAACTCGATATGCATAGGCTATACGCGAAATTGCCTTGCTCCCCAAAGTACATGCTTGCTTCCGCGAGGACGTGCGGTAGTGGCTCTAGGGCGTAGGCGTGGGCGTGGGCGTCGCGGAGAGGTTTGCAGGCTGTCCAGCGCCGGCGTAGCTGTTTCTGCTTTTCATGCGGACTGAGACCGAAGAGAGATGTTGAACACCAGGACTCTATTTCCTCCACGGTGGCGCTCAACAAGCCTTTCTTGTCGAGACTAGGAACCTGAGGATCATGTGCTTTTTGAATGTCGGGTGCTAGACTGAGGCTGTTCAGGCGCAGATGCGGATAGGCCCGACAGACTTGGTACACGTCCATATCATCTTTACAGCACGGGCATGTACATGTGAAGTGATAGCGCGTCCTGAGGGCTTCCTGGCGATGGGAAAGATGAAGGTTGCGGTCTTAGGTATCAGGATTAGATTCCGCGCTTGGGAAATGTGTACAGCGCTCGACACTTGACTTACCGATGTAGGATATCTCAATCTCTTCACCTTTTTTTATGTCTTGGTATGCGTGAAGCACAGCTTTTCGGCCAATAAACTGCACATACGCATTTGGTGTACATGAGTGGTTGATCATTGCGAGTGCTGGGTTCATGAAGAGTCCCGTTTGCCCAACATCTTCGTCTAGACGGTTGAATGAATTCACGTGTGACTATACTACAAGATTAGAAAACAGAACAAGAGAAGGCTAGGAAATTCTGCTAAGAAAAACGACCTGTTATTCTTCGCTCTGCGTACCTTGCACAGTATCTCCATTGCCTCTGCTAGACTCTTAGCGTTCGTCTCACGGCCTAGATAATGCAGTGCTGCCATCGCCTGAAGCTCCATATCAGACCACAGCTTGCCAGAATCTCGACGGAACCTATCAACGTGCCCTTCCATCTCTTCGAAGGCGGCGCTTATCTCGGGCCGTAAGAGAGCCTGCACGAGCGCACGCACAGGGGTGGGTAAGAAATCGTGACCTTCAGCCCGCACGCGCTTGAAGACCTTGCATTCGGCCTTGTGACCGCCTGTCGTCCAGTCCAGCTTCTGACATGCTGCGGAACAGTAAGCTACGGTTCGACAGCCTGTGCATGCCTTCACAGATCTCAGGGGCTGTGACGTAGAAGGAGATTGCCCCTCTTGACTAGATGGCAACAGACACCCGCTGCATGTGGTGGACAGGTGAGGACTGTCCGGGATCGCGATGCTCGGTGAGCTGAATGTCGCGATTATCTCGCCTGGCTGGAAAGTGCGCGAGGCTGCGATGCCGCGACCACGTGGTTCGGCAACTGCGCCTTTGAGAGTGAGCCCTTCTGGGAGCAGGGGCATCGTTTGTCGTTGACTTGGCGAGGCCAGCCAGCTCGTAGATCAGGCTATGTTCAAAGTGTTGCTCAGGCAGCGTCGACAAAGAAGCGTAAACTACTTTCTGTATTGTCGGCAATTCTGCCGTTTGCACTATTCTTGATCATTCCTGTCGCTATTAGTCCTCATGGAAATGAAGTAATTCGAGCCTGTTACCCATCATTTTGCGATGCAGCGCACAAATGATGTGGGGAGGAAATAGACATTTGTTAGTGGTAGGCAGGGAGCAGCCCACTGAAATTTAGGCCGCTATAACAGTGACTGAATCTACGAGAATGCCCATAAGGATCATCCAACACCGAAATATTTCGATATCGTATCTCATAGCTGTTCGGCAAATCAGAAAACTCAATAATTTCAAATACTCGGTGCTATTTTGAAGAGGAGGTCAGGAAAAATATCTCGAAAAGGCAGCTATATCATGGTTCTTAGTCCGCCTGATCTCGACGATATGGACGGTATTCCAGCCGGTCACCCGGACACAGGGTCTAGGATCCATCTGGCGGCCAGACATACCGATACGTATTACGGTAATGACTCATATTCACCCCTCGTCTGCTTTACGATAGTATGCTCCGAGACTATAGGTTAGGCTTACGGGTCGCGGTCCTTCTAGTTCAGCCGTCTAGAAAATAGTTGTGCGAGGAGGGTAATGAGAACCACATTGAACGGGCCAGCGTTTTGAAGGAACAACACCACTCCAAGATGTAGGCTACGTTGGGTAGCTGTTGACGGATATATAATCGCAGCCCGCATGCTTCTCAGCCTCTGTGCCTCGCCTGAGACGCAGCATCCTTAATCAGCTCACCCTACCGCCCTTTCAAATAAGTCGAAAATGCCTCTTGAACTTCAGCCCGCAACTGAGGCAGACGCTGAGCGCGCTGCGGAAATTGAGAGAGAGGCGTACGGACCGAACGAGTTCAGCTCGGTTCTATTCCCCGGCCCGTTTCCCGATCCCGTGCCCGGTAAGAACACGCGCGCCGAGGAGCTGGCAAAGGCTAAACGTGAGGACCCTTCGATCCGCTGGCTCAAGGTCGTTGATACGGACCTCACCCCGACCGAAGACAACAAGCAGATGGTCGGCTTCGCTCAGTGGAACATCAATGATGGCTCACAACTACCCCCACAGCCGCGGGTTTTCCATGCCGGTTGCAACAAGGAAGCGTGCGAAGCCGTTTTTAGCAGTCTAGACGAAGTGCGTCGCAAGCGCTCCACGGGTGTCAAGCATGTTCGTAAGTTCATTAATCTTTTGTTACCATTAATTCCGAACTGGCGTCCTCGCCCATTCGGGACTTGCTTCGTGAATTCAGACTAACGCACAAGATGATAGACCTGAGATTTCTTCATGTCGATCCGAAACACCAGCGGAGAGGTGCTGGTGCTATGCTCGTGAATTGGGGCGTAGAGGAGGCTCGAAAACTCGGCCTGCCCGCATTTCTAGAATCGTCGCCAGCAGGTCACTCGCTCTACCTACGCCAGGGATTCCGCGACATCAATATACACTCCAGTAAGTGGCTCATCAAGTTGTTTCTTTTCTCGTTCTACTTAGGCCATCTTCAAGAGACAGACAAGTTCCGCACAGGCTTGACTAGCCGTTTCCCATGGTAATTGCTGACCTTATGTATCTGTAGTCGACTTCACGAAATGGGGAAAGGATGCTAATCACATCACCTATATTATGGCCCTAGAAGCTTAGAGACCAAGTATGGACGCCACATCTTTATATCCCTAGATTCATATCTCAATTATGTACTGCCCTTTTCAATTCTTCCGGAGTTTTTATTTTATTTTATTTTTTTATAGATTCTTATTTGAGCAGAGAATATATGAAGGGACTTTTTGTTGCTGTGCCGTACTTCGTGTTCGAGCTTTTGGTTTTTCTCAAGTTGGGGCTTTGCCGTGTCTTCTAGATTATGCTAGCATAGCTGACGAGTAGTCTAATATGAATTCTTTACATTCATTCTTGTTAGCAATTTCATGTTTCAAAATCGTCTGAAAGATATCGCTCGTAAATATAGATGGTGTTGGCCGCTAGGCGATGAAGTGAATATTGAGGCCACAGCAAAGAGGGTGGGGCTGAATTGGCCTTGTGGTGACCTCATTCAGCTGGCCTACCACACACATCCAGCAGCTACGAACAAGTATCTAGACAACAGCAACACTGGAAATATCAAAAAGCTCTTTTGGAGAATTGGTTCGCCTTAGCACATTCTTAACATACTCATATCATAATCCCAGTCAGCGTTGGGAACCTCATCAAAGGATTATCGTCACGGTCAACCAATATCCTCAACCCCGCCTCCGGCTTCGTGCTACATTATCAGCTTATTTTAGTGTTACTAGTACACAAACCGCCTACGCCTTTGGAATAGGCAAGTGCCAACGGGATAGCATCAATTCAATAACTTCCCTGCCAAGTGACAAGAAACAAGGGGAGCCTCGGTGAAGTCTATCACAGCGGAGCATAAACAATACAAACCCATCGAATCAGAATATGCTGTCGTCCCTATGGCCGCCTGGCGCGAAAGGCGCTGATCCGGACCCGGACCCCCCAGCGCCGCTCGTCAGCACATGGAAAGTCCGCACCGACGCCGGTGAGGCCTCGGCCATCGTGCGCGTGCGCAACCTGCAGAGCGTCATGGCCGCCGGCCGCGACGCTTGGGGCCGTGAAGCCAAACCACAGCCCGTGCTCCTGTCATCCGAGGTGTCTTTCGCGCGGCCCTTCTCGACGGCGTCTGCGGACGACTCCGTCAACGCCGAGACGGTGCACTACGGCAATCTGAGCAAGACGCTACTTGGCGGCATAGAGCTCTTCTCATCACCGCCTACCAAGAAAAAGGGACTTGTCGCCACGCACCGGCAGGAAAGCCCCGCCACTCCGCGCACGGCCGACGTGTTCGAGCTCCTGTGGGTGCAGATGACGGGCCGCGTCGTCGACGGGAGCCGTGTTGCGCTACCGCTAGACCAGGTGCCCTTCCTTGACGCGGCGAAGCTGCGTTCCTTGTCCCTCACGATCCATCTACCCAAGGCGTCGCTGCTAGGTGACGGCGTCAGCCTGACTACCACGACGTGTTTCGTTGATGCTGATGAGCTCACGGATGAGAAGAAAAAGAATCCACAGCGCTCGTACGCGCGCAGTCTCCGTCTACACAGCCTACGCGTGCCCACGCTCATCGGAGTCAATCCTAACGAGCGCGAGGCGAAGCAGATGGTTGTCGTTGATGTCGAGATTGACTGCTTTGACGTCCTTGATGACATACACACTGAACTTGAAGGCCTTGTCGTTGCAGTAGGTTATATATTCTTCTCAGTCTCCAGCAAAATCTTAGTTTCCATTCCCCTTCCACTGTCTTTCTTCGCCAAGGAATTCTGTTCCGACTTCATACTTCTATTATTGTGCGTCATGATAGGGGCGCGAGGCAAAGCTAGACATCGCACAACAAATAAAACTAATAATCCGATACAGACCTTGGAAGCATCCTCTTTTGAAACACTCGAGGCGCTTGGCACACACGTCGCCGACAAAATTCTCGATGAGTTTCGGATTCAGGGCAGTCCACAGCGTATGCGGGAAAGAGGCTGGCAGATTAAAGTGTGCCTCGAGAAGCCTATCGCCGTGCCTTTTGCGGATTGCCCAGCCGTGGAGGTTCGAGTGGGTTCATAATTGTAAATGGAAATGGAATTTTGGATTACGCAAAGACTAGACAGGTTTCGTCAAACCGGGTCGCTAACGCATGATGCGGGTAAACAGGTACGGGAGGCATACATAAATAAGATTACGGATAGAGTACGAGGTATTCGGAGATATCATACAAGGTATCAATCAAGTCTTGAGCACAGCCCAACGATCCATGACATGCGTTACGTTTGTTCTTCTTCCACGTATACTCGAGGAAGCCAGCAAAAAGAAAATCGGAGAAAAAATAAAACGAGAACAACGTACAACACCGAGGATTCGCTGGTCGTCACCGACCCAACTACTGATTCGGCCCTCACCAGCTTATCTAAGGGAGAGCGGACGGGATCCCGAGTTTTCTAATGGGTATGGTCGTACGTGGAAGAAGTGATTGCTCTTCGGGTCTAATAAACCTGTCGTGGTCTACGGCTATGGCTCCAAAGCATGGCATACATATAGATTTTGTTGTAGCAAGTATCCTGTCCATATCGGAAGGCTTCGACCTAGGGTAGAGTGAAAATTTACCTAGTTATTGCCTAAAACGAGTCAAAACTTTATCTAAGCACGTAGAACAATAGTAAATTTGGTTACAGCTCGTGAGAGTGTTCAAGTCATGATCTTTCCGCAACCAGTGTCTGTATATGCTGAATCTCGCACCTGCGATCCGTGATAACATAATAAGACTCCGGGATCGAGCGATAACAGCGGCTGAACATATCAACCTACATCAAGAGGACAGGTATTCTTCATAGTACGAATATTGTCGTTATCGTGTCTGTCCTCCTCTCGTGCGCGCCCCGGGGAGTGTTTGTGGCTTTTTGCCCTTATAGAACGTATTCTCTAACATCCTGAGAAATAATAGCTAAACCGACTTTTTCATATTGTACAACATACACCTCGCTATTCACTCGGCCTGCCCAAATGAATCACAAAAAACAATCGTGATATAGGTTTGCGTTTAGATTACAATCCAATACACTTCGCTGTGATGCCAATCTTCTTCGCAGCCTCGCTCAGATCAATAGTAACGTTCTGAGAGCTCGCCGCGAGCGCATCCCTGAAATATGGAAGCACTTGGCCCTTGTTCACGACGTCCTTGCCTTTCAACTGGAAAGGGAGCTTGCCATCTAGTTCGCACAAGGGCTTTTGTGTCAGGGCTTTGAGAATGGGTAGTTGCTGAATATCCGCGGTCGTGACAAACGTGTTGTTTCCAGGACGCAGAATGAGATTGTTGATGTAGGTCTGCCCGACATCTTCGTTGTTGAGGAAGCTAGTAAAGGTCGTATTGCCCTGTGTTTCGTCAGTCTTGAGGATCATGAAGTTCATATGCATGTCTATAGTAGCATAAGGAGCAGGGAACACGATTGGAGAAAAACTTACAATTTCCAATGTCAAGACTGAAGGATTAGGGATGTGAACAGTTGCGTTAAAATTACCCTTGACGCGAATGCTGATACTAGGGTCCGAGATCGAGAGTCCGTCAAAGTTATTAAGACCCGCAAGCGCCACGGTCTTGTCGAACGTGGCAGGGTATGCGCGAGAAACTCCCCGGACGTGGATGTGAGTGTCTCCCTTCACTTGCACGTTGACAGACACGCTAGATAGCAAAGCCTTGTTGAATGTCGTGAAAGCATCTTGGTTTGAGATCCGGATCTCTTGGCTAACGTTAACAGCCTGCATTGAGGAGGAAGTAGTTTGGGGGAAGTCAATATGTGCGAAGGCCAACGGCGGGTCGACGTCCGCCAGGTACATTGTCCCTTGAAACGCATCGACAGTGGCGTGGACGGAATCATCTGCTTCGATAGTAGAGTTTATGGCCATAATGAGCGAGTCTGTCTGCGTATTTGTGACGGTGATCCCGTCAATTGTTAACTTGGCTCCATCCAGCTTCTGCTGTGCGATCTTCGGTACCGCTACAAGCAATCTGAGTCCCCAATTAGTTCATGATCTATCGAAAAGCTTGCTTATAGGTGGTGAGTAGAGGCCATGAACCTACACCGAAGGTACTACAATGACAGTAGCAATGATGAGGAATACTAGCAAGTAAACCCACCAGAAGCGCTTGAAGTGGCTCTTCTTCCCAGGCGCGGCCATGGGTGTTATATCACTCCCAGCCGAATCTGTTTTCGTGTCTGGCATATTGACTACTTAGACTTCATGCCCCTTGGACGAAGAAAATTCCATGCAGTAAGGAGCAGTATAAAATGAGCACGTGAGTGCCAAAAATATTTAAACTAAAAGAAACCTAGGTGAGGGTGGCTACCCGAGCGTAAAATATCAGTTATCTCGATATAACAAAGAAATAATATGTGGTCAGGTGGGCATACCTTGTATAGGTACACCTGCTCGGTCCTTTCTTAGAGCACACGTACAGCAACGGAGCGATCCCACACGTAGAGAGAAACATATAACGACGAAGGCCATCGCGGTAATGCAATGTTGCACTTGCTATACCCATAATCTGTCTATTAAGCTGCTACAAACAGCATAGTTCAGTAATGTGTGGCATGTAGTATCTGCTGCTGGCCTAGACCATGTGAATTCCCCGAATCGCCTATCAATTCTGCCCTATGAAACAGTCCAATTCGTAGTGCGTTTAGTATAATACTTTCTTCACCAGCTTGGCTCGTCGCATAATGGCAACGATTTGCTTGTGCAGGGGATGATACACGTAGGTAACCTAGTATAGTTTACGATCAGAATACGATGACGAGCGGGCCAGACCGAGGGAAAACGAGACAGCAACGATGATTCGATGACGTTCATGTCTCAATGCCATGCCGGCTGTGACCAATCAAGAGCTGGAACCACGGGGTGAAAGGGAGAGCATGGTCTACGTTTATGTAAAAACCGGCCAACGGTTGGGTGCGAACAACAACGCGGACGGGTAAGGCCGGGGACCCTAGTAGAAGAAGTAGGTATCCGTTGCCTCCTTTTCGGCATATTCTTGTATGAGCGTTGGCCTCATTACGGCCCTATTCCCTGCTTGAGAAGACAGGCCCGAATACTGAGATCTCGCCCTCCTGTTCGTGCTGCGGAATACGAAAGACAAACAAGGATCACTGATCAGTTCTGGACAGTCCGACAGTGTACTACTGCTCCATACTACCAATACCTAATCGTAAAACAGGCCAATGTGCGCTACTAAGTAGGTATGTAGGTAGAGCCAAGCAGACCTGATTCCTCGGCATGGCACAGAAAAGGAGACTCGAAAGCATGTGAAAGGCAATCCAACTGGTGGCTATACAATAAGGAGAGTACTATGTACGTGTTTCTACGTACTATGTAGTCACACATTCCAATTGAGAACTTACCCCGTGTCTTGGCATAACCAGAACAACCGTATAATCTCTTCAAAACAAGCCTTTTCTCCTTGAATCAGAGCTAATTCGCATTAGTAGAGGTATAGCGGGGGCGATCTGAGGTGAACTCCCGGATCCGCTGTACTAGGTATAAGTAAGTATAGCATCCCACTTTCAGCGCCTCAGCTCTAGCCTTGGGGCACTCTGGGGCACACTCGGCACTCCACTGTTCTATCGTCTTACTAGGTATGTAGGTACTATGTACCTAAGTATTAAGGACCTAAGTTCATTCCCTCTCGCCGTCTGCCAGCTTCGATGTGTTCAAGGCTCAGGTCAATTAGCAATGAATTTCGACGGGAGTCATGACTAAGTAGGTGTCTAGATAGCTATAATAACTATCACAATGCACTCCAGTCTACCTACACACGTGTCCAATACCAATTGGGCTGATGATTTCATGTGTCCAGCCTTAATACATATTAGATACCTTACCATCTGACACAGAACATAGGTACCTAGAGTAGGTAGGTAGGTAGGTACTTACCTAAAGGTATGTAGGTAGCTCATAAGATGATGCATTTTTACGGAAACATTTCCCATGTGAATTGTCATGTCTCATTCCTCGATGCTAGCTAAGAGGGTCAATTTATCATCTGGAGAACCTGGGAACAAAGGAAAGACTGCTCCTAGCTGATCTCATTCCCCGAGGCCCAACCACCAAGGTCCCTTCACTTCCCCTATCTGAATATCCTCGCAGACTACATTTATCTACATACTCAGACAAACCCGCCATCTGTACAGTACTTGTCCCCAGGGTTTCTTATTTCCCCCAGCTTCGCTTCTACACGACAGTCCCAGCTTTTTGCGCATTCACATCGTCTGCCTTCTGGACGCAATCCTCGATGACTTTCCAGAAGAGCTCGATATCGAGCCCGCGGGGGATACGAACGCCTTCTTCCCCAGGCGGCAATAGTCGCACGACCGTGCGTCCGGTCTGCGTTCCCTTCTCCCTGGCGTCCTCGAGCGTCCCCTCCGTGACGACGCGGACCTCGAATCTCTCCCGCCGCTCCGGCCCCTGGGGGCTCGCGGGGTCGAAGTCGTAGAACGGAATCTCGTGACGCGTCCCTGTCAGAATGGCCGCCACGGCGAGCGGGTCGTGCAGTGGCGGACCGTCAACTATGCCGAAGACGTCGCTGGATTGCGCTCGGTTAGTTTCTGCAGTCTTGGGTCACACAACGCAAGCACAAGTAGGTAGTTACACGTGGAGATGGGAGAGGAGCAGGGGTTAATTTAAAATAAAAAGAGAACATTATTAAAAAAAGAAAAAGACCGAACTCACCGGTAAGTCTCAGCAAAGAACATAAGCAGCTCGACAAGCATCTGCCGCAACGTAGACTTCGCCTTCATTCCCTTCTGCTCCAAGTCCTCTGCTGCAGCCTTTGCCGTTGCCGGTTGGGTGCCTTTGAGCAGCAGGTCCTGCACCTCTTTCGTCGCCAGCACGAGATGCGTGAGATCAAGCGGCACGAGCGTTGACTTCGGGGCGAGGATGGGGTCGTGGAGCAGCGCGGCGGCTGCCTCGGGATCTATGAGCACGTTGAACTCGGCCCACTGCGAGTAATTCCCTATGCGCTCGACGTCGTCGACGCGGCCCAAGGGGGCGGCTGTGAAGCCGTCGCCGACACTGCCACCCATGATACTCACGCCTGCCACGTGGGACCTGAGGTCTGGGTGTGCGGTAAACAGCTGCGCGACATTAGTGAGCGCCCCCGTGCCCACCACCCATGGCGTGCCGGGTTCGCAGGCTCGTAGCGCGGACGCCATAGCGTCGACGGCGGACATGGATGCGTCCAGGGCCGAACGCGCCGGCGGGGGGAGCAGGGCTGTCCCGTCTAGCCCCGACTCACCGTGGATCTCAACCGCGGGGACGGCATCCCGCTCCAGTGCATTTGCTGCCCCTGGGTACACGCGGAGGCTGTCATCCTTTCCAATGGCGGATAACACGGAGAGCGCGTTGTTCGTCGTCTTTTGTAGCGACGCGTTGCCGTGGACCGTGCTTATGCCCAACAGTTTGATGCCAGGGTGGTAAGCACCTAACAGAATGGCAAAGACATCCTGGTTTGTTTGTTAGCTGACTGGTGTTGGGTGCGAATATGTTGTGGGGATATCCGTATTGCATTGCATTAAATGGATGGAAGGCTATCAGTTGTTGAAGTGCTCTGGCCATCCTATTGCAGCGCGAGGCTGTGCGTGATTAAGACAAAAGAAACACATGGGCTCGAGATGACAGAATCAAGTGGGGTTTGATAAGTAAATATTTCAATCCTCTAACTATACTTACATCGTGCCCTGGATCGCAGTCTAGCCAGAGAGGAACAATGTCCGACATGATGGGTTTGGATATTATTTGGCGATATAGTCTCACAGCTATACTGAGTTGTCTAGTTCTAGCTTAGGACCCTATGAGTCTGGATGCGCAAAGAATGAGATTGATGCGGAGAGAGTGAGAAGATCGCAGAGGCTCAAGAGGTTGTTTTCATGAGGAAGGGGAAATAAAGAGGATATAAAGTTGGATATTTAAGAAGTTATGGGTTTGCCTAAGCAGTTAGTTGGCTATCTTGTGGGCCTGTCACCACGTCTGCTTATTTGTTTGACTACTTAGTTCTGTCCCTAGTGGAGAGGCTCGGATGTGTACACGGAATCGGCGCTCTAAAAAGTCGCTCAAAGCAAGCATCTTGATTATTCCAGATATCTCGACTCTAGGGAACCTCAGCCGCTTAGAGACGGCCATTGTTCGCGAGGCTCGTGGGAGTTGGAGGGGGATTAGTAAAACCCTAGCCTCCCATTGGCTCCCGAGACCAAAGTGGTAAGTAGGTACCCTTTGCCTGAGGTAACAATGAGACACGGAATTCGTGGCGTTTTTGCACATGACTATCGCAAAGTCGAACTCAGGGAGATCTGACCATCAATGTATTTTAAAACGTAATTCTAGACCGTCGTCGTACAATGATATGCCGGTGGTTATTGGGCAGCTCGTTGTCTCTCCATCACGCGCAAAACGTCGGCGGCATTATTACCATCCCCCTTTCGCTTCTTAGGTCCCCGTTTGCGCTTTGAGCCCCCTCTGCTGTGATCTCCCCCTTCTTCCTCATCCCGCCCCCATTCCGATAACTTGACTCTCTGCTCATCGAGATCTGCATCATCGTCAAGGCGACTCGTGCCAAAACCCATATCTAGATCTTGTGCGTCTCGATCATTATTCTGTAGCATCTTACGCAGCCGCTCTGCTTTCTCTCTTGCCTCTTTGTCATCTTCCTCGGATGAATCGGCAATGGCTCGAAGAGAAGCAGCCTTTTTGAAGGCTGCCTGAATCGCAGGATCTGACATGGACGGCGCTGCCAATGTTTCGGAAGACACGAGTCCGGTCTTGGAATCTTTGAAGTAGTCCCGTGGCTCGGACACACCGACAGGACGTGAGGGTGGCGGCATTATTCTATTGGCTTCTTTGTCTGCACTTTCGGCCTTTGCCTGTTCTGCGGACGCCTCATCGTCCTTGTCATCTTCATCAGAACTATCATCCAATCCTGCCAGCGGGTCGTAGTCATCGTCCACGTCATCAAAGATATCGTCGCTTTCTTCCGGCTCCTTGGCTTTTGATTTGTATTTGTCAGGAACTTCCATCCCTAGCGGCTTCGCTTTGGGATCAGGGACCATCAAATCGTTTGCTTCTTGTGACGGCTCTTCGGGTACAATCTTGCGCACTTTGCGCTTTTCGTTGCCATCCTCATCAGTTATTATCATCACTTCTCGTCCTCGACCGTCTCTCTCTATCCTCGTCCCGGGCGCTTTCACGCCAATCTTCCTGAATTTATCTCCCAAGGTTGACTCCTTTTTCATCTGTGCGGCGCCCCGCGCAGCCTTCATCTCTGCCAAGATTTGATCTCTGGTTCGTTTTTTAGAAGCATTTGTAGGCGCAGTGGACAATTGGCCTTTCTTAATTGTCTTCTCTTTTGTCATTGTCGAGACTTCCTCCTCTTCTAAACGGTCGAGTTCATCATCGACATCCTCAGGGGTCTCATCTTCTTCGTTGTGTGCTTCGCTATTGTTGTAGACGTTTTCACCCTTTCGTATCCGCTCGAGTAGCTTGAAATCTAAACCCTTTACGAGATGCGTGCTTGATAGATCACCGCCTGCAATCTGACTCCTGAGATGGTCAAAAGTTGGTTGGTCAATCTCCTCTTTCTTAAAAGCCTCCTCGAGAGCTTTCAGCCTTGTTGCTCGATCATCTCCCTCCTCTTCCTCTTTAGAATTCCGGGCTTGTGTGCGGTCGACGTAGCCCTCAGCTAGTTTAGAACCTTTCGGCGCAAATGACCGAAACTTCTTCTCTTTCTTGTCGGGTTGATTCCGTTCTGCGAGTTGTCGCGCGAAGTTAGATTTAGAGAGGCCTGCCACCGAGCGCCTTGATTTTAGTCAGACGTGAGCCCTTAGGTAGAGAGTTGTAAGCTTACGGTGTCATGGGAATGCAAGATTTCTGTCGAGATCCAAGGGCAACTCCGCGCGAGGGAGTCGAGGATGCGCCATTGTTGTCGCTAGTTGGCGACTTGGCCGCATTTGCAGCAATAAGCCGACGAAACTGTTCGTTGTTCATGTTCCGGTGCCCACTCGTCGACCAAGGATGATACCACGCAGTGTATCGCTTGATCTCTGTTGCAAGGCGATGCTGAATGAAGATTATCCCCGAGGATTCGATAGCTTCATCTGTAGATACCTTCTTGTAGATAGGTACCGATCGATACTTAGGTACTTAGCTGAACTAACACAATGGATTGTCTAGCTGGGGCTAGTCCATCCATACAGAGTGGCCAGAAAAGTGGAACTACCACACCAAGTCACGGGATGACGTGTAAATAGGTCGCGCTCAGATGCCAGTTGCACCTCCACTCCTACAAGTCCATTAAAGTGGTCGGTGCCTGCGCGCCACATCATAGTCATATTCCAAGAGTTATTTATAAGCAGCTATCCTCTGTCGGCTCTATGAATAATCACAACACATTCATGAGAAGCTTCTCTAAGATCGGATATGATGATGGTAGAAGACGGATGTGAGACAAAACCACTTCCCTCTGGTTTAAAATGATGATGCGCGTGCTCAGCTCAGGCGTATTAAATCATCAACCTGCGAACCACCATTGTCAAAATGGGAAGCTTTCTCGAGAAGAACTCAAATGCTGTGCGGAAGCGCATAGAGAACCACACCTTCTCCGATGAGGCTGGTGAAGAATATGAACCGAGTGCTTTTGGTGGCTTCTCGGATTACTTTCGCCGCAAGAAGATTAAGCTCCAGAACCTCGATTCAGAACTGAGGGCTTCGTCATCGGATAAACCGCAGATTTTCAAGGGTGTTGTCGCTCATGTAAGCGGGTACACGCAACCGCCGCTTCATGTGTGAGTCGAGCGATATCCCGAAACTACCAGAGATAATGATTCGCATTGAGCTAACCTGTGAAAGGCTTCACCGTGATTTGGTTCTACATGGCGCTGGTTTCCTTCAGTATCTTGACTCCAAAACCATGGCCACCCATATCATTGCGTCGAGTCTACCGCCGAAGAAGATAGTTGAGTTCAATAAATACAGGATCGTGAAACCGGCTTGGGTGGCCGATTCAATCAGTGCTGGGAGGCTCTTACCCTGGACTGATTATCGCGTTATTGAGGAAACTCCTCGCCAAAAAACGATCAAGTTAGATGGAAGTGGCATATCTACACAAAGACGCACACAGCAATCACCACTGTCTGTCTACCGAGAACAGACTGAAAACAGCTTCTACACATCCCAGGTAAAGAAATTCATTGATGCTCTAGACAGCTCACCCAGCAAGCCAAAAAGTGCGGCGGCAACCGCTTTAGCTCGTGAAGATGACTTAGCCGAGGTTAATGATTCTACTCCTATGGGTGAACAACAGCGAAGTTCTAGTAATACTCCGCAATTTCTCAGTGATGACAACATAGAACATCGTTTGGAGGATGTATCGAATACTGAAGAAGCTACCTCCACACCCTTCGAGCCGCCTATGTTGAAGCTTCAGCCTGATATGGAACCAGATGAACTTGAATCCAGCGCACTAGCCGCTCAACGTAAGACGATGACTTCCGAAGAACATAATGCCTTATTGCTTCAAGATCCTCGCATGAAGAAATCATCGACTGCGAATCCGGACTTTATACGACAGTACTACTCCGAAAGCCGCCTTCATCATCTGTCAACTTGGAAGGCCGACCTTAAGTCAAAAATGCAAAAGCTTGCAGCTGAAAAGAGTCACCAGAGGAAGTCAACGAAAAGGAAGCCAGGCTCGCGGAGATATATTCTACACGTCGATTTTGACAGCTTTTTCTGTGCTGTATCTCTCAAATCGGCACCCAGTTTCAGTGATAAACCCACTGTCGTTGCACACGGTACGGGTGATGGGTCAGAAATCGCCAGTTGCAACTACCCTGCTAGAGAATTTGGAGTCAAAAATGGCATGTGGATGAAACGAGCCAAGGAGCTTTGCCCTGAACTCAAGGTCCTGCCATATGATTTCCCGGCGTATGAAGACGCGAGCAGGCTATTCTATGAGTGCATTGTAGAGATTGGAGGTGTCGTGCAAAGTGTCAGTATTGATGAGGCTTTAGTAGACGCAACCTCAATCATCCTCTCTGCTGTTGGATCAGATGGGTCGGGGATAGATGAAGGTAGCATTGTGAGTGGTTGTCTGGGTCCATTCCTGCTTATGTCGTAGACTTTGAGATCTTCAAAGGCTCATTTTCCCTACTACCATGACGTGCAAGTGCCTTGCATTCTCGCGAGGTTCCTATATTTGCTCAGCAAATGGTCACTAATCTCAAAACCTGTAGTGGCGCGAACAAGAAAAAGCCGATCAGATCGCGTTGTCTCTCCGAGACCAGATCAAAGCGAGAACGGGATGTGCTGTGTCAGTGGGCATTGGAGGTAATATCCTATTGGCAAAGGTAGCGCTAAGAAAAGCGAAGCCAGCAGGGCAGTAGTACGTAACCATTGGCGTCATTTTCTTCCTGTTCTAGTTACTCCCGGAGGCCATGGTTGCCAATTAGGGGCACAATTGTGTCTCGGGAGTATACAGAATTCTCGAATCTCTTATCTGAAAGAATAATTACTGACTCCAGCGGTTGTAGTCAGTACGTCTTTCAGGCCCCGTGTCTCGAATCCCGGCGAATATTTATCCCTACGTGCTTCTATAATGGTCCCCCTTATGCCCGAAACACATATTTCTAATACTCTGGTCTCTCTAGGATCAAACCCGATGAAGTGCTTTCCTTCTTAGGAGGGTTAAAAGTAGACGACTTACCCGGCGTCGCATATAGTACAGCGGGTAAGCTTGAGGAGATAGGGATCAAATTCGTGGATGATATTCGGCAAATTTCTAAAGAACGCTTGGTCAGCACTCTTGGGCCCAAAACAGGTGGAAAGCTCTGGGACTACGCTCGAGGAATTGATAAGACTGAGGTTGGGGAGCAGCCAATTCGAAAATCCGTTTCAGCTGAAGTCAACTGGGGCATTCGCTTCATTAACCAAGAAGAGGCTGAGGAGTTCGTGTTTAACCTCTGCAAAGAGCTGGAAAAGCGGCTACTGAACGAGCAGGTCAAAGGCAAACAACTCACTATGAAAATTATGAGGCGGTCTATGGATGCGCCGCTTGACCCGCCTAAGCACCTAGGGCATGGGAAATGCGACACGTTCAACAAGAGCGTCTCGTTTGGTGTTGCCACCCATGATCATCAGGCTCTAGGCAAAGAAGCGGTCTCAATCCTCCGTTCCTATAATTTCAGTCCTGGCGACTTGCGTGGATTGGGCGTCCAGCTAACCAAACTTGAACCCATAAAAGCCGGTCTGTCGGGGCCTGATGGGAGCCAGAAAAGATTGAACTTTGGAAGCGTTAAAACGACTGGGTCAGCCACGAAATTTGCTGAAGATCCCATCCAGGATGCTAGTAGCGTGGACCAGCTTCTCAACTCGCCTCAGGGACGGGATTCTGCACCAGACCCAATCGTAGACGGCCCAGTTACTCCCAGGAAGCCAAAGTCTCACGGTCCACATCCAGCCTTGAGAATAGCGCAAGCAGGGGAGAAAGATGCTAAGGCCCGGCTACCTCTCAATATATCAGGCACACAATTCATTTTGCCCAGTAACACTGACCCTGTGGTGCTCGCTGAATTACCCCATGATATTCGAGGCAAGTTGATGGCCCAGGGTCAATATAGGAGCAGTTCCGAAGTGCGTGATGACTTATCCACAAAATCGAGAACACAAAGCCCAGCTCCAACTGAAATCCCGCCCGAAATTGACCCAGAGGTCTTCCATGCGCTCCCAGAAGATATGAAAGCCGAGATTCTAGGCTCATATAGATCCCGATCTAGACAGACTCTTTTACCACAGTCACCCCGTAAAGACCGTATGATCCAGCTAACGAAGAAGACAACGCCTACAAAGCGCCGGGGTCGAAGCTCAAAGGAGCGACTGGCTGATGCAAATGCCAAGATTGTGCAGACCAATCTGTTCTCGCGCAAGCAACAAGCTGATGATACGGGGCTGGGGGAGATGGAAGAGCTAGACGAGGCGTTTCTCGCCGAACTGCCAGAAGACATGCGCAACGAGGTAATAGCCGATTACCGGAGACGTAAAGCCCAACGGTCGGGTTTAGATCTCAAGATCAACCCCAAGCGAGATCAAGACGGCGGGGCTAAAGATCCTCTACCTGGGGGTCAGATGAGATTGAAGTTTCCTTCTCCACCACCTAAGGTTACCTTTCCGGGCAGCACAATGACGTCTGTTATAGAGATCAGGGATATGCTGAACGTATGGCACGGCGAAACTAGTAAAGATGGGCCTCATCAGAGAGACGTCGAGTTGTTCATAGAGTATCTCGTTAAAGTCATTGTGGAAGAGAGAGATATGGACAAAGTGCAGAAGCTGGTTAGGTGGCTAGACTTTCTTATCGATGAAGATGTGTCAGAAGCGCAACCAGGGAGAGTCACATGGCGCGCCGTTGTCAAGGATGTTAAGGAAGGGGTGCAAAAAGCAGTCCGATCAAGGGGACTTGGGCCTCTTGAATTAGGGTAGTCTCAAAAATGTGCTCAGGGTTATGTCTATTATGATATTATTTCAGTAGACAAACCCAGAAGCTTCCACCTGGTTTTCCACCAGCTCCCTAACGCCTATACCCTAAACTTTAGGGCAACGATCCCACCAACGTTCCATCATGCTCATGAACACAACATGCCTCATACAGTCAAACGCTACACTCACAAAATAGTATACATCAACCCTCAATTAATTATTCAGCCCGCGAAAGCAAATCCCAACGTCAGAACGACCGCGCCAAAAACCGCGCCCTTCCAAGCTCCATCCGCCCTCAACTCCCCAGCGCCGCTCTTATCGTTCGCATCAACAAAAGTAGAATTATAAAGACTCAATCTCAGCGCGCCGCCACACGCCGTCGTATTCGCACCATCACAGGATGTGTCGCAAGCACCGTCTGACAAGCGCTCGCTAAGGGAATTCAGCTCGTCGCCGCACCAGCACTCGCGTGAGTACTCTAGGCCCGCGAGTTGGTATGGGCGCGACGGGCGGTCGTGCGCGCAGAAGTGCAGACACCGCTCTACCGTCATCTCCTCTGGTAGTGTCTCGCTGGCGCCATCCAGGGCGCGAAGTCCCGTAGTTCCCGGGAGCGCGGAGGTCTCGTTCCAGCACCCTATGTAGACGTAATCACTGGCGCTGCCGTCGACGATGGTTAAAGTGTTATTGGAAGATTGAGCCGCGACGTGAGGTAGGATTGGAGGGGTGATTAGGAGGAGGGAAAGAAGGGGGAGGGGGTAACCTCGTAGCATCGCGACGAGTTTGTTTTGCAAAATTTATGTCGGGATGAGACGTGATGAAGTTTAAGAATGCTTTATCGCTGAGCTGACGGCGTTCTAGCCTTTAGTCAACCAGAATAGCGACTGAGAAATCTATGATTGTTCCACCTCGTCTTTTAACACTTTCGGCCTTGTACGAGTCACAATTGTCGCTCTCGATATATCTCGATACCAAGAGCTTCTTCGTAATTCGACTCCTCTGTTGACAATGAAAGGAATTGCCTGCTCGACCTCTCCTCAACCCAACACTGCAAATCTAGAAACCTTCAATATCGGCCTTTAAGGACGGTTCAGTAATAAGTATTATTTATCGGCATATGCAGGTACTCAAGTATGATGTGCTATGCCGTGCATGGGGCGTACAAATAGGTATGTGCAGACAAGGATGGTGATGACAGACGTCGTGTTACGATTCCAAACTCTTGGGTTGGCAGGATCTCTGAAACGTGAAACAATGTAATGGGAAAGACGGCGGCGACAAGAACACTTCGAGCAGACAAGCTCTTCGCAGGAAAATGAAGGGGAAATAAGAAAGTGAGAAACAACCCAAAAAGTGAAATCTAGTAAGCCGCGCTCCTGTAATGCCTTATCTAAATACCCAATTCAAGAACCAACAGAGAAGGGAAGAAAAAATCAAACCCAATAAATCGATGAACCCATGTATGCAAGCTGACAGGCACTGCAACCAACGGTTCGCGCTTACACGTTGCGAAGCGAAAGGGGCGAATAGCCAAAGTACAGATAGCGTAGGTAGCTGAAAAAAGCTCCCCTGTTCCTCAGCCCGTTCGAGGCGTCACCAGGCTCCAGCTGACGCGGGGTCTAGACGCACAATCGCGGTGCAGACTCGATGGCCTAGGCCAAGTTGGAAAGAATGTGCTACCTACATTACATTACATTACTATCCATTATTTACATGGGAGCGAGGCGGCCGATTCCTCCCGACGGTCTATTACGGACGCTACGCTAAATAGCGAGAGTCTAATTCCAAGTCTAGATAAAAAGGTTAGTATTTCACGGCAATCTCTCAAGCCTGTGCCGAGCGCTAACGATGTTCCGGCTAAACGGCGTTAGCAGAACCGCGATAGGTAAGAGATAGTACCTTGAGCTTGTGTTCATCTGTTTGCGAACAAGATCACTACTATGCGCTTGTGCTATGAGAATAGATTCCTTCCTTGAGGAAACAAACCTGCTGGATATATTGCCGTCTGTAGCATAGGCACCCAGCAGATGAAGCAGGTCTATCGCTGAGTTTCGTTTTGCCGACAGTATTTACATAACATACCTACGTAAAGGCAGAAATATATCATCAGCTCCGGGGGTCATCTTTAATGCCCCAGCTGCCAACAAGCCTCATAGCTTTCTCGTCTCCATCGATCAGACGCTCATCTTGTAAGGTGTCAGAGAGACATCTCCAGGGATCGCGACTGCCACCCCACTTGAGGAGGTTTTCCTTCAGTCGCTCCCCGTTTTCTCTATCTAATGCAGCCCCGTTTTGGCCCGCCGAGAAGACAATTCGCCATACACGTTCTGAGAGTACCTGATCGAACAGGTAACTGTAGTACGTACTGCCATATCCGAAGAGATGCCCAAAGAAGCCTTGCCACCTCGTACCTGGCGGGTCTGGCGGTAACTTGCCAAACTCCCTTTGAAGATCAAGATAAATCTTCGTAGAGTCGAAATCTTTCTCTCGCACAGTTGGGGAATGATATTGTTGGTCTAGCATGGCCAGAATGATTTGATTCTCTCGATCAGACGCCTCGAAACGATCGGAAACTTCCAATCTTTGTGCAACCATGTGGTAGGGAAGGGGTTCGTCGGTCTTGTAATGCCGAGCAAATAGAGCTAGCACAGAGGGGTCTGCACAGAAGTGTTCCATTAGTGTTGACGGGAGTTCGGCGAAATCAGTGGCACACCTCGTCCCAGCTACATTGTGAAGTGAGGTCCGGGCCAGGACGGAATGAATCGCATGTCCCATCTCATGGAAAAGGGTCTCCACCTGATAATAATCTAGCAGCGCAGGCTGATCTCGCTGATTATGTGCCTGGTGGAAGTCACAAAGCAACGCAATTGTCGGTAATTGCTTTGGTGAACCGGATTGCTGCGAGATATGCATGCCATCATTGGCTGCTTCTAAAGGCGTTTCGAAAGTAGGCGATCCTCCCTGGCCATTTTGCTCCCATGTTTCCTGAATCTCATCTGTTGAGATTTCCCGCGAGCAGCGCACGGTGAAGTGCGCAGGATTTGGCGATTTACCATCTCGGTAAAATAGATCACAGTATAAAACGGCTACGTGCCCATCAGTGTCAGAGATGACATCTAGCCGTTTTACATCTGGGTGCCATGTTTCTCCCGGAAGTGTCTCTCTAGGAACCAACCGTATACCATATAGTCGATTGAAAAGCCTGGAAAGGCCTTGCATAACCGTACCAAGAGAGAAGTAAGCGGCTAAGTGGTCATTTATTTTTCGTTTTGATCGCATCGTAGTTCGTATACATTCCATATAATAGTCTTTATCCCAAGGCTGAAGTGTAGTGTCACCACCGAGCCTCTGGCGCTTCTCTCCTATTAGATCAGCAAGCTCAGCTTCCACGAACGAAGAATTGTGCTTAGACAGGGCTTGAAGAAACTGGCGAACAGATTCCGGGGTTTTCGCCATCATTTTATCATGAAGAGCCATGTGACCGTAGCTGTCGTATCCCGATAACGAGGCGAGACGAGAACGAAGTTTAAGCATGTGCTCCAGCGTATCAATTGAACGCCTAGATGCCGTCCGTGTGGCATAGTAGAGTGCTTGTCGAGTATCTTCATCATGCACTGTCCGCAATGCTACCGTGGCCTCCGGGGCCATAGTCGGCAGACGAAGAACACCACGCCGGACCATTTTATGGGCCATCAGGGGGTCAATGCCTTGGAATCTGCTGCTAGGCAACTCGACATAGTGCTTCTCGGGCTCCATACAATCCACGAACTCAGCACCCAGCTCGCTAATATTTTGAGCCACATCTACAAAAGCATCCCGATAATCCTTTGGTAAATTTATCGCGGATTTTTTAAAATCCTGTTGCAGGAGCCTTGCAACAGTCTGTTCCTCCTCGCTCCAACTTGCCACCACCTCAGGAGTTCCTAAAGCCTTATCAAGCTGATCGCTTAATGTAGTTGAAGTGTTCAACTGATTCATATACATATATGCTTTAGACCACGCGACAGACGCAGCTTTCTGGATATTAGTATCTGGATGTGTTATCCGCACAAAGTCGGTCACATCTAGTACTCGACAGAGTAGGTCGCTTAATCTATCCAAATCCCTGACTAAATTCTTGTATTCTGCCACAGTCGAAGCACAGGTGATTTTGACGACGAGCCTCGAAGCCCTGGATATTGTGATATCGGCGAATGTTAGAAAGCCTTGAGGCGAGGTCAAGTACTTGTTCCGGAACAAGCCGACATTTTTTAGGTTCGCGATCTGAGGCAAGGCCTGGAAGAAACCGCGCGAAGTAGGCGGGGAGTCGAGTATTTGCCGTAGAAGAGCATCATCGTGCTTTGGATCGGCGGTCGAGTGGTTAGCCGGTACAGCTTGTACGGATTGTACGGCCTCGTCACTGCTATGGGCGGTGCCGGACACGGCAGAGAACCAGCGCTGCTTCGGTAGCTGTTGTCGTTGAACTCGGGGAGCTTGATGTATACATCTCGAGCAGGTCCACAGACCTGACCGCATAGCTTTGATCATGTTGTATCGGGCATCATATTAAATACCATAAGACAGAAATATCATGACAGCGAAAGGGAAAACAGAGAAACGAGCGTAGATATGCTGCACGACCAGAAGGTATGGGGAAAGTCCACCGGCGAAAGTCCACCGGCGCAAGATTTGGCGTACAGCGTAGGCGATACCGCGGGTCAATGGATGCTACGGTGGGATGCTACGGTGCAGGGGCGGGTCGCCTAAAAGTCGCAGCTTAACATACCGAGCCTCCGGAAATGGCCGCAAAAAAGACAGGTACCAGAGTACCTCCACGCCAGCGACAGTGACGGAGTGCATTTCTGAAATTCATCTCACCAACCTCAAGACAACCCATACCGCCCCCCTCAACGTCAATTGGTCGCCAACATGGCTGCGAGAGTGCTGCTGCGACAGGTAACGTCGACGGACAGAGCTCCCATCAAGAAATTTCAATGCTGATCAGCTGCTACAGAGAGTCGCCGCACCTTTCATGGCCGCTACCCTGGTTGGAGGAGCTCTATTTCCCTCGGTTGCGCTCGCCGAAGCACCACCTCAACAGATCCAAGACCATCAACTTTTTGTACGGACGAGCCACCCGGTCCCCGTTCTCGCATGCCTTCATTTCATGACCTCTGTTGCCGCTAACACCAGCATTGCAGCTAAGGAAAAAGCCGATCTACGACGACTTCGAGGACACACCTCTACCCAAGAGCACAACGCCTGTACCCTCTCCGACATCCAGCACAATACCCGCATCGTCAAAACTTCTACCTGAGCCCGTCGACGATGAGCAGCATATCATTTCGCGGGGCCCAACACCCACAGACCGCCTAGCCGAACAAATCGGCAAGGTTCGCCTATTTCTATACAAGCAGGCTGTAGCGGCTGAGGATGGTGTCAATGCCGCCGTCGATAAGGCATTCCACCTAGAGAAGTCTTTCACGTCTACCATTGCGTCCCTGGCGCCTACACGCGAGAGTGGTGAACAGCTGATGCCGGGACTTGTGTACGTGCTAGTAGCTTCGATGGCCGGCAGCATCATGACGCGAAACCGCAACATCCTCCTCCGCGCTTCTCTCCCTCTGGCACTGGGCATCGGCGCCGGCTGGGTCGTCATCCCCGTCACCATGGGCAATGTCTCGGACCTTCTGTGGACGTACGAGCAGCGGTTCCCGGCCGTCGCCGAGACGCACGTGCGCACGCGCGAGAGCATCCAGCATGCTTGGCACATGACGACAATGCATACAGAACTCGGCAAGAACTACATCGGCGAAAAGGTCGGCGATGCTCGCGATGTCGTCGAGGGCTGGGTCAAGAACGGCAAAAAATAAACAAAATTCGCAGTGTGGCTGTTACCCCATAGGAGGAAGGTGTCTGTACTATAGACGGTTGAATAGACGCATACATTTTCCTTTGTCCAAAACATGAACATAAATATGTATGTTAGTTTCGCTGCAGTAGATGGCATGAAAAAATAAAGACATTAATGTACAACTCGATTTGGTCCTACCATGTCTATAGGGTATCCTGTCTATGTGGCCATGCTAAACCTATCTATGTAACCGTGACCGTCTAGTGTTATCTCTGCCCGTTCTTAACAGCCGAAAGCCTACCTCTTCTCTCTCGTCATAATATAATACATTCCTTCTAAACAGCCGTCTCTGTCGTATCGTTGTCTCCATAACTAATAAGGAAGTTCATCATTCTTTCGTATGTCCACATCGTAACCGCACTCGCCGGCGCCGCCTTCATCAAACTCACCGTCAATCCTCTATAAAGGCCCCTTATCCTCTCTTGCTTGACGATCTGCTTGATCGTACTAATGGTGCCTGCATATTCGGGAATGTTTCGGTGGACATAGCGATTCCGCGTGGGACCTTGCACTTGGATACGCTTGCGCACGAGATCTAACGGGAACACGCCCGTCTTTGCGACGACACTAGCGAGCACGCCCGCAGTTGCGTCCCCGGATCCCCACGGCAGGTCCAGCTGGCCGAGCGGCTGTCGCGCGGACTCGTATATGGCGAAGAACACACCCATGAGCGGCACGATTTGTGCGAGGCCGGGCGATAACCCGCGGAAGAACCCCTTGAACCCCTCGTCGCGGCGGATTTCCCATATCGCCCGCACCAGAGACGTGTAGACGCGGTCGTTGCCCTGGGCGGCGAAGCGTGTACGCAGCAGGTCCAGCGGATACGTAGTCGCAGTGGCTGCAGCGCCGGCAGCGGCGCCGCTGATAAAGGACTCGGCCGCTTGCGGGAGGCGGTTGTCGTCGCCGAACATGCGATGCAGCAGCATCGTCGTCGACCGGTACGCCGTGAACTGCACGGCGGCATACGACACGTACATAAGCTCGGCTGGCACATTGCCCTTCCACAGTCCCGTGACCCCTTCATTTCGCACGATATGTTGTAGCGTCCGTAACGTGCCCTTGTAGACGGGCGAGCCGCGCAGGTTCGCATGTGACAGGGGGTCCGAGAGGGAATGCGACTGCAACTGGAGCCGGATCTTGACGACGTCGAGCGGTGCAATGACGAACCTCGAGACCAGACCGGCGGTGGCTCCCGCGGCAACTACTTGGAGGCGTGAGCCCTGTGTGGTGGCGTCGAGTTAGATCTCGGTGATTGCGCTGCAGGATTAAATCCCATCAGACAGCGAAAGCAACTTACCTCATTTTGAAGGCGTTGGCCGGTCTGCGACATGCGTGTACATCCGCAAAGGCCCAAGTTGGGCTGAGGTTCTAATGCAGGTTGTGTCTACCAATTCGTGGCTGCAGTCTGATCTAGAAGAACCGCTTTTTAGATTTGTAGATGGTCCAAAATTTGAAGATAAGACGATTAATTAATGTCGCGGTTGTCGTTGGTGAATCTTACCTGCTAATGGAACCGTTTTTGGATGTGACAAGGATGCCAAGTGATAATGACGAGATACATGGCTAAATTTGGCACCGGTGGACGCACGAATGGTGATTCCGTACCTGTTTTCTCCACAAGCTGATCTACCTCAGTTTGTTGGTTACTTTGGTTGAGCGGCAGTGACTTCCTAGGAAGTCGCTCGGGAGTGATAACAAAGGGGGTATGATGAAAGGAATATTGCCAATGGCAATACCATAGCTCAAATTGCCGCTAGCCAACAATCATACAATAGCACCTCTAGCACCTACAGTTGGTCAGTGATATATATTCGGTGCCCTAGTAATTTAGACCAGGTCAAAATGTGCTTGCGTATCTGGTTTCTTTCCTTTGGTCAACCTTCCTGTTGAATCATTACGGTTGGCGTCCTACACTAGCTCGTTGACGTGGTCAAGCGATTGTTCGCTTAAGTATTTGCGAGGAGGTGAGCAGTGTTTGCAATCAAAACATGCCTGATTATATTGTCAATTCTTAGGATTCCGATACAGTACTGCAACTTCCGACTATTCAGCCCATGATTGACGCAGGCATCATCTTAGACTCACCCTAGCATCCATCCAAGTCCAAGCTTCGTTATATAAAACTGCCACAAGCTCTAAGAACAAGAAACAGATCGTTGGGCGATCTGGAATTATCGTCAACGAAATAATCTGACTTTCTAGACAAATTAACGAGGGGTTAGCGGAACAGTCAAGCATAGAACTAGTTGTCTTCGATGAGGATGCAAAAGAGAATTCAGTTACTGGTCTCTCGCTACTCCTTACCTAAGCGATATCAACTTCCACATATCCCGTTTCGTGATATTGTTGAATTGCATTTGTTTAGATTGTTAATGTCGGCATAGCTTATGACGCCACACCTCCTCTAAACACTATGTCAAGGTTTGTCAGATCAGGTTATCTTATGCATGCTTATTCAAACTATACCTTGACATTTAATAAGTACTTTCATCATACAGATAATCGCTTTCAACGACACCTGGCGTCAAAAGTATGATTGTGTCATGTTTTATGACCTCGCAAGCTCGTATGGCAGGCATATGGTCATAAATTCCTTCTGAAATGGCCACTTCCTAGGACTATAACCACTCGCCTACCATAGAAGCGGTAATATTGAACCTCACCTTTGGGTATATTCGAGGCTTGGTAGCCAGCTCGCCATTCTATTCAGTCCTAGCTACCTAGATTAAATATTGGCCACCTGGCTACGAACTAAGCTGGTCTACTCGTTCTGGGATTGAAGTCTTTGGGCGGTACTTTATTCCGTTCGTTCGCCACACGACCATCATCAGCAGGATTCAAGAGATATCTTGTTCTTGTTCGTGTTCTTCCTATCCCATTTCCCATATTGTTGTTGTAGAGAGTTAATCTTTCTCTATGGATTCACGTGCTAGAACAAACAAACAGCAGCCTTCATGCGATGTATTATCAGATTAGATAACAAGACTCTGTGAGATGCCCAGAACTCCCTGGTTAGTGGCCTTGCGAAGTCCACTCCCAGCAGCCGTTCCGAGTACCAGTCCACAGCGCGTATGACTTCAATCCTCTTTCCGTCACTAGTTTACGAAGTAGGAAAGGACATAACTGCAGCCGAACAAAAATAAGAAAAACCTAGGGCTACACTAAGCTTAGCTGCCGTGGAGCTTGAGGTCGGTCGAATACATGTACTTACATACATACAGTAGCGAGAGTAGTAGACCCTACCTTTGTGCGCTAAGATGCTGGGTGGTTCTAACGGAGCGTGAGAAGTCGCTGGCTTGCGACATCCAACGAGGGCGCATTGTATCGTTGACGATATGAATACTAACTTGTTGCATTGGTAGGACAGTAACGGCATCGCTCGACGTGCATAGACAACCCTCGCCCAACTCCGCCCGGCTGAAGTACACGTCCACGCCGAGACGCCCATCCCACGAAATCAAAGCCGATACGGTGCACGCGCCCCCCGACATTTACTGTGACCACCAATTATGGAGCTCCCCCGCATATGTAGGCACGTACAGCTAGTTACGTACAGTAGCGTAATTCACTGGCGAGCTGGGCAGTTTTGGAGACGGGCTGGAGGTTTCTCCAACTTCCTCGTATGTAGGTATTGCATTGTATCTATAGTCACGAGCAGCATCTCCAAGCCTAGCACGAATCTGATGATAGTGTATAGTACAGAACTTAGTCTCTTCGGGTAAGGAGAGAGCTGACGAAGGGGATGATGTCACAAACACATTGGATATCAAAAGTGTATGCTGATGATGCTTTCATGGCGCAGCACAGACAAGGACCTCGGGACCAATTGTGTGTGTCTACTACTCTACCGGTATGTTATTTATGTATGTATCTCCAGACATATGTAAATACCATGCAGTTTGGTTACTGACCAAAGCCCGTCTCCAATTGGCCGCTGCCTGTTAGCGTGCCCCTCTCTATCGTGACTTTCCGTCCGCCCGAAGGCGAAATGAAATAAAGTCGCGATGAGATGTCCATGATCGGGGGATGGATAGAATTAGTCGTGACCGCCCATACTTCTTTTCCCGTTTCTTCTACGACTGCTAGCACTAGCACCGATACTGGTGGTCAACTTTGGGGATTCGCCGACGTTTCTCGTCGAGACCTTAGACATACTACGTAGCTCTGGTCCTGGCTGGCTGCATGTGAATGAATGATCGACTGACGACGCACATAACTCTACACGTATCACTTGCAGCAGGCCACACCAGCATCGTTCGATGAGGGTGTTCGAATGAAACCCAGCTGCATCCTCCCGCCCGCCAACCATAGCTGTGTGGTACTTCTGCCTATCTACATACATACACTGCCTGCTACTTAGTTGTGCTGCCTCCCATCATCTCACAGTCTGTGTTGTATGCCGCATCTGGCTGTGACTACACGTTAGAGCCTTCACTCAGCAAACCTCACTCAGAGTTCATCTCTCCCCATCTGCGCCGCTGAGACAGTTCAGATACTGGCGGAGCTGCTCATCTCTTTTGACTCAGCCGCTATCGGCGGGCTTCCATCTACTTCCATGTCAGATTGCATGTGATAGAAAACCTGAAGCTCCCCGCGAATACGAGCTTGAACCACGACCAAACTTGCAAATATCACTCTGTCTTCAGCGAGGCGACGATAAACCGCTCCCAGGATGACGGTAACACCAATTCGGTCGCCAGACCTTCCAAAAACTCTTGGCCCTCTCATTCCCTCACTCCGTGCTGCTGCAGTTTCGCTGCAGCCGTCCGAATCCGTCCTACCTCTCCTCACGCCAATTCTACGCCAGCGGGTTCAGTTCCTATCTCTAAGTTCTACGAATGACCCATGGATTCGACTACTATGCTATGATACTTCCAAGGTTTCGAAGCTGACTGAGATTGCCCAAGGCGAGCGACTGGAGCCACATCCCGCATCCGGTGAAATTGAAATAGACTGGGACTATGACACTGAAACTCGATTTCGCCGGTTGGACGAGGAAACTCTAGAGGCCTTTGTCGCGTCTAGGGAGTTAGAGTTAGCTTTTCGTCTTTTATACTGTACTCTTGATGGAGAGGAATCGGGTTGGAAAGTTGGGGAGGTCACAGTCCCAGACAGATCGTCGCCCTTTTCTAGTTTTGGGGGAGCTTCGACAATAGATGAAGCTGAACGGCAGTTCAAAGAATCAAAACTGTCCAAGTCGGCGTCGGCGTCGACATCCAATGGCCTCCTAAATCCACAGAATGGCATAACCGGACATGGAGTGGAAGATGACGACGACGATGACGACGATTACTGGGCTAGATATGATGCCACACCAGGCACAAAAACGCCCGCTACAAAAAGGTCGCCGGCGCCTCAAATCTCGCATACATGGAATACCACCACCAAGGCTAACGAAGACGATTACTTTGCTCAGTATGATCATGTTCAGCCTGCTATGGATAATCATGACCCAGACGAGGAGGCTCACGTGGACGTTTCTCCGCCGCTTGGCCTAGCCCCAAGGGCAATGGACGCTACACAGAACGGACATAGCGACGGGGAAGTAGCAGAAAACGGTATTCAAGATTCGTGGATGTTGGCAGAGCCACCTAAGTCCAGCTCTCCCCACTCGAAGAGCGACGACGAGCCAGGTCTCGTCCATCCTTGCCCGAGACCAGGATCGAGTGCCGGTTCCAATGCGTCTGTCGAGAAGCTCGAAGCAGCCGCGGCACGCCAAGAGCAGAACGACTTCGGAGTTAAGCAGCATGTTTCACGCAGCATAAAAAGCCTTTTCTTGTTATCGAGAGCATCGGGTATCGACCGCGAGGAATTTGAGCGAATGGTCAAGACAGAGCTGGACATGCTAGGTCTTATGGAGGACTAATGATTGATCTAAGGATCTTGAGGCAAGGCCACGCTTGACGTAGTGGAAATTGTATAATGATCATGGCATATTTGGGTATCTCTCATTACTTGGCTATTGGGAGCTTCTTCCTTGGTAATATTACCACACCCTACGGTTGCATTGGACGGCGCAGGAACATATTGTACATACTATACATGCATACCCTCGAGCTACTACTACCAGTTTGCGATGATATCTGAGGGTCTACGAGAAATCCAAGAGATAATGAACTAAGTAATCATCGAAGTTGTCACACTGAATTGTCCCTAAGTACTCAGCATCTCCGCTGCCCCGAATGTGCCAAGTACCTAGGTACATTGTAGGGAAGTGGACACCTCTGAGCTAGCGACTTCTCCAGGCGGTGGGGTGTGCCTGGCCCAGCAAGTGCCTCCTTCAGCCGGCGAAACCAATTTTCCATCTCAATGCCAATTCATCCAATCAGCACGAGGTAGCTCTCGGTCGCGCTTGGCAGCCAGAAAAAAGTGAGGTCTCGTACCAATATTGCAAGGTCCTTTACGACGATAAACGACCACACATCACCATGTTGCGCCCTAGATTAAGGATACCGCGGGCCGGCGCCTTACTGCGGCGGACAACCGTCGTCCGCCCGCTACACTCCGTACCCCAGCTCGACCAGTTCAAAGACGACAAGTCGGTACCGGGATTACTCAGTCCCGCTGGTTACTCGACAGCCTGGACCGGGTACATGAACCACGTTACGGACAGGCTGAACAGGCTGACAGCCGGTGGGAACCCGCTATTGTCGCCATCCTATGGACATGCGGTCGGGCTAATGTGTGTCTTTGAAAATCAGGAACCGAGTTCGAACAGGAAGATACCTTGCCTATCCTCAAGAGTGCCGCCCGCGACCCAGCACAAGCCGCAACCTTCAACTTTGCCTCGATGGCGCATAACAACCACTTCTTCTTCAAAAACCTAGTAAACCTACAAACCCTGTATGAACAAACGGCCCAGTCAAATGGCGAGTCGCAAGTAATAGATGTTGAGGGATCTGAGGCGAGGATTCCGCCCAGGCTGAAGAAGGAATTAGAGAGGAACTTCAGCTCCATCGAGACGCTGAAGAGAGAAATTTTCGCCACAGCAAAGGCCATGTTCGGCCCCGGCTTCGTGTGGCTCGTCCGGAACGCGCAGAGCCAGGAGCTGCGCATCCTGAACACATACCTGGCCGGATCGCCCTACACGGCAGCGCACTGGCGGCGTCAGAACGTCGACTGGAACACCATGTCCGCCAGCCGATCGACCGCCTCCTCCTTCTTCGCACGGACAGCAGCAGGCGCCGGCAACACCACCGGCCAATTCACCCAGCAGGCCCCCGGCGGTGTCGACGCCATCCCTATCCTATGTCTGAACACGTGGGAACACGTCTGGCTCACAGATTTCGGCATTGAAGGAAAGGCGGATTTCGTCGCGGCGTGGTGGGACGTCATCGACTGGGACAAGGTGGAAAAGCTAGCCATACCCGACCGTCGGGACGGTTTCAAATAAATAGAGGAACTAGGAAGAGGTGAAGAGAGGAATAAAGGGGGAATCTCACGCTAACTGTAAGATAATCAAGCGGCCTCTGTTCTTCTCCCTATATGGGCAGTAAGGGGGGAGAGGAGCTGTTGTGTCATATGGTAAACATGTAAATATATACAAAAGCAACCGAATAAATCCACCGTCCTCCTTCACCATTGCTATGGACTATGCCTGCCTATGCAGAATGAACATATATGAGACCCGGGATAGGGGGACAGTACCGTGAGCGTCCCCCTCACCTGGGTTTCGCTGCTGCTACTTGTTCCGGGAGCATATGGTCTCGCTCGACCAGCACTGCCAAACCTCCCACACTTGACAAACTCCTGTAAGGGAGGTTAGGAAAGGCATATTATTGCGGAGATTTTATTATCGTCGAGCCTCGGTGTCTCATTATCGCTGCAAAAATTGACCATATACTCACATTGGTTGTGAAATATAGGAAATAATATATGTGTCAGGCAACTTCTCTGTGGTATTACGGCTGAATTTCCACACTGGCATGTGTATGCAAACCACTCTTCACATAGTAAGATGTCTCTAGCGGTTTCCGACAGATATTAGATACGGGAAGTGTGTGTATCTCCAAAACGTCGGATCGTCATTTTTACAAATCTTGCTTCGTTACTATGACCATGGGCTGTGAGATATATAATACTGTTGGTTGGTATGGAATATCTCCTGCCTCAATCATCGTTCCTTCGTGGGAGTGGGCCAGACAGGCTTTGTATCTATGGATGAATAAGAAGTAAGTATGCTCATGCGAGAAGCTGATCATTGGCTAACTGTGCGAGGTTAGCCACTGTTGCTTACATGGTGTTGAAGAAAAGTTATCGTGTCCTGCTGCGGAGTGGGTAATTCTTTGTGAGATTCAGTTACTCTTTGCTTATGTAGCCTTCGATATGTAAGTAATGAAATCTGATGCGGAATAGAAGGGGATTATATTGCAAGTTTTGAGAATTCATTTTGAGTACCTAATTATATTTTGGTGTTTTTGGCTCCGGTACGCCGTCTTTGTTTCGAGCTTTTCCAGATAACATGCCGAGAAATATAGATGTTGGACCTTTGCATGTGTTGAGCCTATGCTCCAGAGTAAAGAATCTGCATTCGATGATTTCCCACTGGTTTTGTGATTTACTTTTGTAATTTATTATGTGTTGTCCGTCACCCACTCATACGTTTCTCCAAACCTGCTCAATGCATGTTTCTATGAAAGGTCCTACGCGGCCGCTGGGTCTTATGGACTGTCCAGTGCATCATTTTAGTGCAGTTGCATCTACCAATAAACAGACCTGAACCTTGACCCCCCAAGTTACATCTTACTGTTTTCTTACTTGAATATATCTATGTGCGAATGGATGGCAAGGCCAAATTAGAGTCCTGGAGGACAAGACGACATGGTAGGTGAGAAAAAGCTAAAAGGGAGAATTTATACACATATAATTTCTAATATTAAACATTTAGCGTCATGTGTACGGGGGTCGAGGTTGAAAGTCTACAATACTCCTTGGTAATAGATATGGTAGGAATAAAAAGAACTATACAGTGACACAGTTAGCAAGTATTACTTGCCCACCCTATACCCAAAGGCCACGGACCTTTAGCCTATTATAAATGCTGAAATACAATGTTCTTAAGTTTTATTTTACTACTAAGGGCATTGGGCCGCCAACGGTTTAGGGGAAAAGATAAAGCTATGCTCATATATAAATTTACACCATAAACAACTACCAAAGATCACGATAGACTTCTGGCCCAGGCCTCCGTAGTGTATATGAGAAAACACGTAATGAATAAGAGTATATGTAGTAAATTGCCATTCATCGGATACTTATGACGACTGCTTCCTCCTCTAAAAACACCTATAGGCGTCTCCAACACTTCAGCTGTCACCTCTTCTGCCATCACACCTCAACGATAGCGTTTTTTAGCTTTCATTGCTCATCTACGCATGTGGTTGATATGAATAGAGTAGAATACAACAATCACTCATGGACCTATGGGAACAGTTCAAGATTTGTTTGATATCAATCTCAGTTTTCCTATTCCTAACCCGCCACAATAAAACACCGCTCAAAAACACAACCATCCCCCATGCTAACTACCTGAAGAATATATACTATGCAATACTAACGAGCGTGACGGTATAGCATGTCATCATCCCCTTTCCTAGCTCAGTTCATTCATTCACTCATCCACGCATCCACTCATCTGCTCCTCATCTCATCGCATTTCATTTTTTCCTTCGGGCACAGCCCATCCAATCCTCCTATTCATCGTCACAACCGAACCCTTCGACAAGCAAAATAAATTGAAAAGAAATTGAGGAGATGAAGATCATGACGGTAGGTGGCTCGCTGTGCTCTTTGCATGCTAAAATCAGCGGGATATCAAAGTAAAGCTAAAAGGAAAAAAAAACAACTAAGCTAAGGAGGGGAATATTAGAAAACACAAGGCGCAAGAGAGAATCGAGAACTGGAAAAGCAAAGAAAAAGAAAAGCTCGTTGTTCGTAAAGTGGAGAGTTGGTGAAATGACCGATGCAACGACATAATTTCCTCGAGGAAATGAAAAGTCGTATAGTGTTAAGTATGAATAACTTGGCAGAACGCAAGCGCGCGCAACAGGACATGCGATACGATACGGGTAAAATGAACATAAATAAACCACATCTATATCATGTTCCCGTTCACGCTGACCTCGAAGCCCTCGCCCTTCTGCTTCAGCGCCTTGGCGAGCATGAGCTCGCGCATCCAGTCGATGCGCTCGTCGCGGCTGCGCACGGCGAAATGGTGCGTCTTGCCCGTGGCATTGAAGCTGCCGTCAAGGCCGCCGGTGGCGGGGCCCGAGATGCTCTGCGACTCCCTCTTGCGCAGCAGCGACGTGACGCCGCGCTTGCCGCCCTCGGGGTCCTGTGGGATTAGCTGGAAGCTGAAGGCTGCGATGTCGTCTGAGGTGGTTGAGCTCGACTTCTTGTGGCCCCGGGTAATGCTCATGGCCTTGAAGGCAGCGTTGAGCTTCGACGTTGTCGATAGCGACGAGCACGCGATTGCGTAGTCATCAATGTCGATGTACTCGAGTGTGCGGTCGCGGTCATCCGCATCTTTATGCAGCGCTAGCCGTGTACCCTTCAGCACGGCGTACTGGTCGTGCCACTCGTGTCTCAGCATGCGCGTCTTGCGCTTCTTCACAGGGCCTTGGTATGTGACACCCTCGGCGTCCTTTGTTGTGGGGACGGGGGCATTACCTGCCATAGGCAGTTGTTGGGGTTGGGTCCATGGGTATTGCGCACGCGGGGGAGCCTGGATTGGGTGTTGTGGACGGGAAGGGATCTTGGGTGGGGACCCGGCCTTGGTGGGTGAGTATGACTTGGGTGATAGAGATGGCCGGCGACGCGGAGGAGTGATGCCATTATCATAGCTTTGCATGGGGTTGGTGGGTGTGCATACGTCTTCGTTGAGGGGTGCCATGATCTGGACGGACGGACGGTGAGAGGCTCGGGACCGTGATAGAGGGGCCGCCCGGTAGCTCATGTCAGGGGGGACTGACTGCGATGCATCTCGGGCCACTGGGCCCAAAGGCACTGCCGTGACGGGAATGTCCATGTCCGAGAAGGGTGTACCGAAACGATACGGTGCAGTAGGTGTCGTCAAGTCCGGAGATATGGCTTCGGCCCGTTCCATGGCATATGGAACGAACTCATTCTGCAAGTTGGATGGTCTCAACTGCTGGGGCTGCCGCTGTTGTCCCGGGATGGAGAGCCTGGGTAGCGCCCGTAGGCCCTCATGCGGTGCCCGCCCGGAGTACAGCTCAAATGGAGGTGTTGGTGGGACCTCGTTCATGTTGGCTCCCTTGTCTTGATGTTGGAAATCCAGAAATTGCCGGACGTTGTCCTGGGGATCTCGTGTCTGCAAATTGCGAAGAGCGGCTTCCTGCAGATATTGAAAAGGAGCCATGCCGGTACCCAGGACGTCCGAAGAGGCCACCACTGAGGGCACAGCATCTGACATGGGACGCAATGCCTCGGTGGACGAAGGGCGGTTAAGCGCCGGGGCCGTCTCAGGGTTTCCTGGGTCTCCGGCTACTAGGATGATCCCGCCTTTGTCCATGTCCACGAATGGATGTTCTTGTTTGAACGCCTCGATCATCCGTTGTCGCTTCTTATACGTTTTGCAGTGTTCACCTTTGGAGCAGTGATGTGGTTCTGGGATCATTTGCTCAATGCCGACAATGGAAACCGACTCAAGAGGAGAGATAATGTCCTCATGATGTAGATGCCGCCTGCTATGGCTGCGTTTAGTACTTCTGGAACGCTGGCAGCTTTCCGAGCGTTCCTGATGGCCGCTATGTTCTTCTCTTTCCTTCTCCATCCTCCGTCTCTCCCTTCTCACTTCTCTGCTTTCTTCGTCTTCAATTGGTGTTTCTGGCCGTGGTGATACCTTCTTAGGGTTTCTTAGGTTGTGGATTTCTTCCCATACCTTGGTCCGTACTCCGAATGACTGGATATCAAGTTCTCTTAAGTCCTCGAACTTCAAAGTTATTAAGATAGCGCCATTGATATCGTTTAAAACGAATTTCTCGGCGACGAGAGGTTCGATGCCGGCATTCAGCATCCATTGCGCTACCTTTTGCGGCGACCAAATCGCCAAGTTGATGGGGTCTAGTTCTTCATGCGTGAACTGACAGGGACTGCCCCGAGAGCGAGGCAGTGGATCTAAAAGGAAGGGTTGCCGAGGCTCAGCATCGTACGGCTTGGCCGCCTTTGGCGTTATCGGCGACAAAGAAAGAATCTCCTGATATTCGAGTGAGTTTACAGAAGATCGGAAGAGATGCGGCCCTCTCGGTCCCTCGACCGGTCTCGACGAGTCAAAATCATAAGGATACGCCTCTCGAGTCCGGCTCGACCTAGGCGTCTGTGCCTCGTCGTAGGATGATACTGTTGTTGCGCTTTGTTGGCTGGTCTGATGTGCGTACATGTTAATATGAGGTAATCGACTAACACACGGTTGCGAGTTCTCTTACCGAATTCAAGCTCACTCGAGGCGAGTTTGCGTCGTCTTCCTCTATTTCGCTTAATAGTTCGTCCTCTTCCCAATCCGTGTCTACAATCTCTGTTGTTACGGATATTGGCCGCAGCTCGGGATCTTTCAAACCCAAGTAGGAACCATAAAATCTATTCTCTCGCGACTGATAATGCGGTCGCCCGCTTATGGGAAATGCCTGCGCATTCTATTTAAGACGGCACGTTAGTCACTTGGGGAGGCATGATGACATCGCCGTCGTCGTTTATAGAACCCCCACGTACCATTTTGGATATAGGTGAAGGGAAATTGCAATTGCGCTGTCGTAATCGTGCCGTCGCCGGCTGTCGCTGTTTTGTCTATACTCAAGGACACAGATATATGGGAATACGGAAATATTAGGATGACGATAGAAAAAAAAGAAAATGCTACGGGTACCCGAAGGACCAATTTGACGTTGCAAAAGTGGGAAAGAGGAGCCAAGACAGGTCTACGGGCACCGGTGGATAGTATATGTAGGAGGTGAGGTGTGTAGAGCGTGTTCACGGTCGTCGTCTCTCACATGTGTGTGTCTAGGAGGGGATAGGTAGTGTGATAGAGGCACTCTGCGACCTGATTTGTGTCTGAGGTGCTGGGACAATGCTGGGACAATGCTGTGGCAGCGTTGCAGTGCACGAATCACCTACATCCAGTCACCTACAGCTCGTCGCTCTTCCACTAAGAATAGCACTTGCCGACTTGGACTGCGGAGCAAAGGCATCCTGAGGCCGAGTGCGCCGGCCAACGGTCGACCAACCACGGCAAGGGCACGAGGGGACGCTTGGCCGTGGTTGGACGAGCAAAGTGAGGAGAAGACGAGTGCATAGAGCCAAGCGGCTTGCTCGCCTGATTGGCCCAAAAAGCCTTCCGCGACCCCAGAAACAGCTGTTGTTTAAGCGCCCACGAGAGGACAAGGGTCGGGTGTGACCTTGAACGGCTGTTTTCTCTCAGGGTACCAGCCCGATCCGTCGCTCTTCGCTACCTACTATGTATGTCAGTACCATGTCAGGATAAGGAGCCTTGTCCCAGCTCCCTTTTCTGTGTGCGACGGCGCAGTATAAACCAGCCACACGCAGCCAACAGCTCCTACATGCCGATGCCACCAGCTGCAAAGACTCACCACTGAGCACCAACAATGACCACTCTCCGTCGAATGGGAGCCCACGGCTCTCGAAGCGGCGGCCCCCAAAATCTGGTACCTTTTTTCTCGAGTTTGCCGAGCATCCCCGTTTCTGCCCGTTCGCTCGGTCGGTACAACTCAACCATAACCGCTTGAGACGTGTATTCATGACCTGGGTCAATGTAGAGGCGGTAAGACAGAGGCAGCGATGATCGCAAAGTCGGTCAGCAAATACCTGACGATGATAGTGTAGACTTGGGGACTTGGACTTGGTCCTCGCTCCTTAGCGACGCCCCATTGCCATGCCCATACCAGGGTACGCATCGAGCAAGCCAGTCTATCCATGCCCAACATGCTAGCGTACTGAGTTGACAAGGGCAGACCGGTAGTACACCCTGCACACACTACTCTAGTATAGCTGGGGGTTTTGTAGTATAAGCTAAATTCCTGGTAACCCGGCTGGCCAAGACCGAGTAATACTGTCAGCAACGGCAGCTCAATGGAAACCCCAAATAGGAAATTCGCAACCTATTCTCTCCGATCTACGCCCAGTTAACTCAGTCCCTACTCTCACCTCCACGCACGGCCATTTGCTGAATTGTAAGGGCTACAGTTTTATGCGCTTGGCCGATATCCCTAGGTCAGTAAAATTAACGCCTTGCTCGTGACACTTGTCGCAAGATGGGATTGGTGTTTGCATATAAGACCCCTACGGGTCTTCTCGAAAGCTGCCCAATTCAGCATCTGATAAGCCTTTAATACTGAGGGTCGATAGCCAATTATACACATGAACGATAGTTGCACGCGACCCTCGCTTTCCTGAAGCGCTGTAGTACATACCTAGGTAGTAGAAGATCAATGTCTCTTTTGCGATTTAGGTGAATTATGGGACGGACCGATTATACCACTAAGTCCTTAGTGTTTGTTGAAGGATTCATAGTGTGCAATACCCTAATTGCGTGCCCCTCGGCTGGAATTCTTGGTGTATCTCGTTTGAAGATAAGGTACTTTACACTCCAAGACTGCCGCAAACGCCACGAGCGTTGCCAGTGTAAGTAAGTAGCTCGTTGCGCATTAGTCGTGTAAGTGCTGCTGAGAATCGGGCCCGAGAGATCTCCCCGGCCAACTCCGGTGTCGCTTGATACCCAATTGCGACGAGGGGGTTGGTTGGCCCAGGACATCCTAAGCCGGCGCACATGATCTACATATCTTCCTTCCAGGGGGACGAATGAGCTGGGTCGGGCTGAATAGCAATCGATGCAAAAGACAACTGATTGATCAGAAGAGATGAAACAACAAGAAAAACCTTTTCGTGCTTGTGACGTATAGGTAATGTGACGACTGCACCCATGTTGTTGGTACCTTTCTATGAACCATCGAATCTGTGCGTATGCCTATGCCTGTGTATGTACATGTATGTAGGTGTAAGTAAGTGCTAGTAGACGTTGGAAGACGGCGATGACATAGGGAGGATTTCTCATGAGTTTACACTAATGTGTAGCCCCAGCATGCAGTGCAGCGGACGGCTTGCAACCGCGTAACGGAACGGAACGGATATCTCCTACTAGGTATTGCACTCGGCTGGCTGGGGGTGGAGGTTTGACTGGAGGCAAATGGCCAGGTCAAACCCCAAGAGCCACCCCACCAGAATCGTGCATACTGGAGTGCGTGGCATCTGCAGGTGAGGACTGTGGCAAAAGTGTAGGTTTGTAGGTGAGCCTCACCGAGTCTTTGCGCATGCTCACTCACCTCGAGTTGAGAAACTCGGTGACCTCAATGCTCAAGCCGCCGATATGCGGTGCTCGGACGTGGTACAATTGACCGCCATTACCAAGCAAGCACTCTCGTTGCATGATCGTGACGAGGTTTTGGTCATTTGAGTTCGATCGTGTAACTCCATTCCTCACGACCTCGCTACGTAGGTGAACAGTTGGACGAGTGCTTTCATGACACACGCACCGAATATCGCGCCGGGGGCCAATGAAACTGCGAAGACGGCCTGTCGATAGCCATCACATGATTCTACCCATGGGATGAAAATTCTCAGCCACAACCCCGGCTACAGCCAGTAATCTCTATGCGTGAACTATGCGTGAACGGGTAAAGGCCTGGCTGCAATTTAGGGGATATCTTCAACCGACGCCAGCTCAATCGCAGAGCTCGCGCAATCTCGATGGTGTTGCAATGCTAATCCAGATGGGAAGGATCTCACGGAGGGATTCATGTCACTGCTTGTTAGATGCAGCCTTGAGTATGAACGGCTGAAGATGGGAGTACGTAGGTATGTACTTCGTCGTGAATGGGGTACGGTACCGTCGGTACTTTTAGGTAGGGAGATATCTACATGTACAGAGTATGAGTGTAACCAACTACCGTACCATACAAAGTACCTACGGCATACATAGTAGAGCTCTCCACACCTGCATTCACTACGGTATCACACTGGCGAAGCTTCTACTTACTAGACTGCTATAGTACTTTACATAGAAATTACTTACCTTGGTAGGTATAGGCTATCGATACGGTGCCGAGCCTGGCGATATTTGTCATCACTTAATCTCTCGGATCGTGAGCCGCAGTCGGCAAAGCTTAGTTGCCGTGGGAGAATTGGGGGACAATGGGGGCACAATTGGCGCAATTTGGTGGCTTTGCCTCATGCTGACCTCCGCCGATAGATTGAGGAAAGCACAGGGCATTGGCGATCACCTGTTGACTACGAAGTATAGTACGAAGTAATGGCCGGGGGTGCGGCGGGATTCCAGAGTGGAGGCCGGTGACCATCAATGCGCTCGACACCATCTGAAAGCCTTGCTCCCGGAACCACGGAAACGACGGAAATGATGCAAGCCGTGCGTGGCTTGTCTTTTTTTTTTGTCGCTCTGATGTGGCTGCTCTGAGGTGTACTGGATGTTGCGCACACCGACAAGAGCTTTACAAGGCCGGTGTACCTACTAACAGTACATATACTTAGTATAGCCATGGAAACGACGATTCCGGCCCAGGGTTCTTCACGGCCCTATGTTCGCCGGAATCCTTCGATGGCAGGCCCTAATTAGTTCATGGACACTTATAGTAAGTATGAGGCAATTATAACAGCCTGCGCCGGTTGCAACCGCGTTGCGCAGCTGCCGAACAAGTCATCCGCCATCGCCATCATGAAGAGAAGTATTTTTATTGCACTAAACCTGTAACGTAGGTAGATTTGGGGCGTTGTCATGGTATCCTGGTTGCTATTCATTCTCTCGGTACTGCGCCGCCTACTCAATTATTACGGTTAGATAACCATTGTTACCGTGAAGTCCGTGCTTATGGTAATTAGAGATGTCGTACATTGGGATGCGGGGGACTGGACTACTGTAAGTGTGGTGGTGATGATGCAGAAAGGAAGAACCAACTCGGGAATACATGCTTGAACCAGGATCAGCTCGCAATAAGCAACCATAGGAAATCCTTAGCGTACTCCAACGGCTCCATGGTCAACTTGACCAGCTAAGTCAATGTACTGGCGTGCAGGTATACTCTAGCGGTACATGAGGGAAGCCTTGGTAGTCATAATTAGTCTGCATCTATCACAGAGAAACGGGCAAATTCAAAAATAGCACCTCTCGCCTGACATTGCTAAATACTTGCATGGGGGTTGTGATACTACGCGCCGGCCATGCATTAGATGTAGCCGTTGAGATTAGCCCGCATTTTCAATATTTGCCCGAAAATAGCAACAGGCAAAGACGACAAATTAACTCACGAGCTGGCATAGTAAGTGAGACCCTACACGTGTATCTCGATACCTAGGTACTGTTCAACACAAACCTTGGGCAAACATGGGCTACTACTATATACTAATACGCTACCACCAACTTCGTACACAGAGTACACGATGACAGGGCTTTGTGTCCCACAAACAGGGGAGTCATCGGGTGATCTTCGTGATCCTTTTTCCCTTAGTGAATTTTCAATCGTGATTTTGGCCGATGATGAGCTCGAAGCCTGCTAGGAGAAAAATTCTGCCTCTCGCTTGTCTCCAACCCCGGGCAATAAATGCCGTCTATTGCCGCAGTTACTACCTATGTGAGTAGATCTAGATATCAAAGAACACACTAAAGAGCATGGCGTAGGTAGGTACGTAGTGGTAGGGCATATACTGTTCTTATGCCATCCATGAGTGGTCAGCTTACAATACGCACTACATTGTGAGAGATGACGGGACAAGGGCTTGAAGCCTCCAAGAAGCTATCATGATATCCCTCATGGATGATGGAAGATGTCCCAAGTACGCTTCATGTATCTACACATGAGTATATGTTGTATAAGTTTAGGCATTAAGAACTGCGGTACCATAACTCGTTCAGCCCAGGTTCCGTTGATACCACCTCACCTCCTTCTACTTTCTCCCATATTACGCAGTATAGTGCCATTCACAATAAGCTGTTGGCAGCGATGCTCGTACCTAAGTAGGTACCTACGCTGACCATCTTTTCTCTATCTCCATACTCTCAGTCAGAACATACTCAGTACTTCCTCTACATACTTAGTATGCCCGGATCCCTGCAAGAGAGACCAGCCTCCCTGGCCAGAACCCTGGTCGCTATACATGCATTGTCATCCCTTGGCTGCATAATATTGCTGCTTTCTATCGCTGCCCGCATCTCGCGCGTTGTGACCCCACGAAGCCCCACTGCAAGGCTACGCTAGGTAGGTAGGTATCTTGGGTATTCAGAGCAGACCAGAGCTACCTAGCGAGCCCTAGCTCGCTTCTGTCCTGAGTATCCACCAGAATCCACCGATTCCGACCAGGTACAGCGCGACCAGGACAGGCTGGGTAGCTGTAAAAAAGACCAAAAGACGCTAATGGGAACTTCCCGTCTCTGCATAGAGATTGGCTATTCCCGTTCTTGGCGGCCATCCGTCCCGAGCTCTGGCGTGCGAGCGCCGCCCAATCACCGGCCGCCGTCGACCGTTGTCACATGCGCTAAACCAGTCCGGCTCGACTCGCCATTAGCGCTAGCCTCGGGCCAGCGACGAATCAGCGCCCGGGACTCGCACTTCATGCGTTGCCTCTAGCGTAGGTATACTATATAGTAGGTACCGCTGGTGGCATGTAAGTCCAAGTGTGCGAGGAGGTATCTCTCTCTCATCTTCATCTTCGTGATCTTCGTCCTATCCCCTCCACCTCCACGGCTGCTTGTCGCTTGTCGTGTACCGTTGTAACGTCGAACCCAGCAATCGTGGCGCACATGCGGTTTGCGTGCTACGTTGTACCTACTCCCCTCCTCAACACTTTACAAATTCTCTTCTCCTTCTCTCCGCTAAGGGGGGGGCCCGGTCGAAGGAGCCCAGACTCGCATATTACAGCTAAGTATGTATATACACTACACACTAGGTACGATACAACATCACACTAGCCCTGGCTGGCTAACAGAGACTATGAGTACTATGAGTCTAGTCTTGAGGTCTACGACTCATGATAGAGAGCTCTGTGAACTTATTGGAGGTTGCGTCTAGTTTGATGTAGTTGTATTTGTTAAAGTGTTATCTATTGTTACGACCTACTATACTGTATGCCGATAGGTAGGGAGTCTAGGCCAGTCATTCCATCACTATCTGTGCCGCAACAAATGGACCGTCAGCTTCGCTCGCCATGATACCTAGTCTATGTACATATATACGTAGTATCTCTGGCTATAGTAACGCATTTGTGCGGGTTGGCGACTTGGATAAAGCTGATCCGATCCATAGGCCGACAGATTTTCAATCAGGCGAATGCATGCACACAAAGCTCATTTGGTCGCCGCGATTTGCCGGAATAGGAGAGTCGCTACCAAGTTGGCATGTTGCATAAAAAATGGCTAATGAGCTGCTGCAGTTTGGTAGCATTCCCTCAACCCATCCATACTGATAATCTATTGTAATGTGCTGTATCCTGGACACTACCCAACGATGCGATCCTACTCTACCATACTGTTCAGTATACGACAGAGTAGATCCTGTAAAGAGAAAAAGAGAGAGAGAATACACAAAATCGCAGTCATGAAGAAGAACAAGACACCTACCTACTCTACTGTAGTACTACATGTACCCCGCCAAATAATGAGTTCCGTGGTCCAACGGATAACTGCCAACATGCACCCCTGGCTTGCTTGTCCCGTACGGCTATGTCCCATCTCTGTACAGCGTGCATCTCAGAGTGCACAGCAGCGTGAAGAACACGGGGACTTGTACAATGTCAAAGCCAGTTGATCCAGAAGTAGAGTGAGACACGCGTCTGCTAGTATCGAGATACAGCATCCTCGTCCCTACATCTATCCAACACTCAACCATCATCTCAGCCAGGCCTACCCAGGCACACTAGGCCTTTCAGCTTTGAAGCATGCTAGCCGAATAGAACAGATTACTCTCTGCCTTATCAAATTGCTCGAGGGAAAAACAAGGCTAACAGAGTTGCAATGGAACTCCACAGCTCCGTGGGCCAACTTTCTGCGAGATGCTAGTCGGTGGACCAAAGGTAGACTGGATGTCCCAGCAACTGACAAGCTCTGCCATAGTACTCTGCACTGATGAGCTGCTTTTGTGGTAGGGGCATGGGGGGGAAAACGACGATGTCACCCACACCATTCTCGACCCTGGTCTCTGCTTGCAGCCGTGCGTGACACCGAGTGGTACCACACTTCTGCACCGCTACTCTCTAGTGGCAGCTATCTGGTGAGCACATAAGTACTTACTTCGTAGTACTTACATACTTACATGTACATGTAGTGTAGTGTAGATAGATAGAAGTGGTGCAGTGGGGGAGGGGGGGGGGCTGGTTGACAAGGCCATTTTGATCCGGACTTGAGGACCTGGGATAGGCAGGCCCGTCGAACCGACCGCCTCGATTGGAGTCTCCAAGCGCACACAAACTTGAGTCACGTCCCTCCATCCCGATTTGGGCTAATTACACATGCAGCGTGCAGTGGTGGTCTGCAATTAGGCCGCGTTGATAACGGGCTAAAAAAGGAATTAGCCCGAAGATGGTTGCTCTGTGTGTTGCGTGCTGCGTGCTGCGTGCTGCGTGTTGCTATTTTTGAACACAGCGCATCGAGGACCACCAGCTCACCACGCAGGCCCGAATGACCGATGACCGCAACGAACGCCATCATCATCATCATATAATAAGGCTTCACTCCTCCTTTGCCCACCTTCTTTCTGGTTTGGAGGGTAAATATCCAAGTGTCGTTCCTCGTTCACCTCAACAACCTCCTCTTTTCCTTCTTCACCTCCTCTCCGCCCGCCTCTCCCCCCTTTACCTATCCTCTCTCTTATCCGCTACTTAAACTACTACATCAACGTAAAAGGCGAGCTGGTACTCGCTTGGATCAGGTCATTCATTCGACGAGAAGTAATATTAATTATCACGAATTCCAACAACGGCGCACGCAGCTATACCGGTTCGGTCTTAAGTGGCATCCTGGACAAACCCCGGCACACGAATATTCGACTGTTACTTGGGTGGACTTTGGGACTGACTGGACTCCCTTGCGGCACATTTCCACTTTGACGAGACCCTGGCGCTCTCGGCTTGGACCTGGACCCCGGCTCCTCTGATCTACTCCCTCCTACCAACAGGGAACTAACAGGGAACACCCCCCCACCCGCCTGCTCGCACTGCAACGCAGGTACCTCGACCCCCGACAACACTCAAGTACTATACAAATGTCAGCCATACCCCCGAACTCGTGCGAAGGCTTCATGAGAGCAGCACCAGTCAACATGGCCATGGCACAACCTCCCAAGGCAAAGGCTGCAAGGGCCAACAGCACTGCAAACACAAAGGCAAAGACACAGATGCATCGCCGTTCAAGAACAGGTGTGTACTCCTCTCCCCCAAGAGCAACAATGCCCCAGTTTGGTGGCTGTCGCTCCGGCCACTTACACGGCCGTATAAGCTGTGAGTGTCAACGTCGACAAGAAAAACTGACTTGATTGCCTTCTCCCCCCCATAGGCTGCTACACATGCAGATTACGGCGAAAGAAGTGTGACGAAGGTACCCCCATGTGCTCGGCATGCAAGCATCTTGGACTTCATTGTGAATACAAGCGGCCGATGTGGTGGAGCAACAACGACTCGAGGAGACAGCACAAGGACGACATCAAGATGATCATCAAGCGAAAGAAGCTCTCAGAGAAGGCGTCACATACCATCCAGACAACCATCAGCTCCCCCCCAGGACTGTCGCATTCCCTCCCAACCTCAGCAACCTTTTCTGACCCGTTGGATCGGACGAGATCGGCTTCAATTGACTCTCACTTCGCCTTCAACTTCAACAGCTCTCCCAATGCGGCAGAGTACGGTGCTTACAACCCCCAAATTCTCCCCACACACTCTGATTTCATGTTTAACATGTCTCCATACGAGATTGATGTCAAGACAGAACGCGAGATGTTTGTCAATGATGTTCCCACATTAAGAGAATCGACCATTTCCACCTTTAGCACTTACAACCCGCCTCCACCTGGCACCATCCTGCCAAGCTACCCAATGGACGGGGAATGGACCGAGCAGATCTATCAAGAACGACGGGAGTCGCTAACCGAAGAGGCCCTGAACATGAACTTTTTTGATTTCTCACACGGCCCTGCCATGACTTCGAGGCAGGTTGACATTGAGTTGGATGAGAATGACCAGCGACTCCTAGACCACTTCATTCAATTCGTCTTACCGACCATTTTCCCCATTCTCGAGACGAACCAGCATGGGTCAGTTAGCTCTGATCTGATTCTCCCCGCTTTGCAAACCAACAAGGGCTACCTCCACTGTTGCCTTATGATTGCTGCGCAACACTTCAAAGCTACAATGAACATCCAGAGCGAAGAGCTTGATAATGATATCATGCGACATCGCCATGCCACCATCCTGTGCCTCTGCGAAGCACTCAACAAGGACGAGGACCACCAGCAGATTCTCGAGGCCACACTGAGCCTCATCTTCTTCCAGTGTTGCGTTGGTCGGTATGATGACTCTCTTCCAGACATTCCGTGGCATCAGCATTTCCAAGCTGTAAGCTCTTTGGTCAATAAGCTTGAGCTGCCTCGCATAGTCACGGATCCTTCTGAGCAATTGGCACAGACTCCTTTCAACATGACTTTGACTGCCTGGATTGACATACTTGGCGCAACCATGCAGGGAAGAGCACCTACATTTGCGCACATCTACAGAGAGAAGCACCTCTCTACAGCCAACAGCTCCCTTGGATTACGTGAGCTGATGGGCTGTGAAGACCGCGTCATGTACTTGATCTCGGAGATCGCATGCCTTGAGAATCTCAAGCGCGAGGGCATGGATGAGATTACTCTCTGCACCCATGTACACTCTCTTGGTGAACAAATCAACCTTACGGAAACAGGGGATTGCTCTGTCAAGATGCCCTTCAACGCAAATGGCTCCCTGAGCCCAAAACAACTGAGCAAGAACATTACTAGCGCATTCCGCCTGGCAGCCCGAATTTACCTTTGCAGCCTTGTCCCCGGATTTTCGCCGAGTCAAGCTAGCTGCGTCGGTCTCGTGGACAAGCTCACAACCGTCCTTCAGCACATTCCATCAGGGCTTCATGGCTTTGACCGAAGCCTTTCTTGGGTATATCTGATTGGAGGCTCCGTCAGTGGGGCCACGTCTCCATTCAGGCGATTCTTTAGCGATCGCATCGCCCAACTTGGCGAGACTTCCACCTTTGGAAGCTTCGGTGGTGTAGTTTCGCTACTGCACGAAATCTGGCAACAAGTGGACAACTTCCAGGCAAGCCCTAGTGCAACGGGATCAACGGAGGCACCATATATCTCCTGGAGAGATGTTATGCAGATGAGGGGTTGGGACTATCTGCTAGTATAAGCGGCCACTCTCCAACACAGCAGGTCTTGAGGAGTGTGGCTTGTCACAGCAGGCCCTGGTTCCCCTCAGATGCATTGGTCCTACCGTAGGTGATGCGGGATAATCACCGTCCCTTGAACGCGGCGTTGTACTGGAAATACCATTTGCATTTTTATTTTTATTTCTATTTTCACTTTATATAATATACCTCAAAGAGAGAGCGCCGCAAGGCGGATCGGAACGACACTTGGATTTAGCATACTATCATAAAAAGTAACGGAAAGGTCGACAGGACGGTCTACTACAGATGGGGAGGAACTGGACCATATGATATCATGGCTTATGCGGAACGGCGATGACTTTGGCGATATTTTTTTCTCCTTGCTCTGCAAGACCAATATTTTCGGTTTTGATATACCCATGCATGTTAGGCAGGAGTTTACAGGTCACATTGAAGCCATCTACGAGGGGGCGGATTAGGATAGCCCAATTACAGGAAGATGGCCTGAGAGGTTTCAATAAGGGGAGCACCGCTATGATTGCTTCCCGCCTCTCAAATCTCTTGAGGATGCAGAGGATGAGATCCCAAGATAGTTAGTGTAATCATTGGATTACAATACAATAAAACAAACTCTTCACACATTTCACTATGTAGTACAACATGTCCAGAATGCGATGATCCTGCCTCGTCCTTGATTTGCGAGCGCATTGGATAGCCGAGTGCCCTGTATGTATATGTTGGACTACGTACTGTCTACCCAACAATCTACCTTAGGCGGTTCGAGTGTTTTTTTTTCTTTGGGTCATCTACGATCCTCTCTTGCCTACTGCGGCAACACTTCCTAACAACAATCGGCGGGCAAATTTACTACACCATGAAATGAACTGAAACATTCGTATACTTGTAAGTCCCGAGTCAAAGTTTGCGGCGGTGAACATGAGACAAGCAGACAGGTCCCATGATTATGAGTCAACGATGGACGCTAGCTAGGAGGATGGAGTCAACCAGGGTTTTACGGTGAGCCCCTACTATGTAGAATAGTTACCACTATCGTGGGCTTTTTTTCGGCTGCCGTTGAAACCGCGTGGGGGCACTGTCCTCGGCAAGACTACTGTAGGTACCCAATGCAAGGGATGAAATGTTGGCATGCGGATGTGATTTGACGACTTTGTTGGGCACGTGGACAAAGCAAATCTGATCGTGGAATGCGGTGAAGGCGAAGACTTACAATACACACTATCTAAGTGTACCCGTATACGTGTAGTCGGACCCTTCTACTTACTTGCCGTACCCTATCTAGCCTTGAAATCCTTCCGCAGAGGTCAAATGATCAGTTTCGGGCAAATATTCATTGATTGTTGGCCAAAAAGCTGGCCACCGACGATCGTCAATGGAGCCCTATTGTTGGCTCGAAACCCCGGACTTTGGGCTAGCAAGCGCATTGATCGTAGGCAGGGAATATCCTAGCTGCGCCTCGATTTACGACGGACCCCAGGTGACGTAGGGTCGTGTAACTCGTGTAACTCTAGACTAACATTTCTTTTGTGTGCGTCGACTTTCGCCGAATACTTGCTCGTCGGCTTGTCACGGCATCCATACGGCATCTTATCTAGAGGATCACGATACCAGCCGAGGCTGCGCGGCGAGATCGGCGTCGTCGCCATATAGCCATGTCGTACGCACACAATTTTTGCCACAGAAATGCTGGTTTACCCATGAAACAAACCAACAAACAAATTAATTAGGCAACAGTAGCACAGAGTCTAGCCAGCAGGATCATACTATAGCTGTGTTCGATCTCGCGAGCACGTGGAGGATATACAGGTACTCGACGCTTGGCCCGCGCGCTTCCCACCCAGTCTGCCGGATGCCACGGGTTCCCGTCTGACTTTCTGTGCGGGTTGAGGCGAGTTCTTTTGCGCTGCGCAGACGCAGTGTATGCTGGTACCAGCCCCCAAAGACAACAATCCATGTTACCCAAGACGTTGCACCCTGCTCGGATAAGGGATCCTTCATAGACGTGAGTAGGTAATACGAACTTCCTCCGCCGCCACCTACATTACCATTCTTAGCATCACTCCTAGAATGGCGGTGGTGCAACAGCCGTAAGAACGGAACGCTTGTCTGCCGACAACGGAGAGACTGCATGCGGCATGATCAGTATCGACAGCATTGCGGCATCAAATGCCGGCTTGGGATGAACATTATTATATTTCTGCACTAACTGCGCTGCGGCACACGGAAAGGGAAAGTTGGCTGAAACAGCACAGTACGGCGAGGCTTCAGCCTGATGCTGCGCGATCCAGAGCTCTGGATGCGTGCCTTTTCGACGTGCTATTTTCAGAGCCAACTCCCACTTAAGTTGGGTATCTACGAGATATCGCCGGCGGCGTACGAGAAGGCGTCTGCTCTCGTTGGGGCGCGGCCTAGGCAGCTCACCATAGTCGCTGCTGAGGAGTCCAGTGAATGGGTTGCAAAGGCGTTGGGGCACCCACCCCGGTTTTCCGGATGTCTATAGATGGATTGACGATGTGTGTGAGATCGTGCACCCTGGTCAGACATGAACATGAAGGCGTCCCCTAAGAATGCGGCGGGCGTAAGTAAGTGATTGATTCTGTCGAAGCATTCCAAGTGTGAACCGTCTACCCTAGCTACTTCTCCCACATAGATACATACGGCTGGGATCCCAGGTGGCTGTGCAACTGATATGAATATAGGTAGTAAGCCTAGGTAGGTATATTTCATGGCGACAATACTTAGTCGTAACATGGCCTGTTAAGATGGCTTAAAGCATGATGAACAAGGGGGGCCCTTTGATGAAAAACAAAGAGGCCTCTTCCAATACCTCATGTTCTACGCCTTCTCGCGTATCGAGAACAAGTTTTTGAGTTACGTACCTAGTTATTCCGGAACGGATGATGGCTCTGACTACCATGATGTCTTTCGGTAGCCAGGTGGCAATATACAAATACTGCAGGTCAAAGCATCACCAGTCGAACGATATTGACAATCTAGATTCTACGTGCTCCGTACTTAAGTAGAAATATCGTGTTTCGAAACGAAATGTCATCAAAGAAGTCCAACCTGGATACCTGTCGTCCAGTCTTGGCACTCGCAGGCCTAATAATAGTGCATGTGTCCACGATCCAATCAGAGGCGTGCTTTTGGCGTTGTCGCGCCTAATCTGAAAAGTCCCAGTCCAGATCGAGACCAATCGCAACTCGCCCTCCCTCTCCCTCTCGCAGCCGCCCTGTTCGCCTATCGGCTATAGGCTGGGCTATAGGCTGGACGTGGGACTGCTTTGTTACCGCCCATGTCCAGGGACGAGCGATTCGCTTCGTTAGAGCCTCTCGTTTCGACGACGACATGGCCTTCCGGCACACTGCCTCAAACCGCCTGCATGACTGCCGACGCCTGCCCAAATAGGTGTGTAACGAGCCCGGCTAGGCCACTCTACCTATCTCTCGCAGCCCTCGATTCAATATCGAGCGAAGATGTCCAGTCAGCGCCCAGGCATCTGGTCACTTCTCTTCTGTGGCATTGATGCGTGACGCAGTGACGCTGCCTTGGTTGGGCCATATCGAACAGCTGTCCGGCTGGCACGTCTTCGCGTCTTCGGGGTGGGCTCACGGCCAAGGACACGAACAATGGTCAGTCAATCAGTCGAGGTGGACACAAAGATGGTGAAGCTTTCTTCTCCCCACCGTTGCATGGCCGGCCTTATCTCCCCTTCCTCCTGTTCAGTTCGGGTTTCTTGTTCGTTTCTTGTTCGTCGTACGTGTAGAACTCGCAAAGAGTCTTTGTCTGTTCCCTTTCTTCAAGGTCATACATCTAGGCAAGGGCCCGGCTCTACGTCTCCTAGCGGCCTATCCTCCATTGTTTGCTCGTGAATAACTTCCCTTGCTATAATTTCCACAAGCCTCTGCAACTTACGCGCGCCCTCTAGACATCTCGTGAACAAAATTTTCTATTCTTAGCCACCAGGACTAGCACCACGATTTCTTCCAGTTTCTGCTCGGGTTGATCCCCACGCTTAGCTTTTTTACTTTCTTCTCTTCATCTCAATTAGACTTACTTCTGGTTCACCAATCTCGATAAATCTCCACAAATACTGTACAATAGACTATCAACAACTTCAACGAACAGTTTCGTGTTATGTCGTACGCTCGGGGTCCGTTGCGGACTCTGCAACTTGCGGCAGTGCTCGCGATTGCATCCGCCACCTCCATCCGAGCAAGCTGGTTACTCGAGAGGGCAGACACCTGCCCTGCTGATTACAATAAATGCACGCAGGCCGGGCTACCGGCAAATTTCTGCTGTGCAGCTGGGTCCGTATGTAATGTATTAGCCGGTGGGACGACGGTATTATGCTGCCCTAGCAATAGCGACTGCTCGACGATAAAGATCATCAGCTGCGATATATCTCTTCAAGACGCGGACACGCACCCCAAGGCTGCGGCTAAGACTACGGAACTGGATGGGAAACTTCCAGTGTGTGGGAAGGGCTGCTGTCCTTTTGGGTACCATTGTGACGAGGCCAGTGCGAACTGTGTGATGGACAAGGACCAAAGTCAGAAGCCAGGTACCACGCCCAGCTCGACTTCATCAGCGCACGCGTCACCTACGCAGACTACATCGCACCCAGCGTCAACGACGAAGGCCAGTACAAGTACCTCAGAAACAGCCATCGGCACATTACCCGCCTCGGCAACCACGACGCCATCATCAGAGGCCGCAAGCACAATGAACACAGCGGCCATCGTCGGTGGTGTCGTCGGCGGACTCCTCGCCCTGGCGCTAATCTTCGCCGGGGTCTGGCTACTTCGACACAAGCGCAAGAAGGCCGCCGAGGAACGGGCGAAGCGGGATACGGCGGGGTCTTTCGGAAACAAGATCAGAGCGCAGATCGGCGCGCCGATTCCACACGCTGACTATTACAACCAACGACTGGACTTCCTCGCCAAGGCGCAGAGCGAAAGCCTCACGTCCTCACTGACACGGCGCGGGTCGCATCAGGGCGATAATGGTGGCGGCACCGACTTCTTCCCCCTCCGCTCGCCGTACTCGAGCATAGGGTTCCGCCCAGGCAGCGAGATGACGGACCGGCCGCGCAGCCATCACGAGTCTGCCGTGATAGGAGGCCTTAGGAATCTCACGGACCGCTACTCGAGCGGCTCTGTGTCGAACCCGTTCACCCCCGTGCGAGGCAACCGGCAGCACAGCGGCGGCAGCGAGAGCATCAATATCTTTGCCGACCCGTCCACCGTCGGCACACCCTCCATCTACAACAGGCGGGATACCACGTGGACTGAATTCCAGCATCACGCCGACCAACCGCAAATGCCCGACTCGCCCTCGCCTGCGACGAGGAGGAGGTAGCGTAGTTATCTTACCGCCGTTACCGAATATGATGTGGTGAAGCGAAGGGATGATCCCAGATTGGGTCTTGCATAATGCACGCACGCACGCATACACTCTATAATCAGCATATAGCATAAGTTGGGCGTTCTGGGAAAAAGGGTGTGAATTAACTTTGCTGTTATTTTACCTTGATTTTCTTTCCTTTTTGGGGGCAATTGGGAAAATTTATTTATTTTTGGTTTACGGCTTTGATACCATCGGATACAGATGTGGCACAGGGTATATAGGAGATGGACACCGGCGTTTGTACATTTTAACGGCCTCTTTTATTCTTCTCCCATGACTCTCTCTAGTTGTATATAGGTTATTACCTAGGAATTGGTATTATGAAGACACGGGAATTCCACGCTTCATCGCGCGTTTTTGGCGACTGAAATAGGAGTTTTCCTGGTGGTAGTATGTGATCGTCAAAAGAAGACCCGGAATACATGGTTTTATTATCATCGGAAATAATGCACATATAACCCCTAACTTTTCCCCCCTACTATATCTGTTCTCCATCCCTAGCGCTACGTTACGAGCAATTTTGCCCACTTCCGCTAATACCTAAATGCTGGAAGATCTAAGACATGAATGAAGGAAGGGTTCCCAGCTAATTACGGCAGACCGTGACTCTACTGCTTCTTCTTATTGGCTCTCTTCTCTGCGGCCGTCGGGGGACTGCTCTGGCCGTTGCCGCTGTCTTTCTCAGCAGCAGTGGCAGCTTCATTCTGGACGCGCTCATACTCCTCATTGTCCTTGCGCTCGGCATACCACTGGCCAGCCTGCAGTACCAGGACACCGACAAGAACGAGGGCGAGGATGGTGTTGCTGGCAGCCATGACCTTGAGGCTGTCCTCGCGGCCGAGGACGATGCGCCCGTCCGTTTCCTGGGTCATCTGGGCGCTGGGGGGCAGATTCCCAGCGAAGTCGGGGCTGTGCCAGATTCCGGCGCTCACGAAGCGTAGGCCCTTGACGATGTTGGCGATGTAGACGCCGACGCCGATGACGTAGAGAACGAGCGAGGCGCCGTCGAACAGCATGTTGCTCTCCGACGCCTTGAACAGCTTGATGAAGAAGCCGCAGAACCCCGTGCCAATCATGATGCTCAGCATCCGTGAAATCAGCGGCGGCGACTGGTGCACGAACTTGAGGTGCGTCTCGAGCTGGTCGAGGTAGGCGGGCAGGATCGGGTCAGACGTCCAGAGGAGAGGGTAGTCATAGGGGAACTCGGCGAAGAGGATCCCGAGAAAGAAGCATACCGCTGCATGAGGGGATGAGATACATGTGGTTAGTTTGAGATATTCTGGTCTGTGTAGAATTGCTTCAAGGGTAGTAGGGGAGTGGATGATGGGGGGAGTCGCAAATGCGGGGAGCAATGCGGATGCGACGAGGCGAAAGCAAAAAGGGCCGTTGGCTACTTACGCCCGATTATCATAAAGGTCGCGAAGGACGAGGAACCGCGATAGTCCTTGGACCGCACGTTCTTGGACCAATCTACCCATTTGTCTGGCATCTTGAGGGGGTTTCGCGTGCGATTGTTGTCGACGGAAATTGCGAAATGAGGCGGTTGGCAAGGGGGTGCCGCGAGAACAAGGTCGCTTTATCTAGCACTGAATTGCCCAGACAATGAGAATGCGACTCGGATGAGGGCGATCGAGATGATGCGCGCGTGTACTTTGTTGGTTTCGCTGTCGTGGGCGCTCAAGGTAGGATTGGTAGGCTGGAGGAAGATGAGAGGTCGTTCGTTATCGGCCTGGTTGTTTGTCATTTGTTTTTTCAGCTCCTCTGTATGTTATCTACCCGCCTACGGCCTAAGAGGCTACCTTACCCTGTAGTCTAGAAGGATTGTAGATACCTGCACAGTAGTTTTGCACGCTATCGTAATCCACTGCCTAGACCACTCTGTTCCTCCGCCGATGCCTATCTAATGCTGCATGGCATCGCTGGGATTGTAATCATAATGGTTATATTAGGTATGTATGAAGTTGCTGCACCTTAGCTTGCAGTGCTAGCTGCCTAGGTATCATCCAGATGCTCACTCAATTGACAGCGTGTTTAAGCTTTGACTTGAAATTTCATGTGATTGTGAATCCCTGTCGCTGAGCCACCAGCAGCTTAAACTGGACTGAAACAATACCTACCTACTGTCAATCAACTTACTACAATGCCGAGTAAGTGCTACCTCTTCACGAAAACCAGATAAGTTGTAAACACACAAGATGTCTAATTCTGGTAAATTAGCCTTCAATACATAGGAAGGCTGGCACCTACATGTAGGTAGTAGCTATCGTGCTATGTACATTCAAGGTTGTATAATTACTCGCATTATACCAGTAGCTGTCTCTCCATCCAGTCAGCCTATTCGGGAAGCGTATCATACCTAACCTACCTTGTGGCCGGTACCTCACTAACTCTATCCAGCTTCTGTGGCGCACAGCTTGAGCCTGTCAAGCGACTTGGACGTCATTTCTGAACAGTTGCATCAGTCCCGACAACGAGATTCTCAAGTTCCGCCTCCGATGCTAGCCTAGGTCTCTCATATAATGGGCAACGGGCAGGCTGAGAACGAGTACAAAGAGTTAGTGAAGGCTGGGGAAAGTTTACTACGACCAAGAACCAGCAGAGTCGATGGAGATGGATGTACTGCAAAATTTGGGATATTGACCCCAATCGATGCTTTGTGAGATGATTCTAGCGATTCCTTATGCATGATGTGAAGCAAGGCAACTCCTCGCACTCGATGAGATTATTTACTCGCCACTTGATGGATCGCAACCTGCCTTATCTTGTCTGCAAAGAATGGTTTCAGTGTGAAGACGAGCTTTGCCGATATAACCATCTCGTTGCGGAGCATAATTGACTCCTCCACACTTCGGTCTTCCCACATATAAAGAATGCGCCTCTAGCTCATTGAACGGCCAACTAAATATCGCAGGCAATAATACGAATGGCTAGCCCAGCATGCTTGTCTCTGTTGGTGTGTCCGCGACTGTGAAATTAGATTTGGGATATTCCGGAAAAGACTGAGTGCGTCTATAACTTCGCAAACCTCGTCTTTTGTCAACGTAAAGTGTCTGTATCCAAAAAAAAAACTCGCCGCTAGAAGTCCCGACTGTCTAGGTAGGCAGCGGCCATTCTCTGGGTAGCTCTGTAAGGGATGAGATAGTGTAGTGTCTGAAGAAGGCCTAACGGCAGGTGTAGATGAGACCTGCGGGCTGGTCCGAGAGGACCGGTCCACCAAGCACCACAATTCCCAACTGTCGTGTGCTACATTTGTGTCTCGAGGGAGAAACTTAATTGAGTGCTATTATGAGACTTAGAGTATCTATAGGAACAGGGGCTTGGACTGCGACAACCCAGCCATGATACCAGCCTGAAGATACCTGCAGAGGCATTACAGTGAGGAGCATGATCAGTTCAAGCGAGGAGCATTAGGGCTGGAAGGGTTCAAATGTTCTCCCACCCGCCGCTGATAGAAAGCAATGATTTGAGTTTCTCCAGCTTTTGGGGTGATCGAGATCAACGTCCTTGAATCTTTAGTGTAGTGAAGATCGCCGCTATAACCATGAGCGATATCGTCATCTGGGTAAGCTGAACCTGCGAATCGCTCTTGAATTGCGCCCTTCATCCAACCAAAACCTCGCGTAACTGGAAGTATGTGCCGATATGGTAACGTTTCTTCACGTCATTAGCCCCTCCTTTAATTCTACAGTGCCTGCTTAGAGATCACAATACAGATATAACAGCCAGTGGCCTGCATATCTGTATAAGAGATAGCACAACTTGGAAGAGGGAGATCGTGAGACTACTCTTTATGAACCCATCGGTGTTGTTATGGGAATTGGCGCTTGCCTTCGCGAAGCGTTCAGCTCGCGCGGTTGTCCAGTTTTATGATCGAGTTCAAGCCAATCTACTAGCTTCATTCTCTAATGCTATATAGATTTGAACGGTGTTGTTCTCCGACGCTGGACTTACGAGTTAGCTGATATTGATAATTAGCTAGTTGGTTCAGTTCTTCGTAGTGACAGTAGAGATAATCGACAAGAGTCCCTGTTACTGGTTCAGCGGATCTGGAGTGGAATTTTTTTTTTCGCCCTTCGGAACGAGTCAGGCCATCGTGCTACATTTTATAATACGAGCTGATGTCGACTAGGTAGGCATGATCGGTTTTGTGACTGTCTATTGCCAAGGCCCGAGAATCTAAGCAATAGGCTTGTTTAGGCAGTCTATCCGTGTAAGACTTCGGAATCCGAGCCTGAGTCTAAGTCAGTCACCAGGTAGCACCAAGCTCAGCTGTATTCACATTGAATAGTATGACCAGCCTAAGGTGGCAGCTCTCTTGAACTGAGGGGGGGATTGATTCACTGACTCTAGTCAAGCCTCAGCTACGGGATTTCTTGGCTGAGGTGCGTGGAGAGAAACATGACGCTACCAGTCCAATCACCCGGAAAAATAACCTATGAACCTACACAATACCAAGTAAGTACCGAAGGCTTCGCTGCGACCTTGATTGCTTGGGCAGAAAAAACATTACCTAGATTTTGGATCACTTACGTATTGCAATTCTATGGTATGCATTCTTACATATTGTTGCTTTGCCGGAGGACATGCCTTTAAGTCTACATGTACGTAGACTTGAGGATGGATGATCACGGGGCGGCGAATCTTCACATCCAGTGATTTTGTGGTGGGGGTAACCCCCCGCCCCTGCCCCGGGACACATCCCATCTTTGTCATTAGTTGCGCTTGTCCGCCAGCCGCATACATAATACACAGTACAGTACACTAGGGCCATCAACCTTGGTACTATGTAAATGGCAGATTTAGGTGTGTTGTACTTACATAGTAGTGGAAGCTTTCCATCTGCCTCTTAAGTTAGGCTAAATCTACATGACCCAGCGCTGTGAATATCTCACAGCGCGCGTTATGCAAGCCTACCTACCTAGGTAGCTGTTAGTGTCCACCACTTGCAGCGCAGGGGTCTCCAAGACTGCGGCAGGTGCTATTGCTTTAGCGCAGGATATAGAGTACTAGCGCACCTACGACACCTACCTAGCACAGTACCTACAGTATAAGTAAGTAGTACCTACCTACGAAGAACAGAAAAGAAGTACCAAGTCCAGGAGGGATTACAAGATACATATCTGCCGTTTGCCTTGCTTTTCTCGTTAACTAACCTAAAGAACGTGCCCAGGTAGTATCTGGCCGCACAGACAAGTTGGTCAAGTTTGAATACCTACTTCGTAACGAGTCGGCCAGCAAGATGAAGCCTAGGTAACCAATACTAACCAATACAGGAGACGCGGCCATCCCACTCCCTAACCCCCCACTCCCCACCCCACCTGTTTGCTTGCTGCTGCGCACGCACTACGAACCCAAGTAGGAGGCCGGCCGGCTGGTGTCCTGACTCTCGCCGACTTTGGCCGTTAGCCCAGTCCATTCCGCTCGGCCAGACAATCGTGCCAACATGGTCTTCGTCTTCGTCGTCTCTGGTCCCCATAACGGTAGCGCGGCCCAATAATGCGAAACGAGGGGGAAAATTCAATTCTGATATAGCCCTGTCCGCCAGCCTCAACGTCTCGTCGTCGTGCAGAGGCTCACGTCCGGCTCATCGACGCAAACCTGCCGCAGAGAGCTTCGCATCGCTTTCCATTCACAGCTCCACTTTGGCTTCCAAACCTGCTGTATGTGCATACTGAAATGCGACGACGCACAACCACATCCTGTACGACTGTAGTAGCCCGCACCTTTCAGACCGTAGGCACAAGCGAACCGGAATCGAGAGTGAGCCAGTGAACCGCTCGGCCACACAACCCCTCCACGTACGAGCCATCTTCCGAACCTCGGCGAGCCACATCCTCTGCGTTCAAGCACGGACAGTGGTGTCTCGCAAAGCGCCCGACGGTTCTCTTGCCCCGCGATGGCCATGATCAACTCGGCCGCCTGGACCGGGCAAGAGCAGAACATGTCATCGACAGGCGATGATGACTTTCAGCAGTTTTTCGATATCGGCATGTCCAATATGGGCGATTCGATGCCCTTCGACTTCCAATCCTTTACCTCTCAGAATGGCCCTTCAATGATACAGCAGGGCCATCGCGAACCTGTCGATACGCCCATGAGTGATGTGAATGTGGCCCCCATCGTTGCGCAGAGCAATACGGGACCGCAGAACCAAGGTGCTCCAATGACATCTGCGCCGTGTCATTCTTCTATCCTCTCACAGATCCTTCCTCACCAGCAGACGCCCAATGACGCCATTTCAGAGATCGATGCTCAGATACAGTTTTTGCAGCATCAGAGGTTGCAACAGCAGCAGCGCCAACTTGAGGAGCAACAGAGACGGTTACAGGAGCAGCAGGCTGCGCTGTACGCTCAGCAACAGCAACAGCGGAACATAGTCCCCCCAACACCCCAGAGCCTCGAGATGCAAGCCACAGGCCAATTTTACGCTTCGCAGGATCAAGGACATTCGTCGAGGATGTTTGATGGATATCAACAGATCAAGGAACAACAGGATGTACGTCTGCTTCTACTCAACGCTGTCGAAGTGAGCTAACGTTACGGAAGATGGCCTTTACGCCACTGGTGTCTCCTGCTGTGACTCCCTTAGATACTCCTTTCCCAGTAGACCATCAATTCATGGTCCCTAGTGCGTATTTTAGTCCCATAACGTCCCCAGCTCTATACGCACAGCCGGACTCGTCAATTTACTATGACCCAAGGCACTCGGGCCATACGAGCCAAACCACCAACTCCCCGGCTGCGATGGACGTGGAATCCCCCTCGGCTTCAACAGCAACCGACAACCTCTCAAAGGAGACACGCAAGAATGCGCCGTCCTCGAGGAGAAAATCAAAGGCACGGCCTTCGCCTATCGTGAAACCCACACGGAAGAAAACTAGTTTGACGCCGATTATGAATGCCCAAGCTTTGAGTGAGTTGGTGGAAGTGGTAGCTGAGGGCACAGCGTCAGCTCCCAAACCCAAATCAGTCTCGGCATCTTCCAATGACGAGTCAGAGAACGCGTCTGTATCGCCCGAAGCTCTTGAGATGCCCCCGCCACCACTTCCGCTACCACGATCAGCACGGCAGTCACCTCATATAGCACCCCAGAGTGATGAGATACCCCCGGCTGTGCCTCTCCTAAAGTCTCAACATGGCAAGCCGTCACCTGCCACTCCTGCGTCTCTCTTCAGAATATCGCCCAGGAATCAGTTAGCAGACCATAATCATGCAGTCACCGCCCCTGAACATATAGAAAGCTTTGAGCTGCCGGAGTCAATTAACTCGATCAAGCCCGCTCCACCGCAACTACCACAATTAAAGACGCAACAGTCTCCTGGCGCGTCTCGCGAGGAGGATACACCAAAGCTGATACCGCTCCAGCCACTGCCGTCGCCTTATGCGCCTAAGCCCATCCAACCCGCTTCGGCTAGTCAAAGTCCGCAGCTCAACCCCCGGCCGCCTTCGGCTGTGAAAAAGACGCCACTCATGGTGCCGAAGGGCGGGAGAAAACGGTCAAGCATAAGCTCTGTCTCCCCAGCCCTACTGCCCAGAATCTCGCCCAACATCAAGCCGCTATTACCAGGTACACCTGGTCTATCCAATGAAGACTCGACCTCGAGACTCCTGGCCTCCAAGTCTAACTATCAAAGGATTCTGGAAGGCAACACGGTTCCCGGCGTGACGTATCCCAGTGAACTCTCCACCAACCTGACGTCAAAGCGGACTTCGCACAAGATTGCCGAACAAGGGCGGCGGAACCGAATCAATTCGGCGTTGCAAGAGATCGCCACACTGCTCCCCAAGGGCGCACTTAAGGAGAGCAATGAAGGTGATAGCGAGAACGGAAAGGGGGACAAAACGGAGACCAAGCAGTCGAACACGCCAAACAGCAAGGCGAGTACGGTAGAGTCGGCGATCGAGTATATTAAACACCTGCAGAAAGAGCTAGCTGAGGCTACTAAGCGGGCAGAAGAAGCCGAAGAGAAACTGCGGGGATCATCACAAGCATCAGAAGCATCCCAAGCGGTGTCTTGACGAAGCGGCACGAATATTTGACAGGATATATGAGTGCAAGATGAAACAGAGATGAATCCAAGATGAAGTAAGTAAAAAGCCAGGAGAGTCACCGCTATAACGGGGTGAGGCTCTCGCGAGGCGTTCTTAGACTGAGATATAGTGTATCTTATAATGGAGACCTGACGAGGACTTAATGGGGATTGGTGTATCATACCTAGGTTTGCATTTGCCATCTATTGTCATGTCACGCTATGTTTTGCTCTATTTATTTATAAATAGGATGCTTGATACAAACACACGCTTATATATATATATATCTGTCAAGGTGGGAATGTGACAGATCAAATAATGTCTGAATTCTATACGTCTGAACATGTACATAATTGCGATAGTTGGTTCTAGAACTGTTGGGCGACATCGAAGCTAAAAAGGTCAAATATGAAAGCTGAATAAATAGTAGTAGGTAGGAGAAAGAAGATGGATGCCGTCTGCAAGAACTCGAAGCTTTTTGGTGTCGTAAAAGGCCTTGCCAAGCAGAGAACGAACACAGTGTACCTAGGCAACGAGAGCAATCCAATACTTAGCAGCAAGACTACCTACAATAGGTCGCTTTTGGTTGCTATTGCAACGAGTTGGAGTTGATCCAATCCAGGTCTACCGGGTATATCCACCGTGTTCTGTACTATGTACCTAATCAACAAACACAGTCCCACCATTTTGCCTGCCTTGCTAGGTACCTGCTAGGTACCTACGTAAGTGCTACATACATCCTTACTAAGTAAGTACCGACTAGGTGTACAGATGCAGGCAACTTTCCTCCCTCCAAAACATCACCAGCAAGGTTCGGCGTGCAACGCAACAACTGCGCTTGACCGCTGTGCAGTCTTGATTCTTCTCTTCATAATTTTCCCCTTCATTCATTTCACCTTTCGCCGAGCCTGCGCATCCGCGAAGAGGCAGTCATCGGCCGTCACCCGACCTGGCACTGGTATTCTTCGCTGCCGTCGTCATAGCATTACGTTGTGCCGCCTTGTCTCTCCTTCCTGAGGCCACCTACTTAAGGAGGGACTCACTGCTCTCACACAAACCACGTAGCCTCTCCCTCCTCTTATCTCCTTTGCAACTTCCCTTTTCTGCCAGTTCTTTCTACTTATTCTATTCTTAATCAAATCTTCCACCAGCACCACAATGTCCGACTCGGAAAATGTCGATTACCTGCAGCCTGGGTTCGATCCCAAGAGCTTGACTATCCCACGTCTGAGATCTATCCTCGTCGCTCATAACGTGCCGTATTCATCCAACGCCAAAAAGGGACAGCTGGTTGAGATCTTCAATGACCAGATCCTACCCCAGTCTGCCAAGATCCTCAACGCCCGCGCCCGCGCAAAGCGTTCTAGCAAGGGCATCTTTGACGTCGAGTCCACCAGTAGCAGTAACCCCTTTGATGATCACCAAGATCTCCAGCCCCCTCCTCCACGGCCCGCCACTACTAGGAGATCGCGATCGCCTCGAAAAGCCTCCGCCAGAATCAAGTCGGAAGAACCCGATTTTGGGCCGCCCATGCCACCCCCCGCTCCGAGCAGCCCGTCCAAGCGAGCAGCGCGATCAACAAGCCGTCAAGCTCCCGATACCGAAACTGCCCCTAGGTTGGATAGTAGTGCCATGTCGGGAAAACCAACTTGGGATGCTACGCCCAAGCTGAAAACAGAGGAGTCGGATGGTCTCTTTCGACGCACGTCCGATGTTTTCACCTCGGACAACCCCTTTCAGAGCGGTTCACCTGCAGGGCCTGAGCAAACTCCGAGTAACCGCAGAAGGACAACTAGTCATCATCTGCCGCGGAGCTCAAGCAAAGGTACCCGTAGAAGAACCGATGACTACAGCAGACCAGACGACTACGACCTACCCCATGATGAGCAGCCTGCTGCTCCCTATAGTGGCTTAGAAGTACCTAAACCAAGGTATGCTCGCCGTAAAACGCCGGAACCTGTTTATAGAACACCAGATCCACCAGCAGTGGAAGCCGGAGAAGAATTCACGCCTCAGGAACAGCTAGAGCTCGCAGCTGAGGAGATCGTCAATGGACAGAACGCCGTTGTGCGTGCTGGTCATGAGAGCCCCTCGAAGAAGGTGAACAAGAAAACACCCTTTCTGATGTTCCTTACGACTATGCTAGCTGTTTACGCTGGCTGGTATCGCCAAGAAAAGATTGCTGTTGGCTACTGCGGTGTAGGACAGACAGTTGGCTCTATTCCTTCTGAGATTGAAGTTCCGGAATGGGCACAATCTGTTCTACCTGCAGAGATACCTGTTCCCCAGTTTGTCATCGACAAACTAGAGCCCGAGTGTGAACCTTGCCCTGCTCATGCGTACTGCTATGACGATTTTACTGTTCGCTGCGAGCAAGACTATATTCTCAAACCGCATCCTTTTGCCCTAGGTGGTGCAGTTCCTCTGCCCCCAACTTGCGAGCCCGATGGTGAGAAGGTTCGCCGAGTCCAGGCTGTTGCCGATAAAGCAATTGAGGAACTCAGAGAGCGTGCAGCAAAATACGAGTGCCGTGAGCCAATCGATGAGGAGGGCACCATTGTTGACACGCCGGCCATGGAGGAGTTGGAATTGAAACAGATTATTGACAAGAAGAAGAGCCGGAAGATGTCGAACCAGGAGTTTGAGGACCTTTGGGGCGCAGCGATCGGTGAAATCAAACACCGCGAGGAAGTTCAGGTCGAAGTTAAGGAGTAAGTCATCACTCTACATGCTTGATTTTATGTCACATCCGCTCCCTACCTTCTTCTACTTGCTGTATTTATATCAACGATATTTTTCTGACCACGCTTTCAACTAACCAGAAAACCCGTTGTGCCCACAGAACGTCCGATTCCGGCGCCGTTCCAAATACCTTCTTATCGTCCACCTCTCTCGCTCGCATTCCGCTCAGCTGTGCAGTCCGGCGCTCCATCAGACTCGGATTGGCAAGACATCGCCTCCAGATTAGTATTCTGATTGCGGCTATTGTTACTGCCTTCTATGGGCGTGCACGATTCCGATCTCATCGGGCCGCGGCTGCCAAGGTGCCCTCGATTGTCGACGACGTTCTTAATCGCCTTGCTTCTCAGAAAGAGCGAGATGACGAGGATGACCCCTGGCTATTTCTACCTAATTTACGTGATGATGTCCTGCGAGCTACGCACTCACTCCGCGAGCGGGAGCGCATTTGGCAGCGCGTTATAGCTGTCGTTGAACAGAATAGCAATGTCCGGACTGGCCAGCGCGAGGGTCGCAACGGAGAGGTGGGTCGGGCGTGGGAATGGATCGGTCCTACAGCAGGTGATAGCAGCAGTAAACGTCGCAGGAGCGGACGTGTGTCTTTCGGGCCGGACATGAACTCTGAAGATTCGCCTTCTTCGGAAAGGTCATATCTACACCAGAAATGGGAGGAACCACGGCCGGTTTATTAAATTAATTTCACATATCGGAGAGGCAAAGAATCACACGGGATGGGCTGTTTGGTCGGTGGGACTGGTCGGCGTATTTTTTTTTTTTGGGCGTTGGTTTGAAGTGATTTAGTTCGCTCTACGTGTATACGGCTTACGCTGGCTTGGAGACGAATTATTGACTGGTTGATTGGTGGTAGAGGGGTTAGAAGATATGGGACTGATCGATTGTCTGTCCTGGGCTGCTACACATTGCTGCGTCTTCAGGACATCAGGTTTTACTTGGCTATTCTTTTCTTTTGTAACTTCTTTGTACGTTTTTATGTACGAACAATTTCGCGTACGTGTACCGAATATCACAACTTACACTGAAATGAAACTTCGCGGTTGTGTTCGCATATACCGGGATGATACTTCTACTTTTTTCTATTTCGCCTGTGGTTGCGAGGTAAGTAAGTGTTAGTAAACATGGTAGAAGCATTTATTGCTGAAATAAGAGTTCACTTCTCTCTTTCACGCTGTTTCTGGTCGGTCAGTTAGTTGGTGTATGGGAGGAAAGTATGTAGGTTTGCTGCCGGATTCCTGATAGGAAGCATACATGAGTGCTAGTTACATCCATCTACCTATCTACTACTTTCTTATGCAGCTACAAGTGAATTCGGGCAGCCATGGAGGATGACGTGCTATCGTAGATGGTGTCATGTCATGTAGGTATTTACTTAAATTATAAATAGGGTATCTGAGCTTATGCGTGAACTTCCATGGATTCTCTAAGTAATTTTCTTGCTTGCTCCTTTAGGCATGTCCTTGCGCGTAGTATTATATCCGTGAACTGCGACACTCTTGAAGGAAAAGATATAGGAATAGCAGCAAGTGATTAAACAGTTGCCACAAGGGGTATCCAAGTTATCACATCACAAGCACTAGGATAAAAAAAATTTAAGACAGTGGGCATGTAATGCAATGCTTTCTTTTTCACGCTATCTCTCTCGCGCTGTGTGTCTGTTGACGTTGGTGTTGTCGTTGTCCCATAGGAAGGTCTAGATCCCAGGAACTATGACAACCCTATATGACACGCCAACGCAATATTGGATATTCCCCGAAACACCATTACCAATCAACCTCGTCGGGGCAAGGTTTTCGTCACTCCCTCACCCGCTCATTTCATTCCGTCCCTTCCCCACAAGTAGCGCACGGGACACCGGCGCTAGGACGACATCATCCACCATCGTGCGCTACTCGCTCTTCCTGTCCCCATTCCTGCGGCGTGATTATACCAGGCAAAAACTGCCTAGGATGCGTTGTAACCCCTGCACGCACGATCATCTCGTGGGTCCCACGAGGGGAGTGGGGTGTGTTTTGGTATCATGCGCAAAGTGATTAAATATAAAAAAAACGAATGAATGTGCCTTCTAAGGGCAACTGAGGGTGACCGGTGGCACCGGGCACTCTATAGGTAGCGATCCTAGAGAAAAAAATATACATAACGGAGTAGAAGAGAGGGATAACCATGGAAGCGACTGCTGGCTCATGAACATGACACAATCAATATACAGAAGTTCGGCCGTCCAGCTTCGAGGGGGTGGGAGTTTTGGTATCTGAAAACAATGGGAACGATGCCCCGCAACACGCTGATAATGATATGCGATGAATGTATGTTCAAGGTAAATGTATAGAATGTCAGAAAACAATATCAAGAAAACGACCTGGCGCCTTTCTCAATGCAAAGGAGGGTGGAGAATAAGAATGTAGACGTGGTTCGACCGCGATGTTCAAAAGAGAATCGAAGTATCGACCTGCGTTCAATCGGCGAGGACAGCTGTGTGGACTGCGTGAAATGCACGTGGTTGCTTTTAGTCCAAGATCATAAATGGATATCAAGGGCGGATGAATATTGAAGGTATTCGCTATGTTTGTTGGGTGGGTAGCTGTGATAACAGGGGAAGCAGAGAGAGAATTGCGCGTCAGGCCACCAGTAGCTCTACCTGTAGGATGGATTATTGCTATTAGACCTGTCGTTATCCCCTAAGTTGAGCCAGCTCATATCAGTAGATACGGCGGCTACGGCTAATTGAGGTTGCTTTGATATACCCACGCCCGTTGCCGACCGACTAGCTGTAGGTGCTGCCAGGCCAGTCGGATACAAGCTATCGCTAGCAGTATAACTACTATATGCGCTACTTGGGGCACGATCCGTGCCCCAGGGCTTTGGTGGCACGGTCGGATCCCATGCCTCATGTACGCTGGGAGGTATGCCGCTCGAATAGCCCGAGGAGGAGACGGCGGATACTGCGGAAACCGGCCGTTCAATGCGGCCCGACAGACCCTCGCTGAATCTTGGCTCATACTGGGATATCGTTGGGCTGCCTGAGTTCACTTGGTGAAACGACGGCCGTCCCTCGGCTGGTACTTGCAACGGCGGGACTGTCGCTGAATCTTGTGTCATGCGGTGCGCGTCGGAATAATGCGAGCTCTCATCAGAGACCTCCGTATCACGCCGCGATTTGCTACTGCCCCCAAATCCCATGATGCTCGCGCTTCCACCCGACCAATATCGATTCCAACCCGAACTCCTACGTAATTCACTGTCTGTATTGACTGGTAGCCTCGATCGAGGCTTCGGTTGTGCAGGTTCAGGTGGCATAACAATCTTTTCCGTCTGGTTCAGGAATGGCGGCTGAGTGGTCATTTGCGGTTGAGGCCGGCTGATTGTTTGCTTGATGTCTTTGCCGTACACGCTGCCACTCGATATCCGTCGCTTCTCACCGCTGCCTTTACGTTGGATAGCTGGCTTCGGGCTCTTGCCGAGGAACATAGCCATCGACGAGAACGAACCTTGTGAGTCTTGTTGATTGTGACCTCCAAAATAGCCGCCCGAGGCTTTGGCAGAGTCCTCAAAGAAAAGACTCTTCTCTGGTATCCCACTAGCTCTTCGAGCATGCCCAATCTCAGCGAAGCTCTGTCTTCGTTGGCGTCGCTTTAGCCACAATAGTATCAAAGCAAGTATAAGAGCTGCACCAAAGATCGAGCCGAGAACTATGCCGAGAATAGTAGTTGAGGGCAATGAAGACTTTGAAGAGCCGGGCATTCCAGCAGGTGTAACGGGAGGGACAGGACTGGTCGTCTCTGCGTTTATCACACGATTGGTTGATGAGGGCTGGGACGTCGAAGTTGTGGTTGCCGAGGAGGGCGTCGATAGAACAGAAAGCGATTCTGCACCAAGGATAGCCGTGGCATTTTCCCATGTGTTTGCCTTCGCATTGAACATGCATAATATGTCGACATCGTTTCCACCAGACATGACGACCAGGCCTTTCGAATCAGTCGCTATTGAATAACGTTCTCTTGTGCTTTGGGGTGCGTATGTCGCATTGTAAGGTGGCCAGTTATTGGCTAGCAGATCTCTTTCATCAACAGCTTTCCCATCTACCTTTGCATTTGTGTCTGTAATAGTAGACTTAACCGGTGCAGATAGAATCACGGGCGCTCCAACTGCGTCAATCAATACTGTCCTGTTCACCACATTTGGCAGAGTGGTGAGATCGAAAGTGTATAAATGCTTGCTTCCGTCATCGGCCCGAATAATTGTAGCCTTCACTGTGGTCGTGTTCTTGGAGAGAGGTTCAGCTAAAGTAACTCCAGAATCAATCCATGATCCGCTGATTCCATTAACATTCACAGTCGTATCGAAAAGCATGACTTGCGTATTCCAAGGGTTGCCACCAATTAGCGCGGCTTGCGTCTCTGACCAAGGTAATAGAAGGGGCGCAACGCCCGGTGGAGAGATGTCAGATTGGAATGCTAACACGCCGTAGGGCTCCAAAGTGCTGATCGTGAATGTTTGTTGGGATAAATTCTCAACTCCGTCCGTCGTGCCGGCATATATAAGAATAGATTCGGTATTGTTGAGATAGGTTGCACTGTGGTAGACTCTATCCTTCGTCACGGTAACCTGTGGTGTTATTGTTTCCCACTTACCCGTGGAATATGTGAACTTTTGAAGACCCGGATAGTCGGTTTGACTGGATTTTCCACCCACAATGAACAAACCCGCGACCGAAGCATCTTTTGGGGTTGATCCAACGCATACTCCACCGTCCACCGACTTGCCGCTGCTTAGTTTCTTCCAAGCGGCACCTTCTTCTAATTTGAGCGATTGAAATCCGGCCGCAGAATATGAATAAAGAGTATTGTTGAAGATAGTTGTGCAGCTGCCTGTTAGGCTCACCGCTGGCTCAGGGAGCAGCATTGTGATATGACTCTCAGATGTCGAAGTCACCACGGTTCTATCGGGTGCGTAAGTCAACAAAATAAGAGATAATCCTAGAGTATAGGCCAGTTCACATCGGCATGTTCAATGGCGAAAGTCGGATCCGAGAAGTCAGGGTGAGGGGAAAGTCACCACTCTACTGTGGTGGTGATTCGGGGCGCAGCAATATGTATGTAACAGATTACAGCGTGATAATATTGGCAACAAACCGGGGGCCAATCTGACTCCAGCACCTCTGTTTCCAGCGAAGGATTACGCGACTAATCGGTAATAGCCACACCCAGTTTCGTTGAGGCGTTCCTCCCGAAATAATGAAGAGTTGTTGAATACAGGTCGATGAATAACTAGTCTGTCTTCGATCCTGTAGTTGGCAAAGCAAACAGAACAGGCGAGGTCCCGCCCCAACTAAGCCGATGATCTGCGGAACAATGTTTGATGATGAGCGAACAGGTGAAAGGGGAGAACTCTGAACTCGGCGAGTTTTTGCTGCACGCTGATGGTGTCTGTATGTAAGGATTATTAGAAACACTGGTTCTGAAGTAAATCGTGTCGCAGAAGTCGAGCAAAAGCGGATCTTCGCACGAGCCCAATCCTGGAACCTGGGATATGTACGACGTGAAGCCCAACGCTATAAATTCGTGATTAGAACATTAACGCCGTAGTATGAAAGTGCGTGAACGAACAGAATCGTGTAAGAAACGTCTCGATAACCGCGATACACCTGGTGTAGAAAGGAAACCTGAGAACCGGTAGCAGCCAGGGCCTGAGGAAAGAAACAGATACTGCGTAGGGGGCGAGAGAGGAGACACGAGAGGAAGAGGGTCAGGTAGCACTGGAGCCCAAGTGCGAGCCCAGCATCCATCGTACACTACACTACACTACACTACACTACACTAACCACACGACGAAGACAAGACAAGACAAGCCGACGAAGTGAAGAACAAACGGGTGGATGGGGAACAGGGGTCCCTTGAAGATGCCTGTGGACTGCTCTGGTTCCAACCAATCGAAGCGTCGGAATCTTCAGGGACAGGGAACATCACACCAGTCCAAGAAACGTGCTCTGACGGGAACTTGTATCATTGGCATTGAGGGTACCCCCATATTAGTGGGTGAGAAGCGTGGATGGCGTTGTACTCAACCCTTGTTGTTCTACATGTACATGCTGAGAGAACCGTACCTAGCCAGCGAGTAACAGTTTTGGAAAAGGGGGCAGAACGTGGTCCCTATGAAATTCTTAAGTAGCAGCAGATCACATATCGTGGGTTGTATGACAAACAGCACGCTAGGTACACCACAAGCACGCAAGAAATGGTATCTCATGCTTTGCCTGGAGATACTTATAGGAACGGAGGATCAAGGGACCTATACGTATAGGCTAGATGGTTAGGATGTCCATCTTCAGAGCAAGCGCCAGATGAGGGGGACACGAGCAGCGCGTAGATTGTAGATTGAGTAGGACATATCTCTCTGGACATACCTACTACTGTAAGTACCTAACAAGTAATGTAGGTACTATGCAGGTCTTTCATTACGGGCGTCTTGGTGAGTGTACTGTGTTAACAGGGTTGCAGCAAACTGATCGTCAGCCAAAGCCACGATGAAAGCAGCACGCGGCGGCTGGGTGGAGGTGCAGAGGAGGTGGATAGGAAACATTTGGAAGATGGCGAGGATGGAGGGCCAAAGTCCCCGGCACACCACACCATGCAAAGCCCCCCAGCCATCGTCGAGGACTGAGGTGGTTTTGTGTTTTGTGTTGTGACGCTCTGGACCTCTGGTAGAGAAATGGACAGGCATGAGGACAGAGCTGGACTAACTGTGAAAGGAGATGGCTAGCATGGTGAAACGCAGGACCCCTGATCTTACTATGGCCTATTTATTGAACTAAGCACCTACCAGATACCTACCTAGGTAATAGTAGCCTATAATAGTAGCCTAGTATGGACTAGCACGGCGCACCTAGGTACTGTACCCATTTCTGCCCGTTCAACACTACCTAATGTACCTACACCAGACTACACTACACTACACTACTGTAGGTACTGACTAGGTAGACCAATCACCGGCCCGGCCGAGGCCATTAACCATCTTGGAAGCTACGGTACATAGTTACATAGTACTAGTACCTACACTAGGTTAGGTACCTCCCTATCTGTCCTACCGAGTGCAGGAGCCGGCCACGTTAAGTTGCTGATCAGTGAGGGAACGTTCGCGGCCAGCAACCAAGCGAGCACTTCCACTCGATATTTAATATATCATGCAGATTGTGCTGCATTGCCGGGTACGCTAACACTGGAAGAACAATGCGAGCACGCTAGGTACGCTATTCTGCTCGTACCAGCAGTAGTCTCTCTCATGATGAGGGAATCTGTCTACGTATCTCTGGTCGTGGTTTCTCTACCAGCGAAGGATGAGAGCCGTCTTGGCACATTCGAGGTCCAGCAAAGGATGAGCGAGGATCGCATAAAGGCAAGGCTACGAAAGCGAGGACGCGTTGGAGCATAGAGGAGCGTACCATACCAACCTACTCTAATAATGTAGTGTAGGAATGTATATATGTAAGTATGTGTAAGACCGGCACTACAATACAATTTCGGGCGGGAATACGGAGAGTTGTAGCCTGTCTTCTTCTTCTTCTGCCAGTGGCCTCTTGCATGGTGCGGCGGACGAATAGGCTTGCAACCAGACCTGCAAGTCTCGGGGTCTACTGTCGTGAACACCACCACAACAGTACCATACATGCCATGATGCCACCACTACCTTACCACCACCGCCGCCGCTATCATTTCCGCATGGGGAATGTAACTAGCTTGACGAGCTCTGGTTTTCGCTGAACGCAACCTGAAATGGCAACGCTATGAAGATACCGTAGCTGATCCTCTGGCTGGGCCACCGACAAGAGAGCCGATTCGGAATCCTGAGTCGGCCTACTTTATCTATATGCTACGTCGGATGATGTTCGTGGCCTGTCTGCCTGCCTAATAGTGATGATGCTGTTCCTACCAATCCCCCAAAATAAATATCTCGCGAGCGGAAGGCGGGGTTGGCGCAGGATGAACACAACATACATACAGACATAAGTAGGAATAACACCATCCGGAGCTGAAAAAAAAAACGAACATGGCCGACAATACTGCAAGTTTACACTAGCGTCATGTTCTTTCTGACAATGGTCAGATTCGCATTTGGTGAGCATCTTCCCTATTTAGAAGCCCTTTTCCCCCGTGTGGGCAAGCGACAGTATGATTTCGAGTCGGGATTTCAATTGAGATCGTGGGCTACTACCTACCTACCGTAGCTGCCCATCGCGGTATAAACTGATCAGCTTAAAAATAACCATTTCTGATTCCCCTCCTTTCCACCTGACGTGATGACGTGCATCGTGTCACAATCCCTCGCCCCAGATATTCTTCCGTGAAAGGAGCGAGTGCGATACCCAGCCAGTACCCAGCCAACATCAACATTGAACCACCCCACGCCGCTCTTACCACCTTCCGCAGACGTTGCGATCCAGGTGGGGTAATACATACATACCTACAATCTGACAATTTGAAGATCCGGACCGTCTTTCGGCCAACACCATTTCTCGTCTAAGTATGTCTACATCAGAATAAGATCGTCGACGCTCGTATATTATCTATTTCCATCTATCTATCCGTATTGTGGATGGTCATATGGGCAAATTGTGCTTGGCCGGGCTTGTTGTGTCAGCGCCGAAATCAATAGAAGCGTCACGAATGCCCGATTAATTAATTGCAAGAATAAATCTCAATGCCGTCATTCCATTTTTCCTCTTCTACTTACACCACCAAGGTAGGTTACCTATTTGACAACCCCGCCTATGCGGCCGCTCAACCATCATCTATTCGTACCGTACCCTCGAATTTCCGTCCAATAGGGCGTGGGTTGCAAGGCCTTCCACACCCATCGCATCGCGAATCAAAGGGCGGGTAAATCCATTAGCAGGACCTGAAGATTAAGCGCCGGCTGTCACATGCCTCGGGCTGCCTTTTGTGGCTTCTAACCTAAAAGCTTAGCATACCATCTACCGTATTGTATTGGTGTAGAGCTCAGGGACCATGAAATGCCCTTGCCTTCTTCCGTGCCATAGCTAGCCAACTCTGTGCAGCTCCTGGCGAATCATGGATCCTATATACTTCATCCTTAGTCACAGGGAGTGAATCTGGCGCGCGGCAGTCTCCCACAGGTGAGACGGTAGTTTAGTATTTATGAAAAGATGAGATCTAACTTCTTGCGCTGCAACTTTCAATGCATTACGAACTTCTAGAAAGCGCGACGAGTGGTCGCTAGGTAGCCTTGATGGGAAGGGGGGAACATCTGACGAAACTTATTATAGTTTCCAATTTATAAAACATTTTCTAATCAAGTAACATCGCACATGCACTCAAACTTTATGCTGTAGAATCAATCAAGGCTAGAAATTGTAGCTAAGGCACAACAGAGACTACTTTAGCATTGTTGTGGCGACGGGCCAGGGTTGACAGTAGAACATAACACAAATATCAAGTGACGGTGGAAATACTTAGGTCATTATCGCATCCATAGAGAGTTTCTATTGCAATTTTGCAGAGAGGTCACTCCCACTGTTGCGGTTCACATCAGAACCACCAAGCAAGCTTCAAATCAGCGTCTGCCCTATATATCCTCCGTTTACTCTAAAAGTCCACCTTGCTCAACTGAGCCTCCCCTCAACCCTTGTGTGAACCGATACATACGGATATATAAGTGAATACAACCACGCAACTAATCATCCTAGTAGCAAAGAAGAAAATACAGTCGCTTGTGCAAAACCCTCGATCTCCTCTCATTACTCCTTAGTCGATGCAAAGCCCATCGTTTCTCATGTTAAAAATTTGTTTGTTTGTGTGGTGATTTGCGAGGCTCTTCAAGCTGCAGCAACAAAAGCCTGCGGAGGTATCTGTGCCTATTACAAAGCGTATTAGTTATGGGTGAATCGATATTATCATAGGTAGAAGAGATGAGGTGTACCTTTTTCTCATGGAATGAGGTGAGAGCCTGATCAAAGTTCCAGTTTGCACCATCAAGACAGAATTGGGAGTACTCAGGTGTCATCCCAGTCTGTTTAGAAAGTTCTAGAAGCATTTGCTGTTTCTGTTGATCATTCACCGTCGTTGCCTGCGTGGTGGCCGGTGATGGTACGTTTTTGGGTACGTTTTTGAACGCCTTCAGAGATAGCATGTCGGAGACAACCCGGATGGCATTTCTTCCAGGTGCTCCAGGCCCAAGCACAAAAGTGCGAGAGAAGCTACGCTTAGTAGTCTTTGTTGTTCCAAGTTCCTGATCATCAAACTCGCCATGGACGGTCATGATCATTCCATCAACGCCGAGTGGGCTCTGACCTGCCGGGTCGGCAAGCCCATGGATAGGATGGCAGTCAATAATGTATTTGTCGAATTGAGTTGCTAAATTCGGGTGTTGAGTAGGAGGGAGCTGACTCCAAAGTGCTTGTATTTGGCTGGCACCTGTGAATAGTCGTTGCTGTCGGGCGGGCGCGTAATTTCTTTTCATATGATTCCGAGAAAATCTTATGTAGTCCCCCCATGTCGGCAATGGCACGCCGGGTTCGTGTGGAGAATGTGTGTTTACAGCGATCGAGAATGTACTCTGTTCGTCGTAGTACTTGGCTGCCAAGTTATGTCGGTCCGTATCATATAGTGATAGGAACTCGGTGATGAAACCTTCGCCAACGCGGTTAATATCGCGAAAATCAGGTCCGCTTTGAGGAATAGGCGTGGGACGAGACGCGGCCTCGGCTGCCGCCACTTGTTCAGGTGTTCGAACTTGGATGCCACTAAGATTTAGTAACTTTGGGAACCAAGTTACCATCTCTGCTTTGTAGCTTGGGTTGCCAACCTCAATGGGATTGTCATTAAGAAGGAGAGTTTGAAGACTGCGAAGACGGTGGCGCCATTTCTGCAGAGCTTTGAGGTCCTTGAATTGATTCCGGCTAAGGTCCAAGTTGACAATGTCAGGAAATGTGTCGGTTAGAGATAAAATTTGCGAAACATCATTGATATTGTTGCCTGCGAGGCTGATGCTAACGACAGCATCACGCTTCGCCTGGGGAGTCTTGAAAAGTCCTTCGCATATTGCCATCAAGGCTTTGAACATCTTTTCCGGAGTAGCTTCGCCTCTAAAGAAGCCCATCTGGTTGAGGGTGGGGTCTTCACCGAGGGTGGAGAGATTTAATAGCTTAGCATTGACGTCGTAACGTGTACTAAGAACATTGCGAAGTTGTTCTTTCATTTCAAGCGCTGTTGATGACAGTGGTGCTGAGTCGCGATTAGGAAGCCCCTCCGGTACTTCTGTGATCTGGAGAGTTGCGCCGGCGAAAATGAAGTTGTTAACCTTGAGAATTTCTACGGCGTCTTCCTTGCTTGCTGTAATATAGACGAAGTCACCATTTATTTGTGACTACTAGATGTTAGCAAGGCGTGGAAACCTTGGCAATGATCTAGGATCCCGGGATGGATACGCTGCTCGGTTGAGATTGTCTGTCTCCTCGTTCTTGCGAGCTATATGGCATGACAACGATTTCGGAGAATGTGCGTCGCTTCGTAACCTCCCAGGCCTGTTGGGGGAAGTTGGTAACATACCTTTTTTATCCTAATGGGCCGTGGGGCATGTCCGACAGTCTGGGACTTTCGCTCGAGGAAGGTAAGCAGTTCCTTAAGCCCGCCTCCTTCATTAGAGGAGGCCTTGCTATCCTTCAAGCCCTGCACCCTGAGGGTGACAGGTGGTACGACATCAGTGCGTCGGCTAGAACGACGGGCTGAGATCTGTGAAGAATCACCATTTAACGCGCGCTGAATGATCTGCTGCGCTTTTGCTGTTGGCCTCGGGTTTCGTGACGAGGTTCGTGTGGGTGGGCCAGACGAGGTAGCGTTGTTGTTGGATCGCTTCGGTTGCGATCGAGAGGAATTTCCCATTGCAGATGCATCCATGTTGAGATCCCCATCGCGATCGACCTTGAGGGGCCGGGCATTTTGACGTTTTGAGATACCACCGCGACTGCTTCCCTTGCTTGTGCTGGTTTGGCCATTCCTCAAGGCGCGGGCGTTCGGAGCCGAGCCTTTCTTAGGTCCCATAGGAGCCATTGTGGTGGCAGGTTGTGCGATGTGAATGAAGCAGGCAGATGACTAGAATAGAAGATGGCGTAGGAATCGTCGAGGCAGAGTGGCGACAGGCGTGAGAAGTGCCGGATGGAGCCCGCCAAGTCACACGACCATTCGACTATGTAGTGACTGTTTCTCGTGCTACAAAGGTGACAATGGGGAAAGCTGCTATTTGCGGATTTGGAGCCGATCGAGAACAAAGGCCAGCAGTGCAGAACAAAGTAGAGGTGATGTAGGGCTGAAATGGTAGGTTGTTTGTTGTTGGAAGAAGCGGGCTGAGAAGAGGGTGACGTCGGAACAAAAAAGGTGCTGGAGGGAGGAAGCAACGACGAGATCGATAAGGTGTGTCAACACACCGGGACTAGTCTCCAAGCGGCTAGATTCACAGTGAAAAGTGCAATCTCAATGGTCGACGACCAGATGACTCAGCGATCGTCCCACTTTTTCATGAATGCTGGAGGCACAGCTTACTTACTTAAGTCTAGCAAGAATAGTACCTACTAGGTACTCTACTCTAGGCAGCCTCAGGCTTTCCTCAAGGTCACCCCATATAGATATGTAGGTACCTAGGTAAGTGTGTTTATATGCACAGCGCCGGCTTGGCAACAGGTAACGAACCCTAGATGAATTGGTAAAGATCATAAGGACAAGATAAAATGAGCTTGTTATCAACCATTTTGATCTGAGTGTTCTGTTGCCTGCCGGTATATGACTGATGAACTATACGGTAACTGTCGGTAGGCCGCAAATATAGCCAAAACCCCATCACGTGAGCACGCGACTGACCCAAGTGTGGCCCAGCTCCTTTTCCAGGTGCAAACTACAAACGACACTACAAACGACGATTCTCGGAGTACATGTGCAATGAAGCCCATAGCCTGGAGACCGCATGACTTGAGCCCTCAGGATCTTATCGTGATTTACTAATACCATCCAGCGGCACCACGGACGCGTTTCGTCACTCGACGCGTTACGGCGTTTAGCTCCTAGGTATTCCTGAGATCATCACCCGATGTACATGAAAATTGCTTCACCTAAGCACACATAATGTAATTGCCAACAAGATCGGCGCAATGGATTCGGATGAATTCGACGGTGACGACATCGCCGACGAGGACTTTCTAGTTGCGGCGACACGGACCACAACTCCACCTCGTGCTAGCTCAACTCATAACCTCAACCACAATCGTCTTCAATCTAGTCTACAAACCTTTGATGATGCCGCATTCTTGGATTCATCAGACATTACACAGCTAGCTAGCAATGCCCATCGTACAACCTTTCGGCCTAATCCCCGAATCGGCGGGCCAACCGCATCCTTCAGGCAAACCACTCTATTTGGACAAACAGCTCGTGAAAATGAGCCGTCTTCAACACCCCAGTCGTCCAGAAACCGTGTATTCCGTGCAGATTTACCACCAGAGCTACCTACACATCATGAACTAGATCATGAAGCCCTAAGAACCTGGGTATATCCAACGAACTTGGGCCCAACTCGTGACTACCAGTTTAGCATCGTCAAGAATGGTCTCTTTAACAATACTCTCGTTGCATTACCTACGGGATTGGGAAAGACATTTATCGCAGCTACCATCATGTTGAACTATTTTCGTTGGATGAAGAAAGCCAAACTAGTATTCGTGGCACCCACCAAGCCACTTGTATCTCAACAAGTTGACGCATGCTTTCATATCGCTGGCATACCCCGGTCTCAGACAACTCTATTGACGGGCGAAGTCACACCAGCCCTTAGAGCTGAAGAGTGGGAATCGAAGAGAGTCTTCTTCATGACTCCACAGACGCTTGAAAACGATCTTTCTGCTGGGTTCGCCGATCCCAAGTCGATTGGACTACTGGTCATTGATGAAGCCCACAGAGCTACCGGAAACTACGCATATGTAAAGGTTGTTACATTCTTGCGGCGGTTTTCAGAAAGCTTCCGTATACTCGCTCTTACAGCAACCCCTGGCTCCAAGGTAGAGGCGGTACAAGAAGTCATCGACGGGTTAGGAATCTCACATGTGGAGATTCGCACAGAGAACTCTCTGGACATCAAACCTTACATCCATAACAGGGACGAAGATATTGTCCTCTTAGACCCTTCGGAAGAAATACTCCTGATCAAAGATCTGTTCTCCAAGTCTTTGCAGCCGCTGGTGGATAAGCTGTGCACACAAAATGCATACTACAGCCATGATCCAATGGCCCTAACTACCTTTGGGATGGTTAAAGCTCGTAGGGATTGGCTTGCCGGTCCTGGTCGCCATGCCAACCAAGGAGTCAAATACATGATGAGCAGCATTTTTGCGATACTAAGCAGTTTGGCTCATGCTATTAAGGTTCTCGGTTTTCATGGTATCAAGCCGTTTTATGACAACTTAGCGCAATTCCGAGATGAGCTGGAGGGCAAGGGACAAAAAGGTCCCAAATATAAACGACAAATCGTCGAGCACGCGAGCTTTCAAGATATGATGACTAAGATGGATCGATGGGTACGGAATGATAATTTTATAGGACACCCAAAGCTAACAGAACTGTCCAACACTGTGCTGAACCATTTCATGGACGCAGGTGAAGGTCGTGAAGGCAATGCCTCTTCTAATACGCGAATTATTGTCTTCAGCGAATATCGCGATAGCGCGGAAGAAATTGTCCGAGTTTTGAATAATCATCGGCCTCTCATTAAAGCTGCAGTATTCGTTGGCCAGGCCGATTCAAAAAGATCAGAAGGCATGAAACAGGCTGAGCAGATACAGAGAATACAAAAATTCAAAGATGGTGAATTTAATGTCCTCGTTGCAACCTCTATCGGAGAGGAAGGTCTCGATATTGGCCAGGTTGATCTGATTATTTGCTATGATGCTTCCGCGTCTCCAATTCGAATGTTGCAAAGAATGGGGCGGACTGGCAGAAAGCGGGCTGGACGAGTTGTCTTGCTCCTTATGCGAGGAAAGGAAGAACAAAACTATGCTAAGTCCAAGGATGGTTATGAAAAAATGCAATCAATGATATGTGACGGAGGTCGCTTCAATTTTCGTCATGATCTTTCGAAGAGGATTGTTCCACGGGATATCCGACCTGAAGTTGACATGAAGGCTGTTGAAATCCCGGTGGAGAACACACAACAATCTGGATTGCCAGAGCCAAAGAAGAGAACTGCTCGAAAGCGACCGCCGAAAAAATTCCACATGCCAGACAATGTCGAAACTGGGTTCCAGACTGTGGCATCTATGATGGGTAAAGCACAGCCTCCTGTGAAGAGTAAAACTTCCAAGGTTGCTGTTGAAGAAACGCAGGTTGCAGAAATACCAGACCTTAACCAAGTTCTGTTACGCAGCGATCAAATGGATGAGCTGAACAGGATATACAAGAATCTTCCTTACAAGAAGCTAGAAGCAATGGAGTTCATTGAACAAGTAGACATGACAGCGCACCCTGTAGCTCAAAGAGTACAGCGAAAAACAGTCCACGTCAAGCACGGAGCCTATACGAAGAGATCAATCAGGTTATTTCGGTCTTTGGCGGAATCTCAATCAGACGCAGACAAATTTGTCAAGCCATATGGCGACATCGACAATAGTCGCTACTATCAATTACCACTACCAGACGAAGCCTCTGATTCCGGGGGTGTAAAACCCCCAACAAAGAAAAGAAAGATCTCCACCGCCAGAACAGATGAGACTAGGAAGGATGATGAAGATGAGCTTGAAGAGCTGTCTGCTGCTATTACCCGCATACAACCCAAGAAAGCGACAACGCGGTCGAAGCGTGCCCATCCTCTCTCTCACGACACTGGCAGTGATGATTGTATAGACAGCACAGAGGTGGGACTTCTACCCCCACCTCGAAAACGTACACAAACCTCAAAACCCAGGGCAAAACCAAGTCAACGTACAGAGAGACAATCGAAGGATGGTACTAGCAGCAAAGCAAATCGAGGGCGACCGAAGAAGGCCTCAGTTGCAGCTGTCTATGACGAGAGCGCCGACGAAGGGGATGATTGTCGACGCACCAGCGATTTGGAATTGACAGACGACTCTGACAGCGGTGCCGATCTCGAAGGCTTCGTCGTGGGAGATGACGTAGCAACATCCAGTAACTTCGTGACCTCGAGCATCCGCTCCACGTCCCTCACATCGCCTCTATCGATACGGTCTACAGCATCTACGATCACCGGCGTGGCATCGAGGAGTAATCAGCAGCAAGCAAAGAAGCCGTTCTACGAGCCTACGTCTTTTCCAGCCACGCAGGAAACCGACGACGACGTTCCTTCCCTCAGCCAAATGGTGCGGGATAGGAAACTAGCGAACAACCGGTTCTCACAACAACATACTTCCAGCATGGAGGATATTGACGAAGACGAGGATGCGCTACCGCGAAGGAGAGGCCTCGAGACCCGCAAAAGAACGATTGTTGATGACGAAGACAGTGACGAGTAATGAATAGAATCCTTGTTTCTTTTGCGTTTACTACTTACTTGCTTGAATAAGGGCTTAAAACCGGAGTTCTGAGATGAGATTGATGAGAGAGGGCTGGCATTTACTATATAAAATCGATGGATTTTTGCGCGTACCAAGACTCAATACTTAGGTAGTAGCAAACAGTGTGCAATATAATTCAGAAAAGTCTGTTAACAGCCTACTCTTTCATACCTGATTTTCCGTTAAGCAGGTATGCAAGAGTTGTTTGTTGTTGAGTGTGATTCATGGTGATCCCCCTTAATTCGTTCTGGGAGTGAGCTCATAGTCCATTCCAAGTTTTCCAGCAGAAGAACATAGATGCATTGCCCTACCAGACCTCATCGTTAAGTTACATGGGAAATTTTTCGATTTATTTCGACGTGCGTGATTTCATACCAGCCTGGCTATTGTTTATCTGCCACGTGGTTTCTACATAACAAATGGTGTTATAGTGTTTTCCTTCTCTATTGCAAAACGCCTATGATCCCTTTGATTACTTTAATGCCACACATGACTGCCTGTCTCCCTACCCAGGGTAAGCATATCAGTACTTGGTAGACGTGGCCATGAGTTCGGCTGGCCAAGGGAACAGGACAGGTTGGTGGGAGTGTGATCCTCGGAATGAGAGACCGTTTAGCCAGCGTTTGATATACAACTTAGGTAGGTCTGGCCCAGGTTTGCATTTTTCTTCATCTCCTTCTACCTGCGAAGGGTTTTGGTCTTGCTCATCATGTCTTTGTTCGCGTTTCCGTTCCGGCCACTCCAATTCGACTTCTAGAGATACATGCTTCGGAATCTCGCCGAAACGTGCCAGCTCTTTCGCGGGTCGTACAGCCGTAAAGACATAACTCGACTTTGCGTTTTCTTCGTTAGCTTCTTCATCGTTCCAATCATCAACACTCTCGCCGACGAAAATAGCACTATATGGTGTGTGGTCCCTGGGGCTCTTGGGGTCAACTACAGCAGCAAGACGTAGGCATTTGCCTTCAAGTAATGCAGCCTCGACCTCGTATGCCATCCAGGTACGATACCCCCAGGGACGTGTGTGCATGAGTGGACTACGGCCACCATACCGGTGATGCCTTCGGCTCATAGCCGACGATTCTTGTATCCAGGCAAGAAGGTTTGTTGCCAGTTCGGTGTACGAGTTCCCGTACTTTCTGTACTCTAGATCTGTAGCTAGCGTTTCAAGGGGTGAAAGCGTGCAGTACTTATCACGCTTGAGGGGTCTAGGCCGAATAATCTTCCCCAGGCGCCACAAAAGACCTCGTGTCTGAATCCCCGCTTGTGTGAGCACGGGATCCACAAACCGACAGCTTTTGATGAAAGTCAGCGCTTCATCGACGGGAGGTCGGAAGCTGCGGAGCGACTGCTTCATTAAGTACGTAAAAATGCTGTCCTTGAGAGTTCCACGGTTGCGTTGAGGGTGGTTCTCTATTATCTCGCCATTCAGCAGACACAGAGTCAGCATGGAGAGGCTCAAGCTGCTGCTGCGCTTGTTCAAGGCTGAGGTATCGAGACGTATAGTAAAGCCACAGCAGTTGGCAGCAATGGCGAGGCGGTCTGACTCAGCGAGTATCCCGCGTTGGCTTATGTCGGCGAGGATCGTAGGAGTCATAGAGCGCGAGATTGGATTGTATGCGCCTGGCAGGTGGTTATCCTGCAGAAGAACATTGTATTTACCCGCAGTCTTCAGGATCCTGTTACAGATGCCCTCCTTCTCTGGCTGTTTCTGTTTGTAGCGAAGACAAAACTGTGTGGCACATGCTCTAAAATCGGTGGACTTGATACAGATTTCGCCTGGCAGAGTCCCTAGTAGCGGCCGATTTGATACATCCCGCGTAGTCTGCTTACGATGCTCTAGGTTACTAGTATGTGGGATTAAAAGCGTCATACGCGTAGAAGCTCTATAATCCTCCTGGAATGTCCAGGCTCTCTGCCACCAGAGGTCGGACGTAATTTTGTCCAGGAGATCTAGAGCAGCACTTTCCATTTCCTCTCTGAGGTCGCCAAATAACAGGCTCACAATCAGGTCTAGCTCCTCGGCAGTCTGGATGACATGCGTAAGAAGGGCAATAGGCCGTCGGCTTAAGCTATAGACCAAGTGCATATTCTGAATTGCTGTCTCCTTTTCTTGGGCGTCATCTTGGTCGACACACTCTCGGTCGATCCAGACGGCATCACACTTGACATGCCCAGCATACCGGAGAACTCGCTCCCAGACCACGTCCCTGACATTGCTGGGCTGGGCGAGCTCACCAGTCTTTCGCGACTCAATATAGTAGCCACCAAAGCTCCGACAGCTATCTTGTTCTTCCTCTTCCTCGGAAAACTCCCAGGTGTATGAGACAGCAACATATTCTCTCCCGCGCTCAGGATCAGACACAGGATCTAGATACGTCCTTCGTAGCAGCTCAGGTGTATAAAAAGAAGCTACGCTCTCCCCGTTAGCCAGCCGTTGGCGCTTGCCTGTAGGCTCGTCATCCCGGTCCGTGGCCAGATAGAGACATTCGAGAGACTTGATCCAGTTGCTTCTCGTTATAGCGTGTCTCTGTATGTCCAGCACGGCAGACACTATGCTCATGTCTGAGGCCTTGCTGCTATCTCGGATCTGACCGAGTGGGTCAGCAGTGTCCTGGACAACGGCATTGTGGTCGTCATCCTCCTTGGACATGCTAAATCCTAAACCAAGCAATGGCGCTAGACGGGCTATGGAGACACAACCTTCGCTCCTCCCGTGATGCCTGGAGTTCCAGGCAGGCAGGCAATGCCAACTGATGGGTTAATAATTGGCGAGAATGGGGGAGAGATCTCGTGGGAGGCGACAGTGTTGCCTCAGCTGTATTGGCGGGTGGACATGTGACGTCGTATGCTTGCACACGACAATGTTGGCGGTGAGATCGACCTAGACAGATTGAGGTGTTTGATTGGGGATTCCAGACACACGAGGCTTTGGGTGGGTGGTGTTGGCGATTGGATGGCGCCCGGAAAAAACACCTAACCTACTTGGAAGGTACCTGCAGTGACACCAGCCACAGTCGGCAAGCCCTACTTACCTATGTAAGTGCCTACAGCACCTACACACAGCGCTACACGACGCCAGATATAGACACGCGCACCTACCTACCTATAGGGCACCTTATAGGGCACCTACCGCGTACCTAACAGCCCTGTTAGCAGCCTCAGCTTACCTATACTGCCCTATATAGGTATCTACTTATAGTTAGGTAGGTACCTAATCTACCTAGGTAGGCACAGAGTAGGCAGGTGGCTAGGCGCACTAATGCACCTGGACTGTAGTGACACATTTAGTGAAGGTAGTTTCATGTTTCACATTTCGCCTTGAAACGATCGCCGATAATAGTAGTGTACGACGCAACTCACCGTCATTCATTCTTTCTTTTTCGTGATGCTATGAGCGTATTATGTACAGCGTAGAATAGGTAGGATGGCCAAGCTTTCCAGTAGCTAAGTATGTATCAAAGGCCAACGACAAGAATGCCACGACGAGCTAGGTATTAGATAAATGTACTAATTGCTAGGACCTAGGTAAGGTTACACTGCCCAATTGGCAGTTTCACAGTAAGAACCAGAGAGCGATCGATATTGGGCGATACCACCTTTACTTACCTACAGTGTACTTAGTATACTGCATGGCCCTACCTCCTGCTCTTTTGACTTCTCGCTTCCAAAGTTCAGGCTACGCTATAAGTGTACTGTAAATAGGCGTGTTTCATATAAGAGATAAGATATGGGCTATAAAAAGTACTTACTTACAAGAAGGATGAACAATGCGGCTGGCGCTACCTCTTCGTGGGTCAACCTCCGGCTTCCTTTTGTGTCCAACTCCGAAGAATGACAGGAGACCTTCCAAATCTACCGAGATCTACACTATTGCATGTCAGACGCACAGCAGTAGTGTATAAGCTCTCCAGTGTATGAAAGAATAGTATTCCTATCTGCAGTAGCTCACGTTATTATATATACATCACTCACCGTGTACGTTGTGCACTACCTACTCGGTAAAAGGCGACGATAATCGCCAGGTTGTAGATAGGCAATACGGCTGAGTCGAGAACCTGGGCAGAGTTGGGTAACACACTAGGTACACTATAAGACGCGAAATGACCCTACCAAGGCTTTCGATAATGCGACCCGAGAATCTGGAAACAAGATGAAAAATCTTCACTCTTTTTCTCACCACGCAATCTCTCTTCCCCTGGCAATAGAGTGCCAACTAAGAACTAACTGCATGTGTCGCTATTTCTGCAATCGGGCCGGCGACACGGGAACCCTACCAGACCTACCTACTTACATATACTTAAGGCTACCGTACATAGTAGACCAGCATCTTTTAGTTCTTCCCGGGGCCTGGTGCTGCAGTAGTAGCCGAATAGGTAGATCGTGAGTATTGCATAGTGTAGAGTAGTACGCACGCGAACTGAACTGGTGCAGGGCGGGGAACGGAAATTTGTATGTGCCAATAGCTCATCATTATCATCATTATACTCTCTCGACTCTTACCGAGACTCCTACTTACACGTACTTGGAGATTTTAGTGTAGGTACTCCGGGGATCAGGGGCATGAGAATAGTGGGTTTGATCGGCAGTGACCGAGGTTGGTTCGCATGCTCAGTACTATTGTGGCAGGCAAGAGATCAAGTATGCGTAAGTATGGCACTACCAGACACTACTACCATTGAGCTTCGTGAGCGAGAAACACTGAGTGCCACGTTGTGTGAATGGCGGGAGACATGTGTCAAAATTTTGTATGTGATTCTTTACATATGCCCTGATATTATCAAATAATCAGGGACACTGTACTACGAATATGGCGACTTGCAGATATGCTTGATACTACCATGCCATCAAACGACCTTCAACGTCGTAGCATCGTTTATCTCATGTTGTACTACAGTGTAGTGTCACTTCTCACTGCCGACTACCGATGATGATGTCTGAGAGGAAATCAAGCTATGCATCAGTTAGATGCCATTTACTTCATTTGCAACTGCGTTGCCGCGCCATGATCGATTGACGATCCCTTCGGTAGATACGATAGGGCTTGCAGACTTCGCTGTTCTCCATGCCCTTTCATGCGGAGGCCAAAACAAACACAGGGAAGCGGATGAGGGCTGTCTCTGTGCCAAGTTAATGAGGCATTGCCCTCAGTTTCATGCACAATACACTACCTTACGCCATTCGAGTCCGTACGGCACCAGACCGACGCTACCATATTAGAATCAGAGTCATTGAAACCCCAGATTTTGAAACCGGCGCGGGGGTTCCGACCAATTCCGCGTCGAATATTATATTCACTTGTATCACATGTGCATACTAACTCAAACGACGCTGGAGATTCCTGTTACATCCAGTTTAGATACAAAGATCGGACGAGACTGGATGGAATAGTTAGAGTCTTAGCCCGGTAGTTACAACGACCGTGCCCCGCGTGCGTCATGCTATGTTGAGAAAAGGGTACAGAATCGTGGATATAGACGATCAATGAGGCCAAGTCACATGCAGGCCAGATAGCGCAGTGAATATGTGAGTATTGTCATACAGCATGCCGATGTGAGACATGTTGTCGCCGAGCTTAAAACAAGTGGTTCGGAAACTGCCGATGCATCGTGATAGTTGCACTCGTTTCTCCACCCGACTACATACAGTAGAAACAAGTTTATCGATCTACAACTCGCAAGATGGACCAACCTTTCGATACCCACGTGTACTACAAACGCAGCACAACGGGGACATGTGACGCCAAAGATTGCACCTTCAACTGAAGCGCCATGACGATCTAAATCTCAACCGAATACCAAAATCGTACTATCATGGCTAGCTACGCAGTACCTTCGCATCCAGGCCATGCTAGTCCGCTCTACCTGATGCTGCGGGGGGGTTGGCGAGCTGGTTCGCTCGTAGTGCATGGATAGCGCACGTCCGGTAGTCAAGCAAACTAATGTTATTTAGGGTTGAGCAGCGTCATTAGAGAAAGTGAACCAACAAGACTCTTAGCGAATATAGACAGACGTCCGACGTCTTTCAATGGTGCGCTGAGTTCTGACCCGAGAGCTATTGGGTGGTTTATCACCGATATTACCAGTAACAGCGACCCCGCAAGACACCTTTAGCATACTTAAGTACGTGTACGTACTTATAATTATAATTACGCTCCATCCTAGTTGCCAAGCGTTTGCGATGGTGAGAGGTTGTCTGTTGCGTGATGTCGCGTGGAGTGGCGTTTTTGATCTCCGGGGGCCCAGCGGGTCACAGACCTGTTTAGGAAATGGACCGTTGTTCTAGAAAGCTTCCGCGAGTCGTTTTATATTCTCGAGCATTATTCAGTCAGCTCTCGGACCGAAAACGGCCTTGTGCCACTGTTGTGCACGATGTGACGGGACTTCTGTGCGCTACTGTAGGTCAAACCTAACAGTAACAAGCGACAAGTACGTCAACCCTGCCTCCCATGTTTGGGGGGGGCAGATTCCAGTGAGATGGTACGGGTGCCTGTGCGCCGCCTCTGAGCCGCTGCGTGGTTCGCTAGCCAGGTTCAACTATCCCTATACTCGGCGACCAGGTTATCCTTGATGATATGGATGGTTGGGGGACCATAGCGATTGTATTGGTTGCTTTGTCCTTGGGGCTGTTGTCGTGCAGAGCCATCTAGAATTGTTACATCAGCAGTCCAATGACCCAGGGTGAAAACCCTACCTGTAGGTTACTACCTTGGAATCGCAGCTAAGCGTGGGTGCTGAGTTGAAAAAACCTAGGGAAAAAACACAAGAAAATGATGCAAATGAACTGGCGGCTCCACAGTCACCATAAGCAGTATCTTGCCCGCGTCCGTCGCCTCAATCGGTGCTTTTAGCCCTCGTACCCTACAGTAGTACACTTAGACTGTCCGATAGCATTCAGGGGCTTCTACTGTTTGATAGTAGATGTCAAGAGTAGTTGAACATCGTCACGCCGAAGCAATTCTGTCAAATGTCCAGCCCTCTCTGCGCTACAGTCTTTTCCCACGCGGAAGTCTTGCCCGAATAGGCTGAGGAGATGCTAAATCTAGCACAGACTCCTTGGCCAGTAAATACTAGAGTTCCATTTGTTGGCGGTCTGCAAAAGCCAAGGCAATAGCGTTTCGTCGCTGATGTTTTTGTTCGCGTTTTTGAATCTAGGGATGTGAATCACGGCACCAACTCGTCAATTTACTGCCCTCGGTTACAGTAGAAGCCGCCCGTGATAGGTGCCTAGATCATAGTCTAGCCAATGACGGAGCTGTGACCGAGAGAAAGCGTCACGAAGCTTTCCTACGTATATTGCTGCTCTGAGGGTTAGCAGGGTCTGATCAGCCAGTAGAACTAACGATTGGGAAGGCTGGACTTCTAAGAGGTTGTTGATGAATGATTCTCGTGGCATTGAGCTCCAGTTGACTAGCCAGTGACAAACCTCATGCAGACATGCAGACTACTGTACGCCCGGGACTGCGGGATCTCAAAGTCAGCTTCAGGTGTGTCTGCAGGGACTTACATACAGTAGTAGGCAACGCTATGGCAGCACCTAGCATAGCGTATACTCGTATCCGATGTGTTTTGAAGCGCTCGATTGTCATCAGATACTTGTCCCTTTTCAGCCTGTATTATAAAGATTATGGTGCAACAGTGGTGTCTGGGCAAAACCCAAGCGCGGCTGAAGGAGAGAGGAATCCTGCAAGACCGTTGGGTAGGTGTGCGGAATACTACCTGGAGTCAGGGCCAACATTATACCTTAATATGCAATATTACGAGATGCGTCTACCAATCGTCCTCAGTGAAAGGAAAATACAGGCCATTGTTGCGCTCGACAGGGCACAACGACTACTTAACTTGTCAGTGGTAACTATGCATGGCATTTGCCGTTTGCCTCAGCTCACCATGGATCCGGCCCGCACCGGTAGCGTACTGGGACTAGTACAGAGCCTAGGCTGAGTACTACATAGAGGTTTGTGCGCATGTACGTAAAATACGAGAAGAGATGAAGAGTTTGAGAAATGTCTGGGCGTATTGAGACTTGAGCGTGTTGTTGATAGAGCTTGATAGATGCTACCGGTAGGAGTGATAGTGCGTCGTCCCAAGCCACCGGCTTTGGTAAAGAAAGCGAATGCAAAACATATCTCAGCTTGCCGCGAAGGCTTACGTAGTCATACCTACGCAAGTGTATTACATCCAGTGGCGTGACATGTAGTCTCAAGAGCTCTTCATGTAGAGCACACGGTTCGAAGCCTGAGTCGCATTGAGTCTTACTTACATTGCACTTGGCTTACCGAACTGCACAGACAGAGTTCTCCAGACAGATCGAGGCCATTATACATTATATGGAGGTACTATTTCTGCTGAGACAGGACTAGATCCAGCAGCGACTGGCCTACCAGGCCGACAACTGTAACGTTATCATTTCATCAGCTCAGGCTAATTATTTCTACTGCAGAATATAACCACAAATACGGCTAACAGTAGGTAAAGGCATTTACTTAATTATAACACTCATGTTCAATAGCAAGCTGTAGTGTTGGTGGTAGAAGAACAAGTAGTCCCAGGTCTCTTGGCTCTCTTTGCCCTTTTGCCAAGTCCGATCTGACATGAAGACCCTAGGAGGGAAGGGGATACACGTACGCTGCGCCGCGCGGACTAGGCGAAAATGCACGTAAACCGCGCCACTGGGTCTCTCAGGGTATTGCCTCTGGGACGTGTGATGTACGACAAGCAGTAGCCCAGCAGTCGTGCGGACGCGGGCCATCTGTTTGAGCCTAGGGGCGATTATTGATGATTGCGTTATACGCGATGTTGTATTATCCAAGTAGCTGCTGTTACAGTACCGGTATCTAACAAGTAGTTATGGGAGGTGGTATGGATCCTTTTGCGAACCGCATTCCTCTTGTAGTTCGGCATTGTGTTGAAAGGATCGCGAACTTGAACACATGCCGCATCAAGCAAGAGGATCTACGAGTAGTCCTTGTTGCCTACAGCCTACAGATAACACCTACACCACTACTGTAGCTGCAGTAGATTGTCCAGCAACGAGTTGAGAGCGTGGAGAATGGCTAATAATAGGGACTGAGGTAATCGGTCTCCACCGGCACTTTGTAAAAGACTTTAGGATTTGGAGTTCAAGTACTACTTCAGCACTTAACTGAAGAAGAGACAGTAGATGTAGTAAGTTCCAGTAAGTGCAGCAGTGGGTGCCAAGAGAGCTGTGCCCCAGGTCATGCTTGGGGACGATCATGGATGGGCTCTCCAACTCGCCTACACGTGTATGCAGCACCTTGCAGATATTCACACCCGTCATATTGGCTCAAATGAGTGCTGACGCCTTCCCGTCTACTTACCTACCTCGCCTACTTAGTACCGTAGTGTGTGGGCTGAAAGCAGCTCCCGTCACAGTCACAGAGTCGCAGGAGTCCTTGCAATACAATACAGCCGAGCACAGCAGTAGGCGATAGGATCTGCTGTTAATGCACAAATGCCCGTCCTGCTCCTCCTGTTCTTCCTATCCTATGCGGTCGACAAGCCTACAGGCTATTATGATGATCATTATACCTGCTTCCTTACATATGTAGACTATGATGCGAGGCAGGTAACCACCTTGATCCCGCTGATTGGCCTGTTTCTGCAATTGGACGGTGGCGAATGGCAACACGATACTTACATAGTGCCTACCTATCTCCCTGAGTATGGTCGCTACGATGCCTACTCTACCTACAGTAGGCAGCGTAGGCAGAGGTTAGCAAAATGCTGCGTAACAGGAACCAGTGCCTACTGGTCACTCAAATCCCCAAGTGGCCATGGCATTGTCTAGGATGACCCTGCCGGCGCTTGGCCGCGCCGTCTACACTACTGCAAGTGAGACTAGCAAGCAAAGGCCTGTCCGAGGGCCCACCGACCTCCGCCCCTTGTCCACGCTCTCACCCATTCAGAGGGGCAGATAGGGGAGAGGTGGGATACATGGTATGTTAGAGTACGAGTGAGAATCTCGAGCAGACTCGAGGGGGCCACCAACAGCTGTCGAGGCCTCGTACAGTCTCCGTACGCTGTTGAACATACGGTACGATGCCAGGGCCGAAGATCTGGCTTTCCTTCCCCAGCCCCGACCCGGCTCAGCCTATACTACAGTAGTATCGTGCTCCGAGGGTCGTGAACACTAGTACCAATGAAGATCAAGTGGGCCAAAACTCACCATCTCCATGTCCTGCACCTACCAGATGTAGCAGCAGGTATATACATAGTGTAGGTGTGCCAGGGTGCTGCTCAAAATGCTTTCCCCTCCTACTTCTTGCGCAAGTGTAGTCGTTGTTGATTCCTCCCTAATACATCATATGTCGCTTCAAGCCACCTAGCTGTAGACAGCCGACTCGTTCGTTTGGGGTTGCTGTATGCCTACGGCAGAGGTGCTTCGTCCACTCACAACATCGGAGTCATGGTCTACAGCTGAGCATCTCTAATAACCGATCGATCGCGCCGCTGTCGCACCGATTACCTTAGAAGACGATTGTCCCTCCTAAAGCCATTAGGGAGAGGTCTAGCTAGCACCCCAAAAAAAACCGAGTCAAGCCCTGGGAAGTAATACCATCGAAAACTCGCCAAAATGGATTTCAGTCAGTCATTAGACGAGATGCGCAGGCTTTGTCTCCCACCCTTCTTCGATGAAGAATCTTTTCCCACAACAGGAGGGTGTAAGTGCAGGCCACTCAAATAACTTAGGCTTAGGCCACCCCTGACGTAATTATCGCAGACGTTACCGGCAGACTATGTTCGAATATCACGGGCGTATCTTGTTGCTTGCCGTGTCCTTTGACCGACTGGGTCTATCCGGACAACTTCCAAACTGCCACGAAATCCGCAGACTGGATCAACGTTGCTGGTATGGTAGGATGTGCTTTTCTGCTGCTTTCATGGATTGCATTACCTGTGGAAAGAACACATAGACATTACCTGAGTATCTGTCTTACGGTGGCTGTGGTATTCATGAATGTAAGTTGGATGAAGCAGAAGCAATATTCACATCATGACCACTAACGTATTCCCAGTTGGGATTCATCATACCATTAGCAGGGAAACCAGAGCAATGTTTCAACGAAATCACACCTCACGGCCAGGACTCAAGCTCTATATGTGCTGCTTCGGGGGCCTTTCTGCTCCTCGGTGGCTGGGGTGGTGTCTTATGGGTTTTCCTGAGGGCACTCTCTCTTCATTTACAAATTTGCTGGCAAATGGTGGTAGGACGGAATTACATGTGGTTTTCTCAGGCTTTGGGCTGGGGCATCCCGATCGTTGGGCTTGTTCTATTGTTGGTCTTTAGCGGCGTCTCTTTCCGATTTGGCGCGACATGCCATATCAACCACGAAAATAGCTTGGCGGATTTTTGGATTCCCCTCCTCATCTTCTCTGGTCTGACAGTGTTGATCCAATTCGCGACTTTTGGCTACTGCATCAAGGTTTATCTTGCATCTCTCGCGGACAGCGCCGAGTCCACGGAACACTCTGGAAGGCCATCTTACTCTAACAGTATTCGAACCATGACTCCTCGTCAGGCCTATCGACGTGTCCGACGAGTTGTACAGCTTCAATGGCGGGGCATCGTGATCGTGTTAATTATCATTGCTGATGTCATTTTCTTTGCTGTTGTCTTTGTCTTCCTTGACAGCACTGTTCAGGATATCAAGACTGACCCGATCAAGGCGCTACCGTGGCTCAACTGTCTTGCTACATACAACGATAAACATGAATGCTTGAATCTAGTTCAGCCCTTGGTTGTCAACCTACCGACAGTCACCGCGGTGCTCGTTCTTCTAGCAGTAAGACGACAGCCTTTCTTCAGCGCACTGTCCAGATGCTAATGTTGAATTACAGATGAATGGCCTGTGGCTCCTTCTAATACTTGGACGCTGGTCCATGGTGACCGGATGGTTCGAACTGGTTGCAAAACTTGGCAGCCGTAGAAAGAATGAATTTGTGTCTGTTGACGCACGGATGGATCTTAAGAATGATCCCCGTTCCTATGAAATGTTGGACCGCGACTTGACCGGCAAAGACGAAACATCACTGACTCCAAATAGCGCGATGTCACCGACGTCTCCCGCCTCTCCCGGCCGCAAAACTCCCGATTACTTCGGGCGCACCACACCGTATAAGCCTCATCAACGATCGTTCTCATCCCCTCGAGTCCCACAGAACGTCCGCTTTGAAATGATGGACACCTACCAATCATCATATCCCTCCCCGCCAGCGCCCACACATGCGCCGTCACCCGCCATATCGCCCCAAGGCTACACAGGCTATGGTAGCATGAATCCCCTCGGGATGAACAGGATAGAAACACAAGAAAACACGCGGTATAGCCCCGCAACTTATAGCCCGCCCAAAGGACCCGGCCACGTATTCATATGAAACCCACCATCGTCAAACTAACGACGACTACTCCTGCGACGACAACGAAGCAGCTATGTATATTTGCTGTGGTCGTGTCACACTACGACTGGCATTATGAACTATTTTGGAATTCGCATGAGCGAAAAGGAACCGTATTCACTTACCTTGAGCGTGGCGTCTGGCGGAATCTTTTCTTTGTCTTTTTGCCTATTTTGCGCGGATCATGTACGGCTAGGAGGTATTTACCAAACGGCGGTGTATATGGAGTCGGTCTCTTTCGCCTATAGCGACTGCTGCGACTGTTAAAGGATTTTCTACGAATGAAGAAGGGGAGCTATATAGGAACTGGCTGGGTAATTCCAGCGACCACGAAGGAAACCACGATATCAGGACACTATTCTGGACATATGGATGTACTATGGCAGTACAGGTATGCATCGTGTGAAATAAAATCCACGACATTGGCACGGTAAACGGCGAGGGATCCAGACCCGGGGACCAAGACTAGGGCAGGCCAAGTCGAGTCGGGTTTGAGGAATCAGCACGAAAGGCGATATTCATGTAATATTGTACATAGGTAGCCAGCTAGCTGAATGGAAGCAATAATCGTAAGAGATAGAGAAGCGTCCGAATGAATGTCATGGCTTACCGATGACACAATGTGCACTGCTTACACCAGGTTACATGGGTATACCCAGCTCACGAGCAACGCGTATCTGAGACAAAAAACCACCATCGATCGCGTGGGGTGACAATATAGTATCTGGGGTAATACAGTATGTACTACGAAGTATGTATGATAGGTAACTTACGATAGGTAGACACGGACCTCGAAGGGGGAGAAGAAGACCTGCAGAAAGTCCTCGAGCCTGCGCCATCTCGTTGGCTGGATGCAGGTCAGATCACCTCCCATGCAGCAAAGATTCCTGCCCGCTCGCTAGCCAGTAGATGTCCCTGGCTCTGGCTCGGCTCTTTCTGCCGTACCTCACGGAGCGAAAGCACGAGCATGCAGGTCTCAGGCACCAACTGCAGGTACAGTCCAGGCCTTCTTGGGGTCAAGGTTGATCGAGCCATTGGAGGAGCACGGCGAGGAGGGTTAGGTAATAGTTTTGCTGCATATAACCTGCAGCGATATAGCCTTATACCCTGTAGCTGCTGTGGATAGGCAATTCTGCCTACACGACTCGGCTAGAACTCGCCAACCAGGTGCCATTGTCGAAGAAAAACATGCTGTTATTATCTGCAGTTGCACATATAGATGTGCACAGCACGAGAGTACATATACTCTATGTATAGCAGCGCACGTTCCTATTCGTCAACATGGGATTGTGAACTCGTAAGTTATTCCGTTCATATTTGTCTGAACATGTTGATATTTTCCACTTAAAGGCTTGGGCTGAGCGCTTAATTCCTTATTGAATGCTACCTGGGGCAATAAAGGAATGTGAGGTTGAGCTCACACCGAGAATATCCGGAAGAAGAGCAGCACTCTGAATCCTTGGCCAGCCAGTGGAAATAGGTAATCAGATGATCAGCCTCCGTCGACTCAAGAGCAGAATGGCGCCAGCTAGCAGAGTTTTCACTTCCAGCCAGCCTTTTGTAGACCAACCACTCCATCTCACGTCAACCCCCTTTATCAGCCCCTTTCGCCCCCCTTCGCCCACTCCCACCACGCCTAGAGGCAGTCATTCTTTAGCCCCCTTGTGCGGTAAGACATTGGCATTACTGTCTGTTTGACCTAATGTTGGACAGCTATCTCACATCTCGCTCAAGAGCGATATGGACTGAGTAGCAGCTGTGCGAGACACGACCTCCACTTCCAACTCCTTGTCCGACAATTGACTTGAATGCCTGTATAACACCAATCTCGAATACGTCACTCTGCCGTGGGCACTCTGTACTGCATTTCCCGGGAGTTACCGGGCAGCCCTTCCACCCCACCCTTGATGAGGCTCAGCACACCTACTGCGCTAACCATCAAGAGATTTCAAGGCCAAGGCTTGAAGCGAGGAAAGTATAGAGCTACTCCGTAATTCCCGTGAACATAACCCTGAGTGTCTCATGGCAGCACGCGAAGGCTGATTATGTTATCACATCCCTTCTGACGATGTAGGTGCTTCAACGAGGCTAGGGAGACGGGGGCGTTACCAGACCTCGTTCTCACCCAGGATCCGCAGAGGCTGCATAACTGATATTGCACTTTCGATGCCACCATCTTAAAGACAGCGCCGACTGCAGGAATCAGTGGTCAGCTATTGTCACATAGAGCCAATTGTGATGGTCTCGGCCGTGCCGAGGGCCTGTGAGACATCGCCTGTGGTCTTTGGGTGGCTAAGACAAGATGAAACGACAGAAAGGGTTACGCACTAGTGGTCTCGACGGTATCAGCACGTGTGCAAGGTGAGACAGTACCACCTTGGCTAGGCTAGGGTTGCGATTGACGCACACAGTGAGACCAGTTTCGTCGCATAGGAAGGCGAGTTCGGAGTCATCAACAGATCTCTGTAGCATTGCGGTCGAGCCTCCGATTTTGCTTTTTGTGAGAAGGTGACCGCTCTTGTATGAGGCATTTAAGTAAAAGCCAGCTATCAAGCCTCACGATCAGCGTGGCAAGAGTGTCACCCGCGAGGCAAGAATACGCTCGTCTGGGACGGTCACGTTCGGCCTAGGAACTTGTATCGCCTCCCACAACAGATCTTCATCGAGGAAAATATAGCCTAGATGATCAGCCATACTGAGCTTGATTGCCTGATCCACGGCGTCCCCTCTCCCACTTGTATCAAAGAGACAGTAGCTATGATTAAGTAGCAAATTTGAAAAAGGGACGCAGTCCTGACCTGGAATTAATGAGAACGAAATTGAAATAATCTCAAATATGTAGATGTCTATTTTGTATTGATAACCTCCTTAACTATCATAGGACAACGTACAAGTTAAATGTCAGATTATTTTGATGCATGGAAAGGTTTCTTTTGAATACATACGCCTATCATAACCCGCTTATTCCCTCCGATAACTCATTCGAAGTTGCTTATAAGAATCGGCGAGCTGCCATATGGGAACAGATAATAAATGTTGTTTGAACGTGAAGCTATAAGTAAAGTAGCTGTATAGCCTGGTTGCATATAGCTGTAGGTTATTATCTATTTGTTCACATGGAATTGCAAATGTAAATCAGAAATTTTCTTAACAATATCACCTGTCTGATAGTTGATGGGAGTGGAGGTTCCAGATAGACTCTCAGCTCGATGCGTTGTCTTAAAAACAAGAGGATATCTACACCAACGCATCTCATACATATATACACACCCGACTCCTCCCAATGGCTCATCTTGAGAAATGTTGCAGGCCTTCGGTGTCGTATCAGATCAACATGGTCCGTTGGATTTCTAACTCTGATTAGTGATGATATGGCAGATCCTATGGGTAATATTCCAGTAGAATTGTTCTTGAATCCATGGGTGTGGTGTGTTGATGGGATGAATCTACATGATTAGGTACCCACTAGGTACCTACCTACCTTAGCGCGCCAGGGGGGGGTAGGAAATTTATGTTAGATATTCTCTGGAATGAACTCATTATGTTTAGCTCATTTGGTTGACACACAGCTGTTTAGATTAAAAGTATACCTACATTAAATTATGTTAGCATTCTGACAGTATTTTTATTAGAAATGACTTTATTTCGAAATTGTGTTCATTTTCCAACATGATTCCAACATGGTGTTGAACATCATGTTCTATAGCCCCCTATAGCCCCTACAGCCAGTCAGTACAGCCAGTCAGTACAGCCAGTCAGTACAGCCAGTCAGTACAGCCAGTCAGTACAGCCAGTACAGCCGTAGCCGTACAGACCTAGCCGTAGACTTCGAACTTAGTCAAATTTCAGACCTAGCCGTACAGACCTAGCCATACAGACCCTAGCCATACAGACCTAGCCATACAGACCTAGCCATACAGCCAATCCAATCATCACCACCTTCAAGGATAATCGCTGCAAGGATTAATCCAATCCAATCTACCACCACCACCACTACCACCACCCTGAAGGTTAGGAAACCTATCGCAATCGCTTCGCAGTTCAGGACTTTAACGGAAGGTTTCGTAGCCTTCGTTAAATACTGTAGGGGGAAAGGATTGAATGAATATTAAGCTATACAATAGTTATACGTCAAACATGGCCATACATTAAAAATGCATTTTATTCAACATATGTTCAACATATATTTTATTAAAAAATATAATTTAAAATAAAAGGTACATTAAAAATATAAAGCTTTTATATATAAAAGTAAAGTACTTATTATATTTTGCTATAGCTAGCTTTATATAGCTGTATTAGGTTGTTATAACCTAACAACCTAGCTGTGACCATTTTCCTACCCCCCCCTGGCGCGCTAAGGTAGGTAGTAGGTACATTGTCAGTACCACCTGCAATCTGGACCCGAGTGTGGTTATCGATTATCGATAACAAGCTGACGCCGGGTAGTGGGGCGCCGTACAGATGGACGTCACCTCTACTTGTGCATTGCAGCATTGCTGACGCAGCTGGTGTTAATTATACACGGAACGCCATTCTTTTCAGTATCTTCACGGTTCGCAATTACTAGATATTATCATCGTATCTGGCTTATCCCGTGCCTTGTCTATGGCTTCTTAAAGATCCCTGGTTTTTTTTGGATGGGATGATGGGTTCTGTACCTGCATTATTTATGGTTGCTATCTGTTGCTAACGAGAGAGTCCATCTCCTTGAGCTAAACGAGTCGTACTGGATGAGACGCTACGCTGACAACCTCTAACTCCGTGCCCATCATGTTTCAATTAGTATTCATTTCTTTCCTCATCGTAGGTGGCTTTGTCGGCTATGTGTGGAAGGCAGAGGCCGCCCTCAAGCGACCATGGACTCCCGACGCTGGCGCCGAGCTATTCAGCCAACGGCCTCTCCCTCCCTTCATCGAGGAATCGAGTATAACGACCTACACTATGCCGCTACGGACCCAGGGGCGCGATATTGTCGACACCACAGGCCGCCGCTTCAAATTGTCCAGTGTTAATTGGTATGGCGGCAGTGACGAGCTATTCATCCCCGGCGGGCTCGAGATTCAGCACCGCTCCGTTATTGCCGCCAGCGTCCGGAAACTCGGCTTCAACAGTGTGCGCCTCCCCTATTCCGATGAAATGGTCATCACAAACCCGTACATACAGGACCGACACCTAAAAGCGAACCCGGACCTCTTCGGCCAACGTGCCTTGGACATTTTCGCTGCCGTCGTCGAGGCTTTGACCGACGCCGGCGTCGCCGTCATTGTCAACAACCACATCACAACCGCAACCTGGTGTTGCGGTGCAGACCCCTGTGATGCCGGATGGGCAAACGACCACCTCGGGCCCCTGTGCCGTATCTCACAATCTGAAGAGGACTGGATACAGCACTGGGAGACTGTCATGGAGCGCTTCGTTGATAACCCCTATGTCATTGGTGCTGACCTGCGCAACGAGGTGCGCGGTGTCTGGGGCACAATGCCGTGGAGTCGCTGGGCGACGGCTGCAGAAAAGTGTGGCAACCGACTACTGAAGATGAACAAAGACTGGCTGATCATAGTCGAGGGGACAGAATCGGGCAACGACCTCTCTGGTGCGCGGACACGCCCAGTGGTGCTCGACGTCCAGAATCGAGTTGTCTACTCCGCCCATGTCTACGCTTGGTCCGGCTGGGGAAGTCGAGAAGGGCGGTTTGCTAAGCGCAGCTACGCCTCCTTCATCCAAGCCATGCGCAAGAACTGGGCATACCTTATCGAGGGCGACGTAGCCCCCGTATGGGTTGGCGAGTTCGGTGCCCCACGCCACCCAGGCGAGGGTGACGCCAACTACTGGTCGAACTTGCTTCGATATCTCAAGCGCATCGACGCTGACTTCGGATATTGGGCTATCAACCCGCGCAAGCCCCATGACAATATCAAGGAAGGCTACTCCATCATCGAGGACGACTGGATCACCCCCATCCTAGATTATCGTATGCGCGACATGACCGAACTCATAAGGGGTTCTGGCCATGGAGCGACAGGCGACTTGTGAAAGTTGGCCTCGAGAAGAGCATGAAATTCCCATTTCTGCCAGAGATACCAGGGCCACGCCCACGAATATCTCCTTCGCATACTCTTTCCTATACGCATATACCCGAGTAAAGCATTTTTCACGGTTCGGGAACGGACCATTAGGTTTCTTTGATTTGGCTAAATCATGGGGATAGGTCGGCGAAGAGTATTGGGTCCCAAGATGGCGACTGGATACCCCCTCCTACAGCGTTTACACATACCAATTTGGCAAGTTAAATATAGAGCGAAGATCAGGAAAATTGCGATTTTAGGATAGACGGGTTTTATCCAAGTGGGGTATGATTTTGAGCATGTCTTACGTAGCGAGGTGAAGGTTTATGACCTTACATATGTATATACTACATTGGGTTCGTCGATACGCTGTTTTTGAGAAACACTACTATAGGCTTTTGACATAAATTGACAAATGTACTTTACCTATATTTATATGGATCTACCTTATTGGCAAAATATGACTGCGGATCTTCCGATTGCTGATTATATTGCTGGCCGGTCGGTACTGCAGTGACTTGACAGAGTAAAGTGAACGGGTAGTTATAGCACGCCTTAGCAAAAACAGTTGTCAATAACAGGTTATAGAGGCATAGTCTCATTTGGTATGGTTTGTATTTAGATTAAGGGTATCATAAAGCAAAGCAGAGATTCATATTCATTGACTCCGTCATGGCCGTATTCCCACAAAGTGCTTCATTCCGTTGTCCATCCATATTCATCCATCCGTTAGTTCGCTTTATGCATCCCTCGTAAAACGCCTGGGCTCCTGACGCCAAAAGAAGAAGAAGAAGAAAACAACCCAAAAAAACAGAACAGATATCCAACGATCAAGCCGCCGAGGTCACATCTTGTTGCTCTTTGAGCTGACTTCTTCACCGGATATGCACCTCAACCGAGTCCATATCCCCGATATCAGCCTCCTCGACAGTAGTTTCCAAATCCAGGGTCTCACCGTCCCAGCGGATTTCGATATGCTTGTCCTCGCCTATGCCGGCTAGCTTGCGGAAAGCCTTGATCATGTGTGCGACAGTGCTGTACTTGCGTAGTGTTACATTGCGAGGCGGCATGTCCCGCGCTTTGAAGATGACCTTGACCCGGTCTTCCTCTTTCTGCGACGCCTCCGCGTCCGCCGCCTGGCCATCGTTGTTGCCCTGACCATTGGCAGTATCGTCTTCATCCCACCACTCACCCATCTCCCGACGCTTGCGGTCCCGTTCCTGTTCCTGCTGGTGTTTTTCATAATCTTCTGGAGACCACGCCTCGAAGTAAACCTTATCCTTCCCCACATAGCCCTCAGGCCCGTTGCGCCCGCTGTGGGTGTTGTCGTGTAATCGGCCGTCGACACCGCGCGGGCGGATCCCCAATGTCTCGAGTTTCGTTGTGTAGTAAACGCGGTCGCCGCGCCAAGTGAACACCAGCTCAGATATTAACTTGTGCGGGTATTTGGTTTGGCTCTTCTGGCGCTCTTTGAAGGTGTCAAATGCAATTTGAAGTGCTTGTGTTGTGCGGACTGTGCAGCACAAAACCTTGGCGTCCGAGAGTGCAGGTGCTGCGATCATAACGGACACCGGTGCATCGTCATTGACGCTGGGATTAGGCAGTTCATTTTTCCCGTTACTAGCTGCTGAGGATTCGCGTGCAAGACGTGCCTCTTTTGCCTTGCGCATGCGCTCCATTGCTGCCTTGATGTAGAATTCCGATGGATCTTCACCTTCTCCTCCTTCAGCTTCCTCCTCGTTCTCTTTCTTCTCCTCCCACATTTCAATATCTGAGTCACCCTCATCAGCTACGGCCTTCCCCTTTCCTTTAATTGAATGCCTTCCCGAGCTCGTGCCAATAATGTTTGAGCCGCGTCTGGTTGGATCTTCGTCATCACTGCTGTCTAGAAGAACGACAGGTGCCTCCTCCGGCGTCGATACGCGCGGTTTGCGCGCGGTTTCTGGTTCGCGCGAGTTTCTCGGCACAGAGTCGTCGCGCCTGCTACTTGAACTGAGCGGACTAGATGGCTTGTGAGGTGTTTGAGGTTGGTCGGAAAACACATCATCATCTCCTTCGTGAGAAAGCAGAGAATTCCGGCGTCGTTTCTTGGCCGAGTCGCTCTCCTTCTCTCTTTCCTTAGCCTCCTTTCGCCTCTTCTCACGCCGTGACTCTGCCTCGCGAGCCTTGGCCTCTTCTTCTTCTCGTTCACGTGCCAGTCTCTCATTGCGCTCTTGCTCGGCTTTCTTGGCCTTCTCTCGCGCACGTCTTTGCTGATCCTCGACAACAGTAGGGAAATAGTTTTTCGATTGACTGAACAGCGCTAGACCATCGTCGTCGGCAGCGGGTACGGCGTCGCCTGGGGGTTTTGGCCTTGCGGTGCGCTTGAAAGGTAGAGCGCGCTTAGCGGGTGCAGGCTTCTGCAGGTCGGCCATGGCGATTTAGCCTCTCTCGCCCGCGCTGAGCTGCGATTCAAAGAGCGGGATGAGAAGCTCAAGATGTGGGATGGGATGCGATCGAGTACATATATTGAGCGACTGCTATGAGTACTGTAAGATGATGCGAATGAATGAATGTTTGCCTCTTGGATTAAGTTAAACAATGGAAGTGGGATGTTCACGCCGATATACCCTGGGGTACTTAGCAGTTAACTCAGCAACTGCCCCATTGGTAGGTACCTATAAAATACCTAGCCCCACGTCGCTTAAGCCCACTGCAAGCCCCATCCACCCCGCTGCTTCAGCCCTGTACTACCTAGGTACCTACCTAAGCTATACCTAGGTAGCCTCCAACCTACTATCATCAATCTAGATTCTTGTTTAAGAACCTACACTTGGGAGCCTCACCCATCTGGCACCTTCATCCCACCTTTCCGGATTCCCATTTCTCACGACCATACATCATGGAGAACGGCACTCAAGGCGAGGGAAAGGACCCCTCCAGCTTCCTCTCCGAGATCATCGGAAACGCTGTCACTGTGAAGCTCAATTCTGGAGTGGTTTACAAAGGTAGCTAGCCTTCTCATGTTGCCTGACTGGCGACCTGTGAGACTGACTTATGCGTGTAGGAGAGCTGCAGTCGGTCGATGGATACATGAACATTGCTCTGGAGAAGACCGAGGAATACGTCAATGGCGTCAAAAGAAGGACGTATGGTGATGCTTTTGTGAGAGGCAACAACGGTGAGTGGCTCTGGTGTGTCACCCCTCGTTTAATCACTAACCACGCTGGTAGTCATGTACATCTCTGCCGATTAAAAGCAAAGACCCAGAAGGAAATGGGTTGTGGTCTACTCGCAGCTCTATTGATGAGACTCTATATGGTCATCTAGAAGGGAGCAACCACCAAGCCCTATCTATACCCTTGGGTTGGCCTACCGTTTCGGGCGCGACTCGCTCTCTGCGTTGGGCTTGATGGTATAGAGGCAGTGACAACATCCACCGAACTTGATACGGCGGAGGTCGGATGGGATCATTCAAATGCAAATGGACATCCACCTTGGTGATATATCATTAACCTTAAGAATCGCGAGATATCTATCTATATTCTATCGGTCCACGCGAAATAAGTGACACCGTGGGCAGCAACCTCTCCCTTCTCATTTCTTTCTACATCTCCATCTTTCAAGATATTCCTGAATACCTTGACGGCCGCCTCCCTTTCCCTCCCTTTGAGGACGGCGATTTGGCTAAGTGTATTAATCCGAGCCCAAAGCGCGTCTTCGCTTAACCACTTTGTCCATTTGACACTGTTCTCTCCAAGAGGAAGGCTGAATCTAGGAAGATGGTCGGTGAACGTATTCTTTATGGCCTGGACCGGGTTTCCCGGTGGTTGCTGCTCAAAAATTTCTTGCCATTTCTTTACTGGTTAGTATTACTAAGCAGACTCTAGGGGTTTGGCAACAGAGATATATACCGAGTGTCGAAATCTAGGCAGACCATCGTCAAACGACAATATGTAATCATTCAGTTTTTGCTCCCATTTAGTTGTCGCTGGCCAGCCTGGCGGCTTGTTATCTATGGAAAGGTTAGATAGAATGAACGGGCAGTATCAGGAAGAAGACTAGGCAGGGTGACGCACAGTCATCAATGTTCCAGATCATGCCCAGGACAGCACCAGGGCGCAAGACACGATGAATCTCCTTCAAAGCTTCGAATGTTGCGAACCTAGTTGAATATGAGTGGCAAAGAGACTTAGGCTAACACAAGGACGAATGACTTACCAATGAAATGCCTATCATTTTTCAGTCTGACCGTCAGTAAAGTGGACGTGATGTACTCGGCACTAGCGCGACACTCAACGTTACCTGGGCTGTGATGCAAACATCCCCCCATTCACTCTCGACCGGCATCTTGTCGGCCTTGCCATTAAGCACCTCGACGCCTGGTAAGTCCTTTTGAGCCAGTTTGTCGCGCATCGGGCCGTGCGGTTCAACAGCCTTGATCGAGTATCTCTCTGGTCGCGCGGCCAAGACCTCGGTGAACTTCCCACCCCCGGATGCTAGCTCGACTACGTTCACCTCATCTTGTCCGGCAATGTTAATGTTCTGGAGAAATATCTCGACAGCTTCGGGCGGATAGTTCGGACGATGCGTGTCATAGGCGGCGGCGTCTTTAAAGCCCTCTTGGGCGGCCGCTGGGAGGTTATTTTCAAGGTCCATGTCTTTCAACTAATTTGTTTCCCAAGTGAGAAGTGGCACGGGGGATTTAGTGAGAGAGTTTCTATTGCCAGGTCTGCCAGGTAAAGTACGGAATTCTTTAATGGCCGTGACACCGCAGGTATTGGAACACAACGTTCGCTGGTATCTGCTGTAGAGCTATAGATGTTGTCCAGATGGCGTCATTTAGAACCAACCGCATCTGCACTCCACACTACCGGTATCCCTTCTAACCCCTGTGCCTTCCAAGCGCCCTGCATACTTAAGTCGTCACTTTACCTACTACTGTGTACCTAGACATGAATCATCATAAACATTTTCTTTTAGTTAGGCCAACAGACCATGGCGATGTCTTATATCTATCTGTTTTTCTATAATACATCATCATCCCTTCGGACATGCAGCGGTACTTACTCTACCTACCAAAGATACATACAAATAAGGAAGAAAAATGTCTACCTACCTCAAGGCTCATAGCATCCTCCTCTCATTAATCTATGAAGTAGATTTACTTACAATGTGAGAGGTAGGCTAGGTACCTTTAGGTAAGTACACGCACCCAGTGGGCGTATATTAAAGAAGCCGCCAAGGAGCCTCAGCAAGCTAGCCACCGCCCAGAAATCTTACATCCTTCACACATCGACTTGAAATGTTCCAACTTGGACCATGCTCAGACACAGCCATAGCCCCCTTTTCCTTTCCCTCGTAGTTCTTAGCTACGGCCCTTCCTTTTTTCTCTACTATCCTATACCCTCTTCTTGACAATTATATTCTTCGCACTATTTTCCGGCTTAGCCCCTATGCTCTTTCTTACTTGTAGGAACGGGCACTTGCGCGGTGAGAAGACTCGGGGAGACCTTCAAGTTCTACCTCCCTAGTTCTATTCTCTAGTTATATCATGACATAGCCTCGACCCCGTCTCTCTCTTTCCTTTCTAGCCCTGGCTTTCTCCAAGTTCCTCGAAACGCTGCAGTAGCCGTCTTTCTCGCCAACCCTCGCTCTCCATGATCATCAGCTATCGTCGCTTCCGGCGCACCTACCTGCGACCGACTCTCCTGGTCCTCTTCTTCGTCTTCCTCATCGACGCTGTCCGCCTCGTGCGCTACCGACCAGACACGTACCGAACGAAACCGAGCGAAGTATATCAACAACGATATCGCGATGGGGTCCCGGCCAACATCACCATCTTCATTGCTTCTGTCCACCGCAACACAGAGGAGATATTGAGATCAGCCTGGAACCAAGCAGTGCTGGATCTGGCAGAGTACTATGGCCCTGAGAACATATATTTTTCAGCAGTCGAGTCGGGATCTCAGGATGAGACCAAAGCTGCATTGCTCGAGCTTCGGGAATCGCTAGATTTGAAAGGTGTGCCGAATTTGATAACGTTGGGCCAGACCGTATGGGAACAGTTGGAAGAGATTGAATCACGGCCACCGCCGAATATGCGGGTGCCGACTTGGATTTGGAACATGGTGGAAGACCAATGGGAGATGCGGCGGATTCCGTACCTCGCGCGAGTGCGCAACCAAGCTATGGAACCGTTGAGGGAGCTAGAGAGCCAAGGGAGGACTTTTGACAAGGTCCTCTGGCTCAACGACGTTGTCTTTGACGTATGTCACCTGATTCGTGCCGGGGGATACCGTTACTCGCTGTCCGACAGGAAACTAACTCACGTTTATTAGACCGAAGATGTCGTGACGCTCCTCCATACGCGCAACGAAAAGTATGCCGCGGCTTGTTCCATGGACTATAAAAACGCGCCGCTCTACTATGACACTTTTGCGTTGCGGGATGACATGGGCTTAAAGACCATATCACAATACTGGCCATGGTTTCAGTCCCCTTCTTCGCGGGCCGCTGCTGAGAAGAATGTGCCTGTTCAGGTAACGTCATGCTGGAATGGCATAATCGTCTTTGATGCGGAACCGTTCTATGCCAAACCCCCGCTTCAATTCCGCGGTATCGATGATAGCCTCGCCGATTTCCACCTTGAGGGATCGGAGTGTTGTCTCATTCACGCTGACAACTACCTTACCTCCGAAAAGGGGGTATGGGTTAACCCGAATGTCCGCGTGGGATATAGCGTTGATGCATACCGACGGTTGCGGAGAAACCGTTTTCCTTCACCCTTGTGGACAGTAATAGGTGCCTGGGTTAACCGCATCAAAGGCGGGCGAATAGCTATTCAGACACAATTAGAAACTCGTGTAGTGACAAAGCGTCTAGAGCAGTGGAAGGCCGAGACACCTCATGGACAACCACCACGACATGAGCCTGGGGCGGCCTGTCTCATTAATGAGATGCAGATTATGTGGGAGAATGGCTGGAAGCATTTATAGACTTTAAGATAAATAGCCAGAGTCAAGCGCACAAGTAGTAAACTTCAGGAGCGCATCCATCAATACGTATAACCATCCAGCTTTGTAGTGTATGCACCTCCTATATATGGCAAATGAAGCCTTTCTAGGACATAAGAACAAAATGTTCTACCTCTTGGATGTGAAATGTAACAAATGCACGCAAGCCTTGTGCTAGCTGCGTCACCAGCGCAAGTGGTTCCCAGCTCGAGCTTAGTATACTAAAAGAGATAGCCCGGAGGAACCCAGAAAGCAACAACAGAACGCCATGTGATGAAGGTAACGAGCCACTCGTATCAAAACATTTCACCCCTTTATTCTTCGCTGTAAAAATAGAAACCTGACTCAAGTCATTCCCACACTTTTCCTGTCCCCGTTCTATTTATTATGCCAAAGGAAATTCCTCAGGCCATCCCACTCGTTGGACTGCACGTAGATGTAGTTCATGCTAGAGCGCAGGCTGGGCTGTAGGTCGTCGGGGTTGTGCCGGAACAGGTGCATGACCATGCCCCAGGAGACGGCGGCGAAGACGGGCCACGCGTAGTGATTGATAAGGGCCGAGGGGCCCTCTTGCGATACCACGGGGAGGCCACGGCCTGGCTTCACGGCTAGCCGCGCTAGGGCGAGCACCACGCGCGCGAAGACGTATATGACGATCTGCTGGTTCACGCTCGAGATCTTGCCGGACCGCGAGCGCCGGCCGAAGACGAAGTAGCCGCCTACTAGACCGGCGAGGAGCGTGTCGTATGGACCTATTTGGAAAGGAAAAAAAGGGATAGTCGTTAGCCTCTTTCATGACCCGAATATTCAATCTCTCTTCTTTTCCTTTCTTCGATTCAATCCCTCGTGTCATCGCCAAGACAGATAATTCGCTATATCCGCACCCCCTCCCGAGCACCGACTCTCTCTCTCTCTCTCTCTCCATCTGGGAATATATTGAAACTCACCCTCCTTCCCCGGCGTGGGACCGTAGTGCTTGAGCGCATAGCACATGAGCTTGTAAATGGTGGCGAACTTGGCGAGGTTGCGGGCGTGGGTTCGCGTGGCGCGGAAGACGAGGTCGACCTTGTCGCGGAAGGTGCCCGAGCGGAACAGGAAGACCATGACGAGGGCGTGCGGGAAGCGCACCTTGGCGCCGTAGACTGCGCCGTTGCGCGCACCCTTTACCACGGCGAGGAGGTCATGGTTCGCTGGGTCGCGAAGCACGCGCTCGATGGCGGCCTGCGCGAGAGCAAGTTAGTCTTTCACGCATCTCTTCCTCGGCATCTTCTCTTCTCCCCTCTATTCTCTATGGCAAAGGTCTCTTTGCGAAGCTGGGAACTTGTTTCTTCTCATGAATAAATTGTTCTTTTATTTTGTATGCAATACATAGGCTTCGCTTCGAATCGAATCACTGATCGCTCGATGGGAGCGAGGGCGTAAAACAACGCACCTTCATGCTGTGTATGGCGGACGTCATCGTGCCTCGGCTATTCTGGGTATTGGGGGAGGGAGGACAGGTCGCTTTCGGTCGGCGCGCAAAACGGGAAGATAGGGATGGATAGGAGAGCTTGTACCGATATCATTGGAAGATGATTGATTCTTCAATTGAAGGAGAACATATTATAGGACAAGAGAGGTGGTGAGGGTATTGTTGTTGTTGGTGGTGTTGTAGTGACTGGACAGCTCGAGATTCAAGAAACCAACGGCACATGCTCGCTCACATGAGATCTCGGCTTGAAGAACAGCACCAGGGGTCACTAGAGCTCTGGCACGCCGGGTCCAGTTAGCGCTAGCGCATCGCCCGAGCACTATTTACCCCGGAATTTGCAAAGGGCCGTTGCCTTATTGGAGAGCCTATGACGCACCTGGCTATCGATAAGTGGTCCTACCGTTACGAATACTCCTACAAAGCCGTTCGATTTACATGTGATCCGTGAGGTGGTCCTTGGCAGAGAGAGACTTCTAAGTTACTACCTAGTTCTCTCAAGGTCTATCTAGGTAGGTTCACTCGCCATCGTATACCTCCTCTTTTCATATCTGCTCTTCGACAGAATGATGTCTAATCGTAGGTGTCTAGTGCAATTTTCACTCGTAAGTCTCACGAGTTATGATGATGTAAGAGCAAATGGGACGAGGGCACTATTGAAAAGGAGAGGCTGGTATTTTTACAGAATGAACCCGACATCCCGTAAACATCCATACCAAAAGACTTTGCTGTAGAAGTTTTCCCCTGGAAACGGCGAGATCACCACCCGTCTGGGTTGGCATCTGCAAAGACCGAGCCCGCAGCGATCTGATCGTACCACACTTGTCTTGTAGGCTGCGTCCCCTGATATCCCGAATCGTGCCACCCATTCGCATAAAGTCCAACGCGGAACTGGAACGGCCGTCCGTCGCCGACGTTGGTGGGGATATCATACGTCTCGGTGACCTTCTCGCCGTCATACCACATCTTGAAGTAGCCCGTGTTGTCGCTCTTCCAGCTGACCTGGAGCTCGATGCGATGCCACACCCCCGGCGTCACCGTCTTCAGGTTCTTGAAGGAGCGCGTGATCTGCTGGTTCGTCGGGCACACGTTGCCGTACTTGACGCGCGTCGCGAGCTGGTCGCCCTCGATCCACACCATCGTCGAAGGCATGTACGTCTCCTCGCAGCCCAGGTCCGTGAAGTCGGCGATGAACTGCGCAAGGTTGTAATTCTGCGCCGGCGAGAACTGCCAGTTCTCCTGCAGCCTGAACGCGAACCCGTAGAAGCCCGTGTCCCCCTTCTTGTAGACGTTGTACTTGACCGCCTCCGAGTGGTACCGCCCGTTCCAGGTCGAGTCGTAGACCTGTGTCATCTTCAGCGCCGTGCTGCCCTTATACGCCACGTTCGTGACCTCCTGCACTGTGCCCTTGTTCTCGCGCGTGTACGCGTCCCAACCGGACATTGTGCCTGTGTTGCTAAAGATCTGAGTGGCTTGCACGGCAGCCGCCGCACCTAATGCGTAAAGAAGATGAGTGAGAGTATGAGAGAGCATTGTGTCTGTTTGGCCACTTTGCTAGTTGAATAGGTACTGTAATTCACGAGAGACAGATGAAATAATTTCTCCACGACGAATCCAGCAAACCTGATTGATCCTATTGAGAGGTATCATGCCTTTATATTCACAGCTATGAGCTGAAGCCATACCTATAAATATCACCACTCTATCGGCGACATAATGTCCATACCTCGTGAATGATGGCGGGGTGGCGCTCTAGTCAACGTATATTGCGCATTTACCTGCCTAATGCGACTAAGGTAGGTAGCCGACTTAACCCTATTTCGAGCTACCCACAGGACCCGAGGAGCCTGTCAAAGTCGTTGCTTGATTCGAAATTCTCACAGCGTAACCGCCATGATGTTTAGATTCGGCGATTCGTATCGGCTATGTATTGAGTTGCCGGAGGTTGAACCGCGGGAATAGATCAACATTCGAGTAGATTGTTGTGTTACCCGACCCTCTTTCTCTCTCTAGCTCGAGTTTTGATGACAGATGACATATAGTGAGGTTTCACAAGCCGTCAATATAAATTTAAGGGATAACTTCATGTCCGAGAGCTGACGCCAGCATAACTTGACTAAATATTCCGCGGGAAATCCGCCTAGTTAACGTAATGGCGTTGTCCTAATAAACACCTCAGCCGGGGACCATTGCCTATTACGTACGGGCTACAGGTGACTGGTTAGCCTACACCCATATTCCCAAAACCTAGTTTAGTCACAAGGCTGTCGCGTCGGGTGATTGGGCGAATACTGGTCTTTTTAAAATATACTGTAGGCTCAACAGTCATCAAAATGTAACATCGTCCCATAGGGTGCTAGTAGAATGAGTGATGACGGAGTTACGGAGATGTGTCTTGTCCAGGGCTCAGACCGAAGCTTTCGCTCTTGCTCTTGTACTGTGAACACAACATACCACACATTGTCACTGAATGACTAACTGGGGAGATTCATCCGAAGGATAAGGATCCGGGATTCATGCCAGGCATGGAACGTATCTTTGTTTGATCTAAGAGCGCAATATTTATTGGCTTAACCGGAACAAGGAGTAAGCGTAACATATAACGTCCATTGCACCCATGGCCTGGGATGTCATTCCCGTTGGGTATTCATTTGCTTTATGTATTTTGCTCTTGGCCTTGTACTAAAGTGAACTGAGCGTGATACTAGCTGCTTTGTGCAGCTTTCTCAACTCTGGCATGCTGAGATTAATGTGCAGCGTGACATATGTACTGCGCAGACGCCTTGTACATTGAGCCACGAGAGTGTCTTCCCTCAAAAAGTGATCCTTAGCTTACAAGGCTGAGATCGACCTGTGCAAGGCTCGTGCTGGTAAACACGCCCCCGTTACTCAAGAACTATGGAGGGCTATCAGGGGATCCCACCAGGGAGGAAAATATTGGTGTCGAAAAGGTCAGAAGGTTTTAATGTGACTTGTGTGCACCCCTAGGTATACCTGGTAGAAGAGAACTGTATCTTAACCATGATACGCGAGAATTATAATATCATGAGTCCTAACAAACAGAACGTTATAGGGCTCATATTGAAGCTGTGCCTCATATCTCATGGTCTAGAGGTATAATAATGTACCTACAAATCAAGATCAGCGCATGCTTCTAATAGTTGCAGGGAAACGATCGTACTTTCGCTCTTGCAGTTGCTTCTTCAAGTTTACGCAACACTCTGTTGTTGCTTATTGGCAAATTGAAGTTATAAGATAAGACAAATGAGTGGTAAAACGAGTATTGAAGATCTATCTTGACTTCACTACTCTTGTCTCGAATATAGACACAACACTTAGTCGGTAGCCTCGTGAGTCCCAGAGCGAGCGGCACGGAATCAGTACCCCTATATCATCTAGACTATCATCTTCGCCAAGCTGGACGGCGTCAGTGTAGGTGATCTTTGGCTTGAAAGACGGACCCAATGAAAGACCTAACGATTTCTTGAGCGATTCTGAGGTAGCAGCGAATACACTTCGAAGCACAGCTAGGGAAAGTGAATTTATATGGGTCTCATCCTGGCTGACTGGCGATCCTAAAACGGCGGTTGTCTGTGTGAACAATACATCTCCCGAGTCGACGAGAACGTGATGGAGATTTAAATCATGAAGACCATGTCCAGACGAGATCTTGTCACCGGCGGCGGAAAATAGCGTGACACTTCCCGGCTGTAGCTCTGCGAGACCTAGATGTGCATGCCATTCGACGCCAGCCTGACGCGGAAGCTCCTCGACCTCGGCAGCGAAGAAAAATGGAATGCTTTCTACTTTGTTCCTCAAATATGATTTCTTGTCATAATCATCTCCATCATCGTGGACAACCAATCTTTTGAGAGCACTCCAATTCGGAAGAGAGAACGGGAAAGACTCCTCCTCAGTGCCGCCACTATAAGTCATGTACTCAGCGTTGTACCGCCGGTCCCAGATATCCGGGCCAGCATTATCTTCATCACTCATATCATGTTCATCACCGGAGTCATCTCCGTCGTCCAAGTCAGGCCATAGGTGAGCCGTTTTCCACACAGTTGCAGCAAGCAGGGTCTGGTATTTCATCGTATCGGCGGATGCCGCAGCAGGGAAGTAGGCGACAACGCTCGTCCACCAGCGGACTTGCATCTCAATCCCGACACGCCATAGATGCTGTAGAGCCAGTGTGATTTGTAGTTCAACATTATATTTTGTGGACGATGAAGGCAATACCATAGATGCAGGGAGTAGGGGAATCTGGCCAGCTATAGATACGGCGAGAGGTGAGCTTGATACATCAGAATACACTGGCAAATTGGATTCATCTTCAATATCTTTCTTAGTCACGGCCTCAGCTGGTGGCAGAGACAAGAGTGGGAATGCAATGGCTTGACTGTACGGGCCAATATTAGCAGGCGCCCAATACGAGCGTGATTGGACATGAAGCCCTCGTCTTTCATGTGGCTGCAAACATAGTTGCACCGTTAAGTAGACTGCGATAGCAGCATCTTTTGGTAATAGTTCACTGCCGCAAGATATCGTGACCCGAGACGGCGGGTTGGGCTTGCGGAATAATGAACCGTAGTGTTTGTTGACGAGTGGGAAATCTGACATATGTCGTAGGACGATCACGGAGTTTGTTATCGCCGCAGCAGAAAGTGCGTGCGCATCCAATTGTCGACGGATCTGGTTCACGATGCTGACTGTTTGTGCTTCGACGTTGAAGGATTCGGCCCCACCGCTGCCGAGATAGCACCATTCATGCGACGATGAGAAGGATCGCGGCGACAGCGGTAGTTCACAACTCGGCAAGTCCGTTGGAATTGAGTAAGAACTACTAGTCGAAATGGAATTGGCGGTGGGTTCGGTCTGGCCATCGCTTGATGACACATTGGCAAACCTTGGCTCTTGACCATCTGCGAGTAAGCATCGTAAAGAGTCCTCAAATCTGGGGTCGAGTAAATCGGGAACTCGGACATCTACTAAGCTTGGCAATTGATCAGTCCGCTCTACCGAATCCTTCAGCACGACATCCGCGCGGCGAAAGCTGAGCCAAGCGCACCCGCCTCCTTCACGGATGATGCGTCTATCATCGTCCGATACAATGATACGACCCTTGAAGAGGGAAGGCGGGCCGTCTACCACGAGGGTCTCAAACTCACCACCCTCGCCGAGTATGGATCCCCGGCCACCTGCAGCCCCGAAGCGGCGCATAGCGCGCTCAACACGCCGCACACCAACCTCGCTAGCCACATTTTCCCAGAGGAAGTCCTCGTCGAGGCCGGCACTGGCGACCTTGACAATGCGCGTCTCGAGACCAACTGCGGCCATGTCACGTAGGAGTCGAGCATCTTCTCGGGCAGGTTTTTGCACTGAGTTCCCTTGACGTCTCTTGGCGTCACGGCTATTCCACGTGGCTATCCCCGTTAAGACAATGTCTCGATCGTGGCGGCCTCTAGAGGCTGTGGCAGGCAACTCAGTGAACTGCCATAAATATGATAGAGGCACTAGCCCTAAGCGCAGAGCTACAGACTCGACTCTCGTGCGCTGGTATGTTGATAAGATGGCGCCTGTGCACAGAGCGTTGGCCTCAGGATGCGCCTTGATGACAGCACGTAATAACGGCACTAGAGACTCAGTCTCATCCTCAAGCTCTTGCTCATGCTCTAGCTCTAGCTGTGCGTTTTGCTCCTTCTCACCGCTGGACGCCACATGCGTATGCGCCTTGTGGCTTGGATTCTCATAGCTTAAGCCGTGGTGGACCGCAGTTCCCACGATCTGTTGACGATATAACGGCAAACCTGTGGCCCGCGCGTACAACGGGATAATCTGATGACCTACGGTCTGATACATGAAACTGTTCAGATCCGTCTCACCGTCGTCGTTTCCATAGCCAGTACCACCAGCTTGGGTCTGGGTTTGACTCTGCCCCACGCCTGTGCTGGCTTTCTCTACTGTTTCTGGCGGGTAGAGATTGGCCAGTGCCACGACACGATGCCCATTAGCCTGGCAATGGAGGATGGAGTAGAAGCTATCCTTTCCTCCAGATATGAGTGCAATCACAGACAGGGACTCCTGTACCGCCGCCATGGCGAAGACAGGGACCCAGCAGTTGTAGCCGGCCGCCGGCGTAAGACTTTGATGGGCAGCAATGAGAACTGGAAATTGAGCAACCAGGTAGCAAATTCACTAGCGCAGACCAGAAAACCAACAACTTCAGCTGTTACACGGGTTTTCTCAATCTTGGTCGTTAGCCAGATGGGCCGATACGTCAGCCCCGTGCCGCCCTACCACATAAGTTCGCCGGGCTCTGTATTACCAGCCTGGCTGTCTAGAGCGGTGTAGGCCTCTATTAACTTTAGCCTTCAATGGTCGATTCCCAACGTCAAAGATAGCGGCGTCTGTGCGTAGATACCCGGGCAATGGACAAGATTGACTATGCGAATTTACAAATTAGCCTCGTTCACACCAGATGGATAGGGCAAATGAAGTTGGGTGTGCCGGCAACGGGATTTGGTCAATGACCGACCCTAGTAGTGAACTTTTTAGCGCAAGTCTAGGGGTTTGATCAGGGCCCCCCCCCCCGCTATCATCATTTGCGGACCTTGTACCGGAACCAACACGACTTGAAGTAGAGTGGCGTACGGATGTTTGGCAATACAAGCTAACTCATTTCTTTGCTCCCTAGTGTAGAGTTGGCTGCTATGCAGGAGTAGTAGAGCTAGAGCTCCCATTACAATGGCCTCGGGAGACGGTAGAAGTCGGTATGTTTGTTCGGTTCCTAGATGCAGCGAGCATAATTACAACGGGGTTCAGACCAAACACCTACCTACGCTCTTACCGTAGAGTTGGTGATATGCGTACGAATATAACCATGAACCATTATGATATGAGATTAGAATACCCGTTTCACCCAGTTTGTATGTGCACAAACACAAATAGAAGTTGCGTAGTGAAAAGATTGGTTGGCAGCCATATATTGATGTGAAAAATCTGCTATCTGTACAAAACATTGTCTGAGAGTTGTTCCAAATGTCCGGCACTTTGCGATACTCATTACAGAAGAGGCAGTAGAAAAGCGAAGCAGAAATAATATAAGGGTGCAATGTCGCTAGATTTACCCTTCCGGGTATCAGCTGCGTCCCCAAGGAAATTGAAACGAGTTAGACCGGTTGCGCTGCTCCGTCTTGCTCGGGGTATTACAACGAAGGTAAAGAATGGGATGCCGCCAATATGTGTGAGCGTGAATGTCGTAGGTCTTCCGAGGCAGAAAATCACACAAATGTTCTATGTAGAGCCCGCCATGCCACGCCTCGCCAACCATAAGATAAATTCCAGTCCATGTTCCTACACTGTACTACCAAATCGCCTGTGACCCTTTTATTCGTGGTGATAGGGGCTTTGTACGTGTTGCTATGTTGATACACGAAGGCATGATGCTGCTGAAAATCAATATGTAACTTTTGAGTCCTCTAAGGTATGAAGCCTTTTCGCCTTGGTCCGATTCAATCAAGCCGCCGATTGAAATCCCTAGTGACCGATCCGCATAAAGCTAGCGGGGTAGGTATGAGTATGAAGGAGAAGATGTCGTAATGTCGTTAGATGCCTTGCACCGTGAAGCCGACGTGTTAGGTCTACGAGAGATCTACTCAGACCGCTTGCGTTTCTTCTTGCCGCTGCTTTCGCTTTGCGAATCGTCAGAGAAGTCACTGCCGCTACCGGGAATCTCGGATGCGACTTGAAAGAGGACTTTGCCAAAGTTGTGATAATCACTGTCAGCAGATGCCATCATGTCAAGGCCCTCCTCACTCCCATCGATGAGGTTCATGACGATGGCCCCACTTCCATGAGTGCGTGCGTGCTGTGCGAGATTGTCGCTGCGAGAAAATTTCTTACCACACTCGTTGCACTCAAACGGCTTGTCCTGAGTGTGAAGAGAACGGTAATGACGCTTAAGATGTTCTTGGCGGCGGAATCGGCGGTTGCATAACTCACAGACGAATGTCTTGCTAGGATCCTCGGTCAGGGACTGCTTGCGACCGCGGCGATTAGCGGGAGCAGGGATAGGTGCAGGTGCAGCCTCAGAGCTGTCACTAGCAACCATATCAACACCGTTGCTTGTAGACTGAGCTTGACTAGAAGTCTCTTGTTGCTGCCCCTGACCAGACGTAGAGTCGGTGGTGGTAGCAGCAGCGATGTTCATGATGGGTACAGGCACGCGAGTCTCCTTAGTAGTTCTCAGCTTCTTGTCCTGGTGAAGGTCTGAGTCAAATGACGCAGCAGGGCTTGGGATTCCAGTCACAACACAAGATGTTGTGTCCTCACAGTCGAAGCCGCTCTCTGTCAGGAAAGCGTCTTGGCCGAGAGAGAGTGTCGTAGAGCAAGTAGCAGAGCGCGATCGCTTACCCTCGACGAACGGCTGCTCCCCAAGATTGACCAGGCGGTTTACGAAGTCGTCCTCAGACTCCAGGTCGGAGATCTCATCAAAAGCCGGCAGACCGTGGTGGAGGGCAGGATTGAAATCGAAGGAGATGGGCAGCGCGCTGTCCTTGGCTGGCGTGGCGCCCCTGAACTCTTCCAAGGAGACAGGAGATGAAAACTCAGGAGCCAAAGTCGGGTTAGCGGCACCTCCTACTGTGAGATTGCGGGGGTCGCAGAAATCAATGTCCTGTTCACAGTTGGGTGATGGCGACGGTGAGAGCGACGGACACGAGATGGATGACGATGATGAGGATGTCGCGTACGAGGCTGTGCTCTCGGCAAAGGAGAGGTTGGTGGGAGTGGTGCAGGAATTGTTGGAGCTGTTGTTGTTGATAGGGGCTGCGACGGGAAGGCCGCTGGAAAGGTTGGCGCTAAGCGAAATGCCCTTCCCTGTCTGAGGTACCTGCAAGTGTTGTTGTAGGTACACTATAGCACCCGTTAGCCCAGCCCCTCGAACCTTGCAAAATCACATTCACGCCGCCAATTCAATCAACCCATTGGTGATTGATTGCTATTGCTCGTGCAACCAATGTCCAGTTATCACAGGTATACAATGACTGGTCATTCCCCCATCCCATTCCGGCATTGATACATACATGTCATGGAGGGTGATCAGGTCGACAGTGCATGAAGAAAGAATGCATGAACTTTCGACTTACCAGGCGTTACTGGGGATCCGTAGGTGGTCCAGTCAATGTTCTCCAGAGACCTCGACACTGTCTCATCGTCCGCCTTAATCATCTCACAACCGTCAAGACCAGAAAACATTGGGTTCAATGGTGTGGATAAAACATCCTGTATGTGAGCCGGGCTGCCCATAGAGCTACCAGACGTTGATAGAGGTGGGGTGGCTGGATAGTAGAAAGACTCATTGTCACAAAAGTCTGTCTCGAGCATGAGCTTTCCAGGGTGGTTGATCATGAAGCCATTCGGCCTCTGAGGGGTAACGTTGCTGGGAACGGCCGCGAACATCTTGGCTGGGATGGCTTGTGAAGATGATGAGTTCGGTCGTGAGTAGATGGGTGTCGAAGGAACCGTCGGGACAATGGGAAACATCTGTTGCTGCACCTGTTGGAAGCCCGGGTGCTGGCTAAAATGTCCATGTTGTCGGTTCTCAGGATTGGGGTCTGGTGTGTAGTAGAAAAACGATGCTTGACCCATCTGCGCATTCATCATATTGGGATCCATGGTTGCTTCGACTCAGATTAGCCCCAGATACTCGAGCATAGTCCAAAATCCTCTCAACTAACCTAATGGTACAGGTTATGGGAGGGGACGGCTTGTTGTTCTTGTAATATCCGATTATGTGTGTCCTTGCTCACGATTTATGATTAAGTATATATATGCAGCATGTACTATACAGTGTTCGTTGGTGGGCGGTTGGCCTAAAGATGGATGGTGGTTTCGGTTCCGGGTGGAAAGGAGTGGACGTCAGTCTTGAATGACTTTCATAGATCGCCTAATTATCGGACGCGGCCAGATTCTTGTTATACAAATGCTTTGGCGAGTATCCGTAGCCTTGACTAACAAAGCGACAACGATGAGAGACGAGGTAAGGTCAGGCCCAACTATATCTAAATGAAGGTGAGGAAGGTCGGGAGTAAGCCCAATGTTCCAAAAGTTGAGCCTCAAGAAATAAAGAAACCGATAGGGTTTGAAGAAGAGAAACCGCTCTACAAGTACGTCGACCGGGCTGTCGATCACAGGCTGGAGTTAAAGAATGAATGAGGTTGAAGGGGACCTGGAGGATATGTAGCAGGAGGTCGGTGACAGATCAATACCAGTCAATACCAGTCAACCCACGCCGCCCATCGATAGGCACTGGACGGCCAGCGGGTGGAATGGGGACCGACCCACGGCCAAAACCCACCCCATCCATGCAATGTCTCACTTGGGGAAAGCTGACAAGGGCCCTGGTCAACAGTGGAGGGGTAGGCTTGGCGGAAGAGAGGACAAAATGAAATCCCTGTCGGGTGTCTGGGGCAAGACGCGGAAACATCAGATGAGGTAGTGGACCGTGTGGGTAAAGTGGTGTGGGCATGGTGCTAATGTCGACAGGGGACCAAGAGGGCGCAGTCATGGCTCGATTCTAAATCTGGATAAGCAGGACTGCCGGGGTGGGAGGCAGACAGGTGGATGAGCAGGAGGAGCAGCAATAGTGACGACGAGGACGAGGTACCGCCCACCGACAGATACAACCCATCCCATGGGACATCTCGTGCTCTCTTGCTCTCTCTGTCTCTGTCTCTCTCTCTCTCTAGGTGATTCAGGAATACGACACCTCGCATAAAAAGCCCACATCATTGCATAGCAGGTAGTGTACGCCGAATACTTATGTAGACAATGTACGGTAGGTAGTGTAGGTACATAAGTATTGAATACGACCGATAGGTTGGGTATCAGTAGAGTGATGAGAGAGGCTTAGCATGAGCATCCCTCCTCCACGGGAGATCCTCTACCCTCCTCTACACCGGCTACGATATCATGAGTGCTGCGGTCTTTGTCGTCGTCGTCGCCGCCATTGTTGCTGTGATGCCTTTCTCATACTGGACACGTGAACATCTACGCCATCTGGGTGCTATCAAGTCGTAAATGTAAACCGTAATCCGAGCCAGTGAGGTGAGGGCTTATCCGCCAAGATGATCGCGCTACTTTGGCAGCTTTCGTAGTGCCCAGCATCGCGTTGGGAATCTCCTATCACCACCGCCCCTGCTGAACGATGGATTTTACCATGAATGCCCATGCATAAGCTCGTGCTTGTGATAGGTGGATTATGCCGCTTACCATAGCACGAAGACGAGCCACACAATTTGCATAACTCGTGTTTTGCAAGGCCACCTTGAATGATACTATCTTTCGGCTGCGACATTGCACAGCCAGTCGAGCCAGTCACTGGAGGCCGTCCACCCTCGCGCCGGACGAGGGAACGCAGGTGCCATCACTTATTGGTCTGCTGTTCGCGTTGGATGAACCAACCAGCTGTCTGTGATTGACAGACTGCAAGGTACTGGCGCGCCCGGTTCAGGCCACTCACTCGTCACACCTCTCGTTCTTTAAGCATGCTCCAAGTCTCTGGGTCGACAGGCGGGGTGATTCGTCTCCAGCTGGGTTGGATGCAGAAATGGTTGAAACTGGAACCTCTCTGTCGGTAGAATCCCAAATCTCCCAAGCAGGCAGGTTGTGCCACGTACTTTGTTTGCCCAGATGCGGAGAGATGTAGCGTAGAAGCACGAGCCAAAGTGCGTATCTAACAGTATACCTAATCTTTGGTTTCATGCCATATAGCATTGATGGCAATGGCTCGGATACCTATGCAACTATCCTCAATGAAATCTCGCATACAGCAATTAGAAACAGGACAATGGCCCGTGTGAGCACTATGCTATGGAAGAAGATAACTAGGTACTGTAAGAATAACGGTGGCACTTGGACATTCCTTCTCGGCCGCGACTTGCAGCGAATAGCCAATCCTAATGCAACAGAGAGGCCCGAGTTGTTGTGGAGCTTGACTGAGAAGTCAGCCAGCTCAACCATCAAAGGGCGAGGAGATTTTCTATATGTGGATGTAACTGTCAGATTATGAGGAAGCGGACAGTCAGGATTAGTCCTCTGTGAGTTCTGACTGGTCGTGTAGAGATGAACAGGCACGCGAATAAGGACGATGCAGCCGATTGCATTGCTGTGAATGGGCAGTCTCGGGGCTGAAAGTAGAAGTTATATGTGCCTACCTACATGTGCAGCAATGGCAGCAGCAAGTGTACGCCGTTCAGACTCAAAGATACTATGATAGTGCAATCCCCAACAGCTTTTTATTCTTCCATCGCGATAGGGAACATCTTGTTGGGTTTCCCGTACCGCTCTCGGCGATGTTGAATGCACATCTCCCTCCCAATATTTTGTGATATTGAGGTTATAGGATACTTTATATACACTAACCAGGCGCATACGCTGCGACATTGCCTCTTCATGGCCAATCCCATCCTCGAGCGCCCCTCCATCAATCATATTAGGACCCTCAGAATGCCAGATCCAGGAAGCAATCACGCAGACGGGTGTGCTTTCAGCCATTAGCATCACGTCCATGCCGTTATCGACATTGAAAGCGCTTGAGAAGAGGCACGCGAGACTTTCCATCACACTAGGTAGGTATGCAATGGAGACTTTATCCTGCAGCGGTTACGTGATTACCAAACTAGGCATTTATCCCACAACACGCAAACGGTAATCACTCAAGCAGTTGTGCTTTCCCAAACCGCTTACTACAAGTAGGTACCTAATCACTCATCTTCAGATGGTAGATACATAGTACTAAGTAAGTATGTAGGTTAAGTCTGTAGACGAGACGGAATTCAATGTTGACTACAATCACAAATAACTACGGGTATCTCGGGCGCTACAGATAGGTCGTCTACAGTGGATCGACCACTATAACCACGCTATATCTGAGCGCTAATTTGAAAAGATCAAAGTTCTGACAGGCTCTACGCTAAAGTCTGACAACCCCGGCCGTCTAGGCCAACCAGCGACGGATAGATCCTACCTGATTTCATCACCAACCTTGCGCTTCATTTTTGCTTTTTATGAGATACCCGTGCAGTCCGCGCTGCTCGTTCCATCAAACGATCTATCCCCAATCGGCAAACCGTTGTGCCGCATTGGCCAACAACGGGCCTACGTGTCGCAAACTGGGCAAAGAGCACGGCACAATACCTACCTAGATGTAAGTAAGTACCTAGGTAGGTAAGTACTTACCTACCAGTAGTGTACACTTAGCACACACTTAGTGACATAGAGACCTGTATAGTGCTGTAGCAGCAGGTTTGAGATTCGATGACTAACAGCGCTATTGATCTTCGCTTCATATCGCTCTGTACCAATCTTCCAAGTTATATTGCAAGCAATTGCTACGGCCTTTTCCTTTCTTCATAGCCGAGATATCTTCATAGACAGCTTAGCAATCAATAGACCAGAATACATCGGTTGGCTTCGTATAGGGCAACGTAGATAATTAAACTACTAGGTAGTGTAGCGTGGACGTGGACGGCACATAGGTAAGGTTAGACACTCCATGCTGGCCTCGTGAAACTTACTGTAAAAGCACTCTACCCAGTGACCGAATAGATCGTGTATAGAACGAGCCTACAAATCTTCTATGCATACTGTAAGTGCGAATACTAAGCACCCTGGTACTAAGGAAGATGGCGAAGGATGCACTTAAGTAGATCTACCGTAAGCCGACTAGTAAAAGTACGTGCACAACATCTGAAGATTTGTTCCAGGTACTCCAGTAGAAATGCTACAGAACGGCAGATTCCCGAATCTACTGTCCTGTCCATGCTGCCGTTCGAGACTTCCTGGAATCTTGGAAGCCGGCTTTGCTGTCGGAAAACCGTAATAGCGAAGACAGATAACACCGGCCACCCCGGGCCATCTCAATCATAGTTTACTTAAGCACGTTTATGCTGGGTTATTTTTGGGAACCTGAAGTGCTTAAAGTGCATACATACGCCCATTCACTGTATTGGCATACATACATAGTGTAGTTAGACATAAGTATATGCGAGGGTTGTACTTGGACAATCCATCCATGGGCTGTTTCACTATTGTGAAGCGCTCCACTGAATGTCGTCGAGATGCATTACATACTAAGTAAGTATGTGACAGATGTTGCCATCCAGACACAGACAACTCCGAAGTCGACAAGTACCGACCTTGCCCATCTTTGCCATCTTTTACTAAAGCCATTGCTGACCCATTGCTGAGGAGTGGATTCTCATCGGCCAGCCATTTCCTGATATGGAAGGCTGCAGAGTGGGTAGGTAGATAGGTACCTCGGGACACACTGCTGCTACTGCTGTTGTCGTCGTCGTCGGCCCTCGTCGCCTTTCGCTCTTCCCACTGCTAATTAACATGCGGGTTTCAAGGTCTCCATACCTGACGCAGGAACGTGTTCCGGCTCGTTGAAGGCTGGAGTCGGTCAACCAGGTCCATCGCCTCGCTTGCTGCTAGTGGACATAGCATGTACTTAGCAAAATAGTGTACATACTCGGGTAGGTACCTACGTACCGTACATCTGTCTCTGATCTATCCTACATATCTACATTCGCCATGGTCTCACACAGCCAGATACATACATAAGTAGGTAGTATGCAATAATCTGTGCACATTACCACCTACTAGTAGTAGAAGCTCGGTCCTCTTCTCGACTATCAGTACATAGTAGACACTTGGTAGATGCCCTATGTAGGTACCTAGGTAGATAGATTGGCCATAGATAGATGGGTCACTAGTAGTATGCATACTGCAATACTGGCAGTCACCGCTGGTCGAGCACATGTACTATACTACCAGATCTCCACCAAGTAACCCGAAACCTCACTGGCCGAGGCCTTTCACGGGCCAGTTGTTGGCCTTGTCCGTTGCTGTGCCTTGCTGTGCCTTGCATATCAAAATTTGTTCCTGCAGCATGATTTATGCAGGAACGCTGCATGGCTGCATACCTAGGTACGCTGTCACCCATGTTTCTTATCATCCGAATCCTGCTACAGGTAACGATGCGGTTCTGGGTTCTGGGTTATGGCAATACCCATACTACCGCGTCACGATGGGTAATAGCCGGCGCATCGGTAAAGAGACCTACTTACTCTACATAATATATACATACAGTATAGTAGTAGTACACTGCTACTCTTTATACTTACAGCACTACACCAACTTTCTACTTACAGCCTGATATCAAAGCTTCCTTTCCCAGATTGCCCCAAGCGGGAACAGGAATGATGGGTGTAGAGCAGAGCAATACTGGCCTAT